TTATCCTATAAACGGTAACGAACGACTATCGACTACTTCTACTCGATAGATATAAAAGTTATACGACGTACGAGTTTATATAGGAATATTATATAAATCGAATTACTCTAGTCTATTTAATACCTTATTTAAGTTATATTCTATAGCTACTTAATCTTACTTACTTTTCGCTCCTTAAATATCGATATCGAGACGAAATCGCTAACTTAGCTAGGTACGACGACGCCTCGGCCGTAAAGAAGAGTAGGTTTCTTAAAACCTATAAAAAAGTAAGTAATAAGGGTCTATTATTATTTCGTATTCGTACGAAATAGAATACGGCTAGTATCTATCCCTAGAACCCTCGTAAAGTTATTCGATCTTACTAAGTACTATAAAATAGCTAAATTAATTAATTAATACTAACTACGCCGCTATTACGTAGATAAAATCGATATCTATCGATAGAGATTCGTACGCTACTTAATTAACGCTAAATTCGATAGGAAGCGGACTTAATTTCACGATGTAAGACCGTTTCTCGATTAGTCCGTTTACTACTTTAAAAAACCGGTAAGGTATTAGATCGACTATAGTAGGATATTACCCTAAAATTATAATAACTTACTCTTTAACGTACGTAACTAGATAAGCTAGTCGCTAGGAGATAACCGCGTATCGTAATCGACTATAATAAGGTCTTTACGAATATCGAGATAATTAGGTAGGCTAGGCAGGGAATAGAAGCATTATATTATAATCCGAGCTACAAGTAGTTCTAACTAAGGTAGGGTTCCTTAATAGAGTAGATACTAGAGTGTTAACTAAGATAACAAAGGGAATACTTATTCGTCGGACTATATCCTAAAATATAGGTATAGGATTGCTAACGAAGTTAACTATAAACTTCCCTATTATAGGTAGCGGGTAGGTATATATATTGCTAGTAGCTCTCCGGAATCTCGTAGCCCCCCTAGATCTCTTGAGATCCTATGGGATCTAAGGGATCTAGGAGATCTAGCCCCTCCTAGTCACGTGACTTAGCTTCGTTCTCCATCGGCTAACTTCCCCCCTGGGTAGGTGCCTTGATTCCCTTGGCAACCTTTTAAGTGACCTGGTTCGTAATACATTAGAGGCGACGACGAGGTCTTCTATACGACCGAATACTAGAAATACTACGCGGAATGGGTAGTTAAATGAAACCCTAGCACCATTTATACATTAATTTAGTGCTAATGAGTCTGTATAATTAGTAAATCATGATTGTAGCACTGTTGGTGGCAAAAAAATACGTGTTTCATTACTAGGGTGTTTCATTACGTGGTGCCCAGACTTATTGTGGATTAACTTTAATTAGGGAACCAACACTAGTCTGGAGTCTAACTTACCTTCCGCTAGCTCAAAGGCGGAGAATTTAGTAGGCGTAGTTCAAGTTTTATATCAAGCCGGCAGTACAGCGTATAGTGTGTATAAACCAACTTTTATGATTTAGGTTTTCTGCTTAATGAGAATTTTCTTTGTCTATCGTCACTACTATCTCTTTAACGAATAACAACGTAGAGCCATTATCTATATTTTCGACGCCAACCTATCTTTAACTTAACATTAGATTTTAAACTAGTATTAGGAATACCCTAAGAGGCTTCCTAGCAAGCATATAACTAATAGGTCCGAGAATACCTCGTACTTCGTGCGAGATTCTAGTCTTTTTGAGCGATCCTCAAGGGCTTACGGACCTATTGCCTAACAACTAGTAAGTCTCTCAATTTAACCGCTGTACATCCCTTTTTTACGACTAGCATAATCCTACTTAATTCCCCCAAGAATGAAGGCCTGAGCGAGGTCTGCAAACCTTCGAGATATACCACTAGTTGGGAGTCGTCGAAGCGTTGACTCGAGAACACATAAAGTGCTTACTTTCATTTCCGCCGGTGTTGACGTAAGTATATCCCAGAGTTCTGAAATCATGTTATCGACTATAGGATATGTAGGCACCGGGTGAGACGTGTCTCCCCGCAGTAATTGAAGCTCTGGTAATCTCGTGAGGTATTTAGATAGTTCCGAAAATGACGCAGATGTGTCTAAATCGACGTGGGATAACCGCCAGGGAGAATAAGTTATATAACACTGCCAGCAAAGGGCCGCGGCGAATAGGATCCTTGGCGTGTGTATGGCGATTACTGAGTTCAGCGTTGTAGACAGTGATATGTTCTGGATATAAAGTGCATGTAGCAGACATCGCTTCGATTCTGGGGAGGAAATCCAAGATCTAACATAATCCAGAGTCTGGTAAGGAATGTTGTTGCCATCTCTACCAACAGCTTGTTCCAGTAGATCTAAATTACTATGCAACGCGATGAAATTATGATGCCATAGCGGAGTGAGGCAGAATGGAAGATCGGATTGTGGGGAATCCTGATAGGGCTCCCAGCCACAGCAATGTGTGGCCAAGTCGAACCATTGAGTAAGCTGACCTTCGAAGCGAGAGATATCTTCTGCGAAGAGCATACTTAAATGTCGATGTTCACAGATAGCAGCTCCGATTCCAGATAGTCTTGCCCAAGATCGGAATGTGGAACGATATATTTCTTTCTCCAGATGAGCGATCCCGCGGCTTCGAATTCCAGTTTGTGAGAGTCTGCCAAGGGCACGTTGATTGTCCGGATATCGGAGGCTCTTAAGGTGGAGTCTATATTTTGCCTCCCAACTTTTTGCACTTTTCGCATGAAAGACATCGGCCGGAGCAATTACTGGTAATTGGTTCAATCCATGTCTGAAGACTGGCTCATGGTGAAAGAGGGCTGCAAGTTCCGCATCGTGGATATGTAAAACCAACGCTATTCTTTTTCTTATGTTAGCGACAACATGATCAATGATTGAGTAGTGGTTTGGGCACCTTCTCATTTCCTCGTACCCTGCCCACTTTTTCCATAATAAGTCAAGGGATTCTTCTGATAAGTGATCAGGTAATTCCACTTCGGGGACTTCAATGAAGAGCTTCATGTGACGGGCGATCTTCTCTTGGAATTAGTACCCTTTTGGCTTTTACGAAAGTTTTTTGAGCTTACCGAGATGAGAGATCCATGGTAAGCTGCCGCGATAGCTTTATGAGCCGGATCTCCTGACATAAGCGCAATGGTCTGACTAATTGTTGCACCTTTGATGTTCCATGGTGTGAACTTTGGATGTTCAGACAAAGCTCTCTCCCACGGATAGCTTAGCCCCAGTTTGCACGCACGTTCGAATATCAGCGATCCGACTCGTTGAGACTTCTCTCCCGGCATAGCCATAGCTCCTGCCGAAGACATCGCCAAGATGAGAAGGACATGCTCCAAGCTTGGTCTGAAGGTTGGACTATGTATGAAGGGTAGTGCAACATTAAAACGGGTGAAAAATAATTGAATGCAAAGATTCTAATGTAATCAGAAATCGAACGCGAGACAGAGGGAGACAAAATACCAAGAAATCAATTGATGGTATTGGCTCGTTGCACGGTTGCGCGCGTAGCTCATTGGCAATATTTGCGCGGAAGACCTCGTCGATATCTGGCTTTGGGGCGGTAGGTAGTTGCTTTCCTGAGATTTTCCAGTGGTCATCCAAATCCTTGAGGCTGTTTCGAACCTGAACATACCATATCTGCCGTAGGTCTGAGACTGTTGGATATTTCGTGCTGCCTCTCGCTGATATTGTAGTTGGCATTATCTGTGGATTCTCGTCGACATTATGAATCTCGAACCAGTTGGGATCTAGATTGAATTCATCGAATATGTTGACAAAACTGTCATCGAGAAGCCAGTTCGTTGCATGGCACTTCGTGTTAGAATCAGTCAGGATGCCCGCCACAGTAGGGTCTACGAGGGAACCACTGAGATCCATAGTCGCATTATATGAGAATGTGTTGGAACTAGCGGCGGCTTCAGTTAAATTGGAAATCACTCCCATCACAGTGGCTCCAGTATACGGCGGGTTTTCGGGGAAATTCTGGAAGGAGGGAGGCCTTGGATCCCTCATTTCACACTCGTAAGACATCCCGAGACTAGAGGTCTCATTTTCGTCGCCAAAAATGACTTGTGCCTCATCGACTGATGACCTGATCGTTCGCTGCTCATTTGAGCCACTACCCTGAATTGCGGTGCCTGAAGTTCGTTCAGGGTTGCACCCTGCGCTGCTTCTATCCATTACCAATGGCAACTTCTTGCATCCTCGTCGCAAATTATGCATCTTGAAGTGGCGTAGAAGGGTATCACTGGGTGAATTAGCCGAGCAGCATGATCTAGGTCTCATGATTTAATGTTTACCGGCGTGGGTAGAACTTGCCGCAAATCTCACAGCCAAACGGCTTCTCATTAGTATGTGAGCGGACATGGCGGTTGAAGTGGTCATTTTTGCTGAATACGCGCGAGCAATACGGACAGCTCAGGCCCTTATCTGTCGTATGAAGTCGATTTCGAGTCCTTTCCACCGAGGTTTGCCGCGGAGTGGAAACTTGCTGCCCAGCAGTTGGCTCTGTTTCCATTATAGCGGACTCCCAGCATCAATCACACTGTCGTGCGTACATCTTATTGCGCGGATTTCTTCCTTCAAATTGAAGATGTGGACAGTAAGCAGGATGTATTGAGCAAGGCAGTCCAAAGTTATGAGATAACTTGATAATGAAGGGAGCTCTGTGGAATTCCTAGAACTGAGGGCGTGGGGATTTTGATTTTGAAGCTAGGATGGAGGGTCTACAGGGTTCGGGGAACCATCGGCTGTTGAATCGAACTTCCAACAGAGTGCCTAAGCCTAACCGTAGTCTGATCTCAAAATTTGGCGAAACAAGTCGGACTTCCGTTGCTAGCACTGGCTCAATTCTTGCATTTTCTTTGGCTGTGTCCTCATTAAAGCTGTCTAGGTAAATACATACTGCTAAGCAATAATGTCTATCAACCAAGATCGGATCGAGAAGATTACTAAACTTCTGGTCAATACGGTTGAAATAGTGACTTGCTTTCAGATATCCATGCACATGCATCTTTCCAGAAACCATTGAAGCCATCTCCTTGGCGATACCTGAAGGGGAGAAAATTCTCAGAGAGCTTTTGAACTTGCGTCCAACAATCCTTCCTCGTGGGAATGGGACTGTGTCTGAGTTGCTCAGCGTACCACCATCGAATCGGCTTCTCACGGGCGGTGAAACCCCCAATGACTGTCGCCCAAAGAAGGACTTCCGGGTGTGTTTCCCAATAGTCGAATCGATCGCATTCATCGATGGCCAGGAGGAGACCACGAGAGCTGTTCTCATGATACAGGCAGAGGTGGGCCATTGGCTCGATGGACTCGGCAATGAACATTTGTACTGCGAGTCTACACGTTCTGAATAGACAGTCGCCAGACTCGTCAATGTTCATGACTTCATTCTGAATTGCACGCCTGGTTACAACCCACCGGACAATATCAATGCCCAGTTCTGGTTTGTTGAGCATCATATCGTAAGTCGCAAATAAGGCCCGGGCTTTGGATACCATATCCGATAGAGCTCTGACGGGCTTAGTGTTAGGCAGGAAGTCAAAGACATTCTCAATAGTAAGAAATTTTCTCAGCGTTGCAGCATCCCAGTATCCACGAAAGCAGTGCAGCAACTTGCTTGTAGGAATCAGCGGCGGAAAGTATGGCTTTCTTAGACGACACATCGAATCATGTGTGTCAATTCTGCGAAGTCAGTAAGTATTCAGCCTGCCATGGCGGCGGTAGCCTACCCAACAATCAACTCTGCTATATCATGGACCTCAAGATTCTTTGGTCCTCCTTTGTGCTTAGTCAGCGAAAGAAGGACTTCAACATGTGCCGGTTCCCAACCGCCGCTAGAGTAGAATTCGTTGTCTCTGTACATCGGTTCAGTCGACCGCGCGATTTGTACTGGACGCTCTACCGATCCAAGAAGCGCAAGGATGGTAATCGAAAGTAGTAGAGCGTTGGAGATGCTGGCATCAGGGTCGCTTACTGCCACTCGAAGACTTGCTAGCGATTCCTGGTAAGATATCATTCTTAGATTTCGGACAGCTTCATCCTGGCAGCCTAGGAAGAGCTGATAGCTTGCTCCAGCATATAGCAGGACATAAAGAAGATGAGAATTTCCCATAGCTAAAGTCATGATCTGCGACAGCCATTTCTCAATCGCAGACTGATGGGATGAAAAGGCGAAACAAGGCCATTGGTGTATGATGGCTGTAAGTCTTGGTGAGCCATCTTCTAAGTGAGGGATCTTGATCTTTCAGGAACCTACCGAACTGCAGCACGGCTTGTTTATGGGCAGGCATATGTTGGGTTGAAAGCGAGTTGAAAGGATCCAAGCAAGCGGTGAACGGCTTCTCTGGGTTAAAAATGATCTGCCTCTCCGGAAGACTCTTCTTGTCTAACTTGTGACCCCTGCCTTCCGTTACATGCTGTGTGTTGAGCGCTAGTACACCATGTTAGATGATTCCGGGGAGCATTGGCTTCCGGATTCCTCGAACCTCGGACGCGGCACTTCGCTCGCTGTGCTCTACGCTGGCGATGATTGGCATTAGCCGCATGCCGAAAGCGCCGCGTGTTCTTCTGGGGCTTTTCACCGGGCTTCCAAAAGAGATATGTTACTGAAACGGGCTCTCCTATCTCTGGTGCCATGAGCAAAAGTACGGGATTCCATCAAAAAGGGAATATATAAAGATCGCGGATGCAGGAAACTGGAGGGTCAAGGCGGTAAGGGATGAGCTTAACATCATGCCAACCCATCCGCGCAATCAGGGCTGCGCGGGCGCTGAAACTTTGACAAGTTCTGGCTAGCTGAATCTCGTGATTTCTCGTGATTCCAAGAATACGTACAGTTTTCATCTCGTAGTCAATGACACTCAGCCCCCAACCCTAAAAGCTTATACCCGCGCCTAGCGAAATATTGAAGGGTGTGGTTGGGTAGAATACATTTTGCTCCCTTGGCAGCTGAGCTCGCCAACTTACCGAGACCTAGCAAAGAGAGCTAGCATAAGATCAGCCGTACACTTATATACTTAGCAAAGGTAGCAAGGCCAAAGACTCTGAGAGGCTCTCTGGCGCTCGGCCCAAACCTGCCACGGGCCAGAACTCTTTTCCTTGTCGTTGGGGATCTCTTTAGGCAGGGGTATTTACTCCGTACCGATCATAACGCAGATAGTGTTCATTGATTAACCGCGCCCAACACCCAGGCCAATCATTTACCTGTAAGTTATCGCTTCGTCAATGCCGGGCCAGTCAGTAAGCCGGAGATTCACGGTGCCACAAGAATCAACGGCCTGAGATCTAGTCTTTCATTGAACCAAAAGTGGTGCGAGCTATGTTCTATGAACGTGGTTTTCGGTTGCATGCTTCTGCCTCAAGGTGTTTTGATCGTCCTAGATATTGATTGTTTCCCTTCCTCCCCTTCCCAGAATTTGCCGCCTCCTTTGCCGCAATTTGAGCTTCAGTGTGGTGCCTCTTGTGGTTCTTCTTAGTTGCAGCTGCTTCTTTAGTTGCGATCGGTGCCTCAGTGTGATGGGGCTCCCGCTTGCCTAATCAGGATCCAAATTCATCCTCTGTGCTATCCCAAGGACCAAACTCGTCATCTTCCTGAGGACTTCGTTGATGATTCTTGTTCTTAGCAGCGGCTTTCTTTGCTGCAATCTGAGCTTCGGTGTAGTGGCGTTTATGGTTCTTTTTATTGGCAGCTGCTTCTTTCGCCGCGATCTGAGCCTCAGTATGATGAGGCTCGCGCTTGTCCAGCCAAGACCCGAACTCGTCTCCAGTACTATCCCACGGACCGAATTCATCAGCTTCCTGGCGTCGGTGATTATGAATTTTGCCACCAGTAGTGACAGCCCCTTTCGCGGCAATCTGGGCTTCAGTATGGTGGGGTTCTCGTTTCAACACGTCCATATCAGGGAGAAGAGCCCTGGCTGCCATTGAAGCTCGAGATACCAAGGAACCCTAACATTTGGTCAACGTTTGGAATGAATTTCGCGTATGAAGTGCCTACCACATAACGCCTGTCCAGGCCATTAGACGGGGCATGAACCAAAAACCCAGCGGCGAGGGGACTGGCAGCCAAAAGGCCAAAGACTAGGGCGTGGTGAACAGAGGATGGACGCATCTTTGTTCGGTTGTAAGGATTCTTGGAACGAAAGGTACTTTCAACTGGCCAGCAGTTGAAGAAATGAATAAGTCAAGGGAAAGACTGAACTTTCTAGATATCAGCCCGCGTGAACCATTTCTTCGCGCAGTTAGACCATCTTGCAACACAAACCCCATCGTCCTAGAATGTGCATGCTTAGATGAAAACATCCTCGGGATAATTGAGTACCACAATGATCGTCCCATTGCGAGTTTCACTCCAGCCGCGGCTAGAGTTCAACGGTGGTTTAATTACGCATTCATCGTTTCAGGCTGAGAGAGTCGTGACGCACTGGATGTCGACGGCGCATGGCTACGCTGCATTTCTAGACCGCAAGACGTTTCTGCAAGTGTGGGGAGAGTCCCACGCAGAAGATTCTTTGAACTTTCTGCAATGCGCCGAGCATCTGAAACGAGCAATGATAGCACCAATTGCGCTACCAGCGAATCGCCTAGGTGTTCCTACTGTAGCTGTATCTGCAACCGAGATGGCGAATCTAAGCCATCGGTAGGCTACGCTTGCTTGTCACTACGACGAAGAAAAGCTTGTGATGTCTTGACTATCCACCACCCACGAGTTCCTGCGTTTCATCTCTAGCGCCAGCATCGTTCCCATATACATTCGCTGATCTGGGTTTCCATTCAGGATCTCTAAAATCTAGTACGTACCCCAGTTCCACTCTGTACGAGAGGAATAATACCACACCTCAGAAACAAAGACGACTTCAGGATTTACGGGTCTCTTTTGAACGTTTATTTTTGCCAGATTTCGTGATTGACCCATATTTTCTATGTGACCTACTACCTACGGAGACATGTGTATAGTACTTACCACAAGCTCTCCCTACAACGCCAGCCTAGTTTATTCTCATATTCAACAGTGTCTTCTTTCTCCCAAGACTTCAATCAACGCCTTCTTTGATGCAGTGTTGATCCAGAAAGTCAGCATTAACATGTACTTCAATTATCTGCCGCTACCTCGTTGCGACAAGGAGGAGTACAAAACGCCTATTGACCCTACCGCAGCTCTAGATGACGAGGATAACCTGAGTATCACGTCGAGGAAGACAATCCAAATTTACACGTCACAATGGCTCTGGCTACTTCATGCGATCCTGTTAGCCAGCTCGCTCACACTCTTCACTCTCTCTGTTATGGTACGCTCCTCGACGCTCCAGCATGTCCAGGAGTTCTCCGCTTGGTGTATGTCTAAAATTTAACGACGAGATCTCTTTCAATAATGGCTGACGAGAAGATGTCGAAGCTCCTGCCGCCCCTGCTGTGAGGTATCAACCAGTAAAATACGATGTCTCAACCAGTAACAACCAATTTGTTGGTGCAGGGCCTGAGGTGGACAAGGCCTGGCGTGGAATCTCATATGACAGTACGTTCCTGCGGAAGTTCTCCTGCATTTATGTCTAACATGATGGGCCAGTGGGGGACCAATAGATCTCAAAGTCTGATATCGAAAAACTTGGCATGCCTAAGTCTTCCCTCAAAGTCTCCCATCCAAGAACAGGCGAGGAAGGCTACCAGGTAGGAATGGAGGTTTTCCACCAGCTTCATTGTATCAATCTTCTCAGAAGGGTCGCATACAAAGAATACTATGAACCCCTTGGCGGAGAGCTTGCCGCTGGACGCGAGGCGTTGCAACATCATACGGGTGAGTGGTGAGACCGCTTTATATCCTGCATATGCATAAGTTAATTGCTACTGATAGATAACTGCATCGAGATCCTCAGGTTGAATGTCCACTGTAATGCAGACATAGGACTTTTTACGCTATACATGGTCGAAGGAGACTCACAGGTATGGCCAGAACTCAAGTCGAAGCATGTTTGCAGAAATTTTCAAGAAGCGAAGCAATGGGCACTCGATCACTCGGTTGGCAAAATGGAACTATAAGAATAGGGAGATTGAATTGCAACAATCAAAGCAGCAGAGCCAGATTTGCGAAGAGTACGGAGCACCATCCTCGCAAGAAGGGGCAGTAGGTCTCCATAGCTGATGTTCTCACAATGTGGCAATATTGCGTAAGTACTCGCAGAAGACTTAAACCTTAATTAGCCGGAAAGAATGTTTCGAGTGGTCGAGCTTTCATAGGTTCCAAGCTGCTTGGTAAAAGCTTCAGTCCACAGCATCAGGCTAACACCTGACACAGCCCATACAGTAACAGCAGTTTGTACTCTGGGGCAAACAAGCCCCCCTAGCAACTACATTCTCATAGAAACAACCGAATGACGATGGTAATTCTTCGCGCAGGACTTCAGGATCGCTCAATTGGGGGACTCTCCTTTAGGTATGTGGATGGCATTGTTTCAGGCCTCACCAACTAGCTAAGTTTAGTGTGACGCCTACCACAGGGAGCAAAAGATGGGAAACTTTCTTTATTTCATACAAGTATTCACGATACCTAACGCGTGTGAGACTATTCTGTCCACGGCTTAAAGCTTTCGTTGCCCTGCTACGGTTGAGAAAATTAGCTCGCAAACTCTTTCCTCTCGTATAGGAGCGTGCTTTAGACATATCGTCAGCCTCGAACCGCTGAGCGTTGTATTGGACCCTATCTACAGTAGATTCAGCTGAGAAGCGGTAGTTGCTGAAACAACTGCGTTTGATGATATTATCCCTAGGTAGTCAAGAGATTTTCAAAGATCGCTAAAATCGTCGTGGAATTTGTCGCGGCTTCCCCTGGTCTGAGTTATTTGGCCCCCTGTATCTTTTTCATATGATATGCCTACATTAATGAGAATTCTTCATCTTTTCCATTTTTCATTAAACCTAGATACTTACACAGTCCTTCTAGTGTAGTCGGGCTTGCGATAAGCTTTTGGATTACACGTTCTGTTGGCCCCACTAGTTTCTACATCTACACCAACCGTCCGCCACCGGATTATGCCTAGTAAAACAAGAGACGAAAGCACATTCCCAATGCTGGGACAGCACTGCTTAGAAGACTACTATGACCTTGAAATCGAGGGGCATGCAACTGCGGGTGTAAAAGGGTCAACCACGACGAACATCCATGCTAGACAGGATTCACGTGCCTCATCATGGTCATTCGATACCATCACACCCTCGAGAAAGTCTCAATCATTAGTCCATTTCTTGACTTGGCTTCGATGGGGAGTACTTGTTGGGTTGCAGATTATCATCATGTTTCTCCTATGGCAGCGGCAAGGAACAGAAGGTGAAACAGATATCCCATTGAGAGGCAGGGTGGTCGAAACAGGTGGTGATATCAATAATCTATTCAGAACGTGTGAGCGGCCCTTATTGCCTTGGAAACGAAGTCTCATGCAGGTCAAGGCTTACTGAAAATCTTCCCTAGCGTCGCATCCATACGTGTATCTGAAGCCCGAGGCCGGGAAGTTCATCCCGAATATGACGACGAAATGAAAATCGGATGGATATTCGAAGGAACTGGGATCTGTAGATGCCTCGTAGGTTTCCTTCGTTCACGGGTTACTTGAGGAAACAGAACTAACGATTCTGCTACTAGTCGGCAGTGGAAGTGTTGCAATCCCAGAATATCGAGATCATCCTCTTCTAGTGATCCAATGACGGACGACCCGATTCGCGCAGGACCTCTAATTGAAGCCTCTTGGACCCACGCTCTTCACTGTGAGACTTATGAGATCATTGTCTACTATATGAATTATCTAACCCATTACTTGTTGTATTGTTCTGTGGATAGCTATCACCAGCTAATCATTAATGGTCGAACTGACGGCGACAACCCGTACCACGCTGCACACTGCTTCGAGTATTTAAGAACAGTAGTCTTTGCAACCTTGACATGACTCTTGAAGGGTCCATGTCAACACCACAAGATTATGATAGGGGCCAACCCCACGCTTGTCGAAATCGACAAGAAGCAATCGCGTGGATTGAGGCGAGACGAGTTGACGACTTACAGGATATAGTTGGGCCTTAACATAAAGAGTAAATAATCCATGTTCAAACAAGAGATTAAAAGCAATTTCCATCAGAAAGCCTTGTTTCTGGTGCGTACAAAATATTTGTTATCGACCGCGTTCTGTGAACGCAAGGGGAGAAAGTGAACAAGGCGTTATTATATGTAGGTAAAGCAATGTCTACCACGATCAGTACCTTGGTAGACATTGTTTACCATAGCTAAAACTAACACTAACAACAGAAACCTACCACCTATCTATCATCACTAACTGTATCGTTCTGAGCACCATGGCCCCTTATCCTTTGACATCCGGCATCTTGCTGCTCGATTGCAAAGCTACTTTAGCATGACGAACATTCTGCTCCAAGTTGCAGGTAGTTCCAGCAGACTAGGCAAAGGGGTCAGCACATTTAAGGGTTTGCGACAAGAGATACATACTGGTGTCACCCATATCATCTCCGAAAGAGCTTTTCAAAACTTGCTCGCCGAACGTCGTGCCTTCGCTTGGATGGTAGGCTACTGCCTGTGTGCCGATAGCTATGCCCATCATTGGTGGGATTGGATCTAGTTCTTTAAAGTTTGGCTGATGTTGATAGAGCTGTTGGAGCATCAACTGGTGAATGTTGTGCGCGGCGTATTGGCCCATATGCATTGCGGTACCACAACGCTTGATGCCGGACCAGCGAGCGATATCCCCAACTGCGAAATGGTACCGTGCGTTCGGAATTCCTGAAAGCAGATTCAACCTGGAAGGTTAGCACAGAACGAAATTCATCAAGGAATAAGCTTACGATGGTGCGATCTTGACGTATTGCTGCTCATCCAAGGATGCAGGAGGCATGTACGCTGTTGAGGGAATACTCTTCGACATGGCATAAATTACGTGCCCAGCAACAACAGTTTGCCCACCGTCCAGATGAAGCTGTGAGTATGGAGAACCATCCTCACTCGTTGACTTGATTGTCTCGAGGACACGCTGTCCCATCAAAACTTTAACCCCCATCCCCTCTAGAATGGTGCGAGATCTCTCTTTGAACTCATCAGGCAATGATTCCGAGGACAGCAGCTTATCCCGGGAATGAATCAAGGTCACTTGTTGTGTTGGCATAACCAATTTGATTTCGGCAGCCATCTCAATGCCCACAGCACCTGCGATCTAAGAGTCAGCTTGCAGTATGCCTTACATCAATCAAGGGTGATTTACCGCCACCGACAACGACTACACCCCGCCTAGCTGATTTGACCAAGTCGATGTGTCTGAGAGCTTCGCTCAAATACGTCTCCTTTGTGAGACTTTGTGGTACAACTGGCCAGGCTCTTCGCAGCCCGGAAGCACCGACGAAGAAGTCATAAGTTGCTTCTAGCGATGATCCGCTTTCAGCCTCTACGATGGTTGCTCTCCGCAATTTGCTGTCGACCCTTTCAACGGTCCCTCGAATCGTCTTGATGCTCCGGAGCGCAGGAATGTCGTTGAATTTCCTCCATGCTTTCGGTGCAAATGTACCTGATGCAAGCGCTAGAGGAGATGATATCAAATGGACTGTTCAGAGTCATCAGTTGATCGAAAATTTTGTTGAACGCCAGCCTGAATGATTATCCTTACAGTATCCATCACGCTCGTCGACAATCGTGATTTCCAGAGTTATTTTTCTGTTCTCAGGTTCTCCTACCGGGTTGTACTGAAACCGTGGAAATCTTCCCGCACAGAGATCCAAGAGGTTCAAAGCTGCGCCAAGCCCGCCATACGAGCCTCCCGCCACCAGGACTTTGAAAGGCCTAGCTTGGAGAGCGATATTGGAGGCAACCATCGGATTGAGATTGGCAGGGTTCACCGAAGCAAGAAGGGAATGAGAAAACTCCCAAAGCACCTACATTTGGTCTTGTACTTGTTATATTACCATTCCAACATTCAAAGTACCAGAATCATATTTGATAATGAAGCAATGATCATGGGCGTCCGAAAGAGACCGAGTGGGTCGATCCAATCTTATCAGATGCAAGCATCCACAGTTGCCGGTAATCGGAGAGCTACAAGATGAAAATGCAATCACCTTTGTACTGTAAACTCCGTTGGCCAACGACCTACCTAAAATACGCCGCGACGGATAGTGGATCGGAAGCGTGCTATCTACGCTATCGGCTAGGCCCACATCCGATGAAAATTGTTACATATTCTCGCGAATCTCGTGCTATCTGTCATGCTTAAAAGACTGCTCGAGATTGCCTATGATGATTCTAATGTACAAATTTACTATCAAGCATCTAACCGGGCGGTCTTGACGATTATGGCCTCCTTCATAAAGGGGCTTCGTGCACGAATGCGCCTACCATACACGACAATGACCACTGGTGCAAAGGAGAGAACAAGGGACAGGAACCCAAGGACGGTGCTAGCCCACTGAAACCCGAGGACTTGGTACATGTTCTGGGCCGCCAGTGGTAGAAAAGCTGCAAAGATGTTCTCTCCCAGAACGATTGCAGCCACGGCACTTCCTGCATACTTACTGTATGCATCGACAACATAGTCTGCAATCGCGATGACCACGACGTTTGTTCCAAACCCAACCATAGCAAGGCCGATGGCCGGTGCTATCCAAGGTAGTGATGCATATGAGGTCCACCCGTACACAAACATGCCTCCGGTAACGCCCACAAAACTGCCAATCAAACTCATATAAAGACGAGCTTCTGGGATGGGAGATCCCGGTGCCTCCTGGTTCCTAGACGCTGAAGCAAAGTAGAATTTTGCAGATATGAGTGCACCGAGAAAGCCAATACATTCGCCCATCACTACAGCAGCCTGGACGTAGCCGGCTTGAGACGCTGTCCAGCCATATAGTCCAGCGAACACCAGCTCAACCGACTGTGTGAAGAGGTAAACGGTGCCCACCATGAAAGCAGACCAGATCGTGAAGACGAATACCACTGGCTCTGTCATCAGCATGTAAATTGGTCGACGTACACTTTTGCTGAGTTTTCTGAAGAGTGTCCTCCCTGGCGGTTGTGCGACTGTAAGTGATTCTTCTTCCACGCTCATTCCTTTCTTCTCCCTTTTTTCAAGGATCACAGAGCCTCGACTTTCATCAAAGAAGTAATAATAAATTGGGGCGAGGCAGCCATACCATACAAGCTGAATATATGAGATCCATCGCCAACTTAATGACTGGAAGATAACCCCGCCAATGATGGGACCCATGCTGCTGCCAGTGAGATATGCGGTGACATAGAGAGCCATTGGGATCGTTCTACCGCGTTCCCCTTCCCATATATTGCCAATAACGCTAGCAGACGTGTTTGCCAGAATTGAGACGCACCCGCCAGTGAAAAACCGCGAAATGATTAAAGTTGCAAAATTTCGTGCTACACCCTGGGGCACAACAAAGCAAATAAAGACTCCATAGGTAGTCAAGAAGCCGAATCGTACACCGAAGTCTTCCATAAGTGGTAGAACGACCAAGGAGAAAATTGCCCCGCCCAAAGCCCATGAGGTAACCGGCCAATAAGAGTTTGGAAAGGTTGCGTCACTGACTCCAAATTCTTCATTGATGGCTTCGTGGGCCACGGTGATAATGGTTCCGTTCAGTAACGTTGTGAAAGTAGCGAGAACCGCAATGATGGTGGTCATCCATTTCTTCTTCGATGTCCAATTGTATGGATTGTCGGAGTCCTCTGAGCTGCGCCAATCTAAGCACTGGCCTCTTGGAATATCGTTTAACAAAGTTACGTCACGGTTTGTTTGAACACGGGGTGTCGAAATGTGGGATATCTCTCTATCAAGCTGGGTTGAAGCAATAGTCATATCATGCCCAGGTATGGGCATCGGCGCAGTCTCTTTCAGAGCTATAATGTCGAGAGTTCAATGGACTGAAAAAAGGTACAAAACATATAAACAGGATTCTTTCTGCATCCAAATAAAAAGCGAACTTTTGTGGAGGTCCTTTAAATCTCTGAACATAATTTTTCGGAGGTCAGCGAACTTTTACCTAATGGGCCGAGAACTATTTCAAAACTTGCCTCTGACGAGTAATATGATTCTCTGTATATCTAGCAACAAATAAATGTATAGCAGGGGACTCTCGTTTTTCCTAATATCTGTTCATAGGATGACGCGGTAGAAATACTTACGCCGGCTCATATTGTCGGGCTTCCAAATGAAACATCTGAGCGTCGAGAGGCCCATTGAGGTGTGGCATGTCATAGTGGCGCTATTGTACTAATATTTGTCTGAAACATGTAACAGCCCTGCTTTCTTTCGACTAACTTCTCTCGGGCTAATGAATCGGAGAGCCTAATCAAGAGGAATGGACCTTGCGTCCTTTACTCGGCAATCATCAACATCATCTCCAATTTAAGTCCTCCTGGAAGAAGTCCACGGTGCTCTACGACGTCACAACGTTGAACACTTGCTCCTAAAGTGTCGTCGCTGGCAGTGGTCCTTCAATGATAAGGAATCACGCGATAGGCTTCCTCCTTAGGCCAGATGTAGAAGCGACACGTCTATCCGCCTATTGTCGGAAAGTCATTAGAACTAAGTGCTACCGGTTCGCATAAATAAGTTCGATGGTGAGACACGATCGGCAAAATCCTCGTCAATCTCGAATTTGATTTCTGCGCGTGGCCTGAATCCAAGTTTGGCATAGACATGCCTTCCCATGCTTGATGCCTCGGTGACTGCCTCGAGATTTCCACGCTGCTTTGCTTCGCTGAGGCCCCGTTCCACGAGTTTAGAGGCAACCCCGCGTCTTTGAAATGCGGGATGGACGGCACAGATATCTAGTGCCATCACCGAAGCAGGTGTACGTCCAGCAAGCTCTGAAACATAAGTCCTCCGATGGCGCTGTAATGAATTGAGCATCTGGGAAATATAACGTTGTTCCAACTCATCGCCGGGATGCTGGTCCTCGAAGTCGCTAGGCTTCCATTCCTTTGGCCTTTCGCCTTGGCCAGGGACCATAGATAGTTGTGACCAGATCGCAAATCCGACTATACGCCGTGAGTGAGGCTGGCTAGTTTCTTGAATGCTAGCTTTCAGATGCAGTGTATTTTTATTGGCTTTACGCCATTGGTCGATCATGTGCTCGGTGTTTTTACGAGCACCGACTGAAGTGTCCCAGCCTGGATTGGAGCTGATCCATATGGTATCATTTGCTTGTCGGCCAAATGCTTCTGCTAGGCAGACAAAGCAGTGCTCGAAGTCTTCAGCGTCCCTTATTAACTCGACTCTAACTTCGTTGTCATGGTGGGTTGCTGCCATTGTGCTTGAACTCTAGGAGTTGAAGCCGCGTGGCTCGATGGTTTTCTGCCAGCAACACGGTGACAAGCTCACTTACGTTGATTTCGTTGTACTCGTGCAGATTTTTCAGATTGTCAATGTCGTAGGCAAAAGTCCAGCCCGGCAAAACTCCGGCCTCTAGTGACATTTCGCCAGTGTTCGCCCTAACTAGTGCATCGCATAATTATGCAAAATTTACTTTGCAATCCATGCTCCGGGAAGGCAGTGCGCTCTCATAAGGAAGGATTATTGTGTATCCAATGTGCCTGCGGATTAGAGTTGTTCCGACCTATCCTACCTACTGATCTCGACGCTTCGTGAATTTCGATGCGGATGACATAGACCCTATGGTATACCAGAATGGCAACTATCAACATTGAGACTAAAACAAACCATTTCAGATGGATGTTGTACACGTCTAAGTCGTGAAGAGGAAGTCCGTGAGTAGAAGTTAGGCTAAAGCTCTCATCCGCCACTGTTCAAGCCACTTCATATGATCTCCCAGCTTCCAGGAACACCGCCGCCGTTCGAGTGGCGTTACGGTGAAGGAGCCAACAATCGATCCAATAAAAACGGTGAAGGTAAATACTATAAGGGCTGGACACTTCTCATCTATATTGTACATATCTGAGTACAGGGGGGCGGCGACAACAACAACAACAATAACAACATCAATGAGGCTGCTACGGAAGACACCCATGAAAAACCGATTAATCATCAGTGTCTGAACGTTCTTGGACGCTGCGACTACCACTGTAAAGACTGAGAGTCCGAAATTGCCAGGGCCATAAGCAGTTTGCGTTCTCAAAGCTCGGATAATGGCGCCCCAAAGTATGGGGCCTAGAGCATAGCCGACTAGATACAAGGTAGTCGACAACAATATAACTTCGACAAAAGATACGCGAATACACCGCTATCTGATATGTAGCTGTCGTAATCCATATATACGGTTCGGGACCAGCCTTGGCGTTACGAGAAGCACCAAGGTATTTTCGGATGTATTCTTAGTACGCCCAGGCTGGGCCTCATTAGAAAAGCAAGACTAAAGAAATCTCAATGGACAAGACGCGGAGATCACAGGGACGCTCGTACCGTCTTATCATCACGTGACGTCACGTGTTAGCCGCCAAGCGGACCTGGTGACGTCATGTGGCAGGAGCCCCTCGGCAAAGGGCCTTTTACTCCTTGCCGAGCCCCGCACGTGCAGACGTGTTGTATCATAATATATCTCGTTTACTTTTCACCAGGATGCGTCTGCAAATGCCTTGGCTGGGAAGTTGAACGATACTGAATCCAATGACCTCTCGCGCAAGACTTACCGCTCTCGCCAAACAGCTTGCGAATACTACCAAGTCATCCCACAACACGCCTCAATCTAGATCCCTCGCCAGCATGGCTCACACCCAGTCTGCAGCTTGCTGCAACACGCCCGCGGTCATCAGCAAGGGCTACCAAGAGAAGGGCACTTTCATCACCGTCAATGGCCTGAAGACCTATAATACCGGACCCTCCTCAGCCAGTAAAGGTATTCTCGTCATCTACGATATCTTCGGCTTCTTCCCACAGACCCTCCAAGGTGCCGACATTCTGGCTCACTCGGACAAGGAGCATCAATATCAGGTTTTCATGCCAGACTGGTTTGAAGGAAAGCCGGCAGATATCTCATGGTATCCTCCAGACACGGACGAGAAGGGCAAGAAGCTAGGCGAGTTCTTCCAGACCTCGGCGGCACCGCCAAAGACCGTTGAGCGGGTCAAGAAGGTCATGGAAGAATTACAGTCGAACAATCCTAGTGTCGAAAATTGGGGAGTTGTTGGATACTGCTGGGGAGGGAAGGTAGGGCCGCAGCTCACCCGTACCACGAGGACATCACGCTAACGCAGCTCTTCAGATCGTCAACTTGGTCTCACAGGCGGGGACTCCATTCAAGGCGGCAGCTAGTTGCCATCCAGCAATGGTAGATCCTAATGACGCACCAAACATCACAATCCCCATCCTCTCAATCCCATCGAAGGATGAAGATAAGTCGGCTATGGAAAAATACGAGGCTGCACTGAAAGTGCCTAACCAGGTCGAATGGTATCATGACCAGATCCATGGATTTATGGCTGCAAGAAGTGATCTCGAGGATGAGAACGTCAAGGCAGCATACGAGAAAGCGTATCAAACCTTGCTCACTTGGTTTCATAAATACTTGTGAAACGATCAAGGACGACAATTTATTGTGTGCTCCGAAACCATAGCCAATTGAAAACGACCAGGTTTACTCGCACTGGGGGTGAGTGACTACCAGCACCCTGAATCTGAAGCTAGACAAAACACGAGAAAATATTGTATTCACGATCCGTTTATCGGTGCACGTGTTCTAGACTGTTGCGCGCTTCAAGCAATCTTTCCAGCCCACCCTCGGGAGAGGCACCCTGCCGGCCCTGTAGTAAATATCACATATCACACACGATCGGTGAAATGGGGTGGTTTACCATAGCCTGGTTCTGTTTGATAATCTTCCAACGGCCAGTGGTTCCCATTACTAATAGCTTTATAGCAGTGTGTGAAAGTTGGCATGCGGCCACCGAACACCTGGAGAAGCTGGCAGCTTCAAGCAAACATCAACGACAGCATCAGGAGGAAACTCCTTATGTTGAGGGCGTCATATCTGGTTGTTGCATTTGCACGCAAGAATCTTGTGCTGGTCTGAACGTTGCGAGGGTCCGGTTTTCTGGAAAGCTCGGCAATGGCTCAATGAGAAATTTGGATGGAAGAAGGAAGCTCTCTTCCTGGCCATGCAGCAATGGAAGACTCGCAGAATGATAGTGGAGAAGCCTGTGAGAGCCAGGCCTGCTTCGATATTCCGTTCCCCAATGTCGAAGCATTAAGTCCACCTTTCGCTGATTTTGGGTTGTCTAGGGCTGGTTGTCATCATTGCTATCCGAGCCCGGCTCCGCCTTCCAGAAGCACCAGGCAAGGATGATAATAATCTTCATGGTTGCGGCAGTCCATAGAGCACCAGAAAGACCAACAGAACTATGCGCCCACAAACCGCCAACCATAGCTCCCAATAAAAGTAGGACTGGGGCTGCTGCTCTTCGATTCCTCTCATCGTTCTGTGTCAATCCAGCCATGATCAAAGGGTCGGAGAAGAGGTCGCAGTAAATGCTGGTGAGGACCACACTAGTAAGACTGCTATATTGCAAAGCACGGCTGGTCACTGCTTGTCCACTGCTTTGGAATGCCACGAGGGCAAGCGGTACCAGTACCTCCCATCGAAGGTCGCCTCCTCGCTCCGCATCGACGTGCACTATAATTGCAGCGGAAGTGACCAAGACCAACTGGGCTGAAAAGGAAGCAAGAAGTACCCATCGACGCTTTGGGGCGAAATATCGATGAAATCGACTGAAGAAGAACGAGCCCGCGCAGAAGAACCCGATCGAGGTTCCAGACCTGATCCACCTGGTTCCCTCAGTTGGAGCAACCAGACCAAGCCCGAGGTAGACAGTATTTCCGGTTTGCATGCTCACGAATGAACCCCATATGAAGACAGCGGAGGAATCCAGTAAGCCCGTGATCACATATGACAAGAGAAGGACGAGATCGGCCCGGCGTCTATCAATTTCCTGCTTCAAATACTTGGAAACGCGAGTCGAACGTGGCGAACTAATCGTTTTCGCAAGTAATGGACTCTGCTCATTTCCTGAAGCTGTGGTAACCCAAGACGATTGTGTTCCATCCAGTGTTCCATATCCGTTAGGGGAAGTCATCGTGACAAGGGTCTGGGGAGTGCCGGTCGAGAAGACCTCCAGGTTAAGAAGAGGAGTATAGCTTTTAGAAGAACCTCCCAAGAGAAACGGTTTTAGGAATCATCTGCCGGCTACGTCACCCTGATCGAGGCAAATCGCGTCATGGTAGAGGACGTCGTCCGAGACGGCCAACGATGCCAGTGGCTGATCGAAAAGGCTGTGGACCCGGGGCGGTTGAATGATTAAGCGAAGTCGTAGGTGGGTTGGTGAGGTCGTGACGCTCAATCTTGAGAATCGTCGATGCTCTCCCGCATTCGCATGGAGCATCCATCAGCCTGTATTAAAGGCCATAGCCCCCCTTCTACTTAACAGCTTCTGGCAGTCCATCCTTCTCCCTCCTCTTCTCTCTCCTCTTTCTCCAAGTCAATATGCAGCTCTCACTCCTCGTGTCTCTGCTTGTAGGCTCTTGCTTGGCTGTCCCCATCTATGACAGGGACCAACAAGCCATTCAACCTTTTGATAGGAAGTCTCCCTATACTAGAAAACACAGGGACCACTATGATCATAAGCTCGACTCCTATGGACAAGACTTGGAGCCCTTGCCGTGGCGAAATGGCGATGGTGCCACCATGATGGGGCCTCGTAACAGGGATCGAGAGAGGCAGAATCCTGATATGGTCCGGCCGCCATCAACCGACTCTGGAAATCTCCCAAACATGCGTTGGAGCTTCGCTGACTCCCACATCAGAATTGAGGTAAGCACCATTGACTTAACGCCATGTGCGAGGTGTGCTAAAGCAGAGTAGGAAGGAGGCTGGACTCGGCAAACTACTGTCAGAGAGCTTGGCACCAGCAAAGAGCTTGCCGGTGTCAACATGAGACTGGATCATGGTGTCATTCGCGAGTTACACTGGCACAAACAAGCTGAATGGGCATATGTCCTCGAGGGAGAATGCCGTGTCACTGCTCTGGACACCGAGGGAGGAAGCTTTATGGATGATCTTCAGAAAGGTGATTTATGGTATTTCCCGCCAGGCCATCCTCATTCTCTGCAAGGCCTCAGTCCAAATGGCACTGAATTTCTCCTGGTCTTCGACGACGGTAATTTTGACGAGGAGTCGACCTTCCTGTTGACTGATTGGTTGGGTGAGTGGCTCCAGGTTCTCTCGCAATCCTTGAGCGATCCCTGACCCTGCATATAGCCCATACTCCAAAGTCCGTTCTAGGGGAAAACTTTCGCCTGGCCCCAGAGGTCTTTGATAACCTAGATCCTGCCGACAAGTATATCTTCCAAGGATCCCTTCCGGGTCCCATTGACCAAGAGAAACCCCGCGGCGAAGGGGTCAAGAAATCCAAGCTACAATTCACTCACAAGATGATGGACCAGAAACCCCTCAACACCACTGGCGGCCAGGTTCGAATCACTGACTCCACAAACTTCCCCATTTCCAAGACTGTGGCTGCGGCTCACCTCAACATCGAACCTGGCGCTCTCCGAGAGATGCACTGGCATCCCAATGCGGATGAATGGTCATACTTTATCAGCGGACGGGCCCGTGTCACCATCTTTGCAGCAACAGGTATTGCTCGAACTTTTGACTACATGGCTGGGGACGTCGGGATTGTACCAAAGAACATGGGCCATTTCATTGAAAATCTCAGTGACGACGAGCCCGTCGAAGTCCTGGAGATCTTTCACGCCGACAAGTTCGAGGACTTCTCGCTGTTCCAATGGCTCGGTGAGACCCCGAAGAAGATGGTTGCGGACCATCTCTTTGCCAATAACAAGAAGGCAGCAAATAAGTTCTTAGAACAAATCGAGGATGCCGAAAAGGACCCCATCAGGAACGTTTTAGAAAAGTAATCATGGTTCATTACGGCGTTGGGAAAATGCTTCTGCGTCCCCTACAAAGGAATGGAATGGTTTCCAGTAGGCCAAGCTGGCTGTACTGAAACTGGTGCCCGTACTATAATTGTAAATCATGGGAATGATACTGTATCAAATACTCGATATTCCTTATTTGAGACCGATTCACTGGAAAGTGCCAGGGTCCTCCATACCCCAGACTACTATGCAGCAATCACATGGATTCGATTTCGTATCTCTGGCAAAATGTTTAAGCAGCAACTAGTGGATTGTGGCGATTCTTCATGCATGAAGCTCCTCCCTGTTGGCCCAGTTGAAATTCTAACGCTACAGGACTAGCTTCCTCGGTACCTCAAGGAGTTTGTGCTATTTTGGTCAGGATCACAGCCAGCGAGCCTCACAAGATCACAGGATAAAGTACTAGTATTGCAATCCTAATGAGCCGACAAGATTGCCTGATTCTCGAGTGCCAGACCAGGAGCTAGGGTCATCCATTTACTCTAGCGCCAATGAAGATTCTAGGTCAACACCACCGAATATGGTCACGAAACAGCCAATGCGGTCACTCTCATAGCTTCATGACTTCCTTGATTGTGGCTTTCTCACTCTCCAGAAGATCCTTTCAATAATGTTCAAAATCGACATAGACCCGGCCCTCATATGCACCCAAGGCGCCTTCTACGGTTGGACCGCGCGATGTCCCCATAAGCAAATGCCAGTTGCAAGGATCTACCGAACACCCCTTCAGATTTGGTACTGGCTGCTTTGAATTCGAGAAGTTTAGAATTACGAGGGCCCGCCGACTGCCGTCAAGACTCTCTTTGATGTAGGTGAAGACATTCTCGTTGATTTTGTCCACAAGCTGGAATGTGCCATGAATGAAGATATCCGCGTGGCTCTTCCGCAATGCCATCATCTTCTTGTAGAGTGACAGTACGCTTTGACTGTCGTTCACTTGATTCGCCACGTTGATTCTACCAGCATGATCATGTGCGCGCATCCATGGTTCAGTGCTAGAGGAGGTGAAGCCACCGTGTGCAGAACTGTCCCACTGGAATGGAAGACGAGAATGATCTCGAGCAAGAATCCGAAGGCCACTCATTACCCGGTCCTTTTCCGCCGAGTCTGCGTTTCTTTCCGCTTCACGGTAGAAGTTGTTGCTTTCAATATCTTTGTACTCCTCGATGGACCAGCTTTCTGGCATGTTGGTCATGCCAATCTCTTGACCTTGATACAGAAACAGCGTCCCTGTAAGGGTAGCTTGCCAAAGAGCGATCATCTTTGCGGAATTCTCCCAGTGCTCCGGGCTGTCCGAGCCAAATCGAGATACTGCTCTTCCGTTATCATGATTCTCACAGAACACCGTCGTCCAGCCATCTGTGCCTTCAATGAACTTCTGCCACCTTTCCACTAATACCTTCAATTCACTGAGTTTCCAGGGCTTGAAGGTATACTTGCTGCCGAATCCGTCACCTGTTCCTAACCGAATCATGTCGAATTGGAATACCATATTCAGCTCCCTCTTAGATGCCTGGACGTAATCCAAAACCCCTTGTGGGTGAGGTGTATTGGAAAGCTCCCCTACTGTGACAACGTCATAATGGTCAAGAACTTCACTGTTCATTTCTTTCAAGAACTCGTGAATCCTTGGACCATTACACCACATTTCAGGCGCAGGTTGCCACTCACTCTTGGGATCTGCGATTCTGGCGTCAATAAACTCGGTCCTTTTGCTGTACTTGTTGACAGTGTCCACCCGGAATCCATCAACACCCCTGTCGAGCCAGAATCGCATGGCGTTCTCATAGATGGCCTGGCGGCAAGACTGGTTCTCCCAATTTAAATCCGGTTGATCTGATGCATAGAGGTGTAGGTAATATTCTTGAGTTAGCTCATCCCAGGTCCAGGTTCCACCTGCAAAATAACTCCTCCAATTTGTCGGCGGTCTCCGCCTGCCGTTCATGTCATACCGAGCGGGCTTCCAGATATACCAGTCTCGCTTCGGATTATCACGTGAGGATCTTGATTCCTTGAACCACTCATGCTCCTTGGATGTATGGTTGACAACCAGGTCCAGTATCAATTTCATACCCCTTGAATGGCAAGCCTCAATCAAGTTGTCAACATCTTGAAGGGACCCGTATCTAGCGTATACTTTCTGATAGTCGGATATATCGTAGCCCATATCTGCCTGGGGGCTTTCGAACATCGGTGACAGCCAAACCACATCGACGCCTAGATCGTGCAGGTAATCGATCTTAGAGACCAGCCCCGGAATGTCACCCCAACCGTCTCCATTCGTATCCTTGAAGCTCGCGGGGTAGACTTGGTATATTGTCGCTTCTTTCCACCAAGGAGGAGAAACTCTCGATATCATATTGATAAAACCTCAGCAAAGATAAAAAGGAGAATGGCTTCAGGAGGTGACATAGAGTTGAAGATGCGGCTGTGATATAACTCCCGGAACGAGGTATGTCGCAGAGCCAGTTTAATTGTAAGTCTTGACCACCGCTATCTCTGCCCATCATTTCTGAAAGGGATCTTTTCAAGTCTTCCACCGAGAATTGCTCCATGAGGGTCTATCACTGATCGTCTACCGCATTACCTCCGACTTTGCTCCGTATCATGTCATCCACTCCGACTTGTATCCGACTAATCTCCGACTTGCATCCGTCTTGGCAACAGCCAATCCTTCAACGGCTTGCACAATCATCTTTTCTATTGCCAGGGGTCAATCGAATCAGAAGACAGAAATGAAGCAACCCATGCGTCAGTGGCTCATTTACGAGCGACTGATGTCCCGAAAAATATCCCAATCTTAATCGAAGGAAGCATTAAGAGCTGGGGGCCTGCGGTAACCCCACAGTCTTCCGTAGACTATCTTGAAAAGACCATACTCCACGTGGAGTGAGCAGACGGTAGCAGACGGTAGCAGAACGGATGGGCGCTTGTTTTTTCCAGTTGCCCAGAGACATGATGAAAGAAGATAAATATCGGCGAGTGGCCTAACTGTGAGGAATCTCCTCCTCCTTCTCCAGGCATCTTGGGTTTCTAAAATCGCTCCCACCTGTGCCTATCTCTTTCACCAATAAGCCCCTAGGAACATACCTTAAGCATGTCGACACCTGGTGAGAGAGATGCTGTGCCAGCCATGAGTGAGAAGGCAAGAGATCAAAAGCAGTTTGAAGACGCCACAACATCTCACACTGAAGGCCTCGGACTTGCAGGGGAAGCAAAGCATGCGTCTGACTCAGAACATCAGATGACCTTGGCCAAAGCCATCAAGTTATATCCGCATGCCATTGGCTGGTCAGTTCTACTGTCGTCAACGTTGATTATGGAAGGTGCGTTTGAGGAAGTCTGTCTGATGTTAGGCCATCGACTAATGCGTTTCTTGTTGTTCAAAACAGGCTACGACCTTGCACTTCTTGGAAGTCTCTATGCCAACCCGGAATTCAACAAGAAATATGGAGTATACAATCCCGCCACCGAAAAGTGGGCGGTATCAGCAGCATGGCAATCTGGACTCTCAAACGGTGCGCGTGCAGGAGAGATCTTTGGGCTGCTCTTTGCTGGCTGGACCTCAGACAGATATGGTTATAAGACTACAACGATCGGCTCGCTTGTCTTGATGATATGCTTCATCTTTGTTCTCTTTTTTGCGCCGAACCTGAAAGTCCTGGTGGTCGGAGAGATCCTGTGTGGTATGATCAATCAACCTCCTACAAACAAGAGTGTTGCTAACAGTAACAGGCATCCCATGGGGCGCTTTCCAATCTGTAACACCTGCATACGCATCCGAGGTGGCTCCGACTGTTCTGCGACCGTACCTGACGACTTTCATCAATCTCTGTTGGGTCATCGGGCAATTCTTTGCTGCCGCAGTCAATCGAGGCTCGGTAAATCGAACCGATCAATGGGCGTATCGGATTCCATTCGGTGTCCAATGGGTGTGGCCAATCCCCATTCTTGCCGGACTCATTTTCGCTCCCGAAAGCCCCTGGTGGCATATTCGCCATGGAAACCGCGCTGCTGCAAAGCATTCGCTGTTGAGATTAACCTCAAAGAACCAGCCGAACTTCAACCCCGATGAAACAATCGCTCTCATTGAGCATACCAACGAAATGGAAAAATCCATGCAGGAGGGAGTATCCTACCGCGATTGTTTCAAGGGCGTCGACCTGCGAAGAACCGAAGTCGTCGTGGGTATTTGGCTTGTCCAGACTCTTGGTGGACAGAATCTGATGGGGTATTTCTCCTACTTCCTGTAAGTAACCCAGCGAGCTTTTTAGACCGTCATACCTGACAAACTATCCCAGTGTACAAGCGGGGATGGATTCAACCAACTCCTTCTCCCTGTCCATGGCGAATTCTGCTGTTGGCATTGTGGGCACGATTGGTTCCTGGTTCTTGATGAGCAGGGTTGGGCGTCGCACGATCCACTTCAGCGGGCTGTGCGGACAGCTAACAATCTTGGTAATTGTTGGGAGTCTCTCATTTGCATCTTCAAGCAGCGCCGAATGGGCGATCGGTGCTATGCTGATCGTCTTTACTTTCATCTACGATTTCACAGTCGGCCCGGTGACCTATTCCTTGGTTTCCGAGTTGTCTTCGACCCGATTGAAAGCGAAGACAATTGTGTTGGCCAGAGCAGCTTACAATGCAAGCAATATATTCGTCAACGTCATGACGAATTATCAGCTTAGCTCCGCCGCATGGAACTGGAGCAGTCGAGCTGCATTTTTCTGGGCAGGGAGCTGCCTGCTTTCCGCAATTTGGGTGTACTTTCGCTTGCCGGAGCCTAAAGGAAGAACCTACGCCGAATTGGACCTCCTATTCCAGCGAGGTATCTCTGCTCGCAAATTTGCCTCGACAGAGATAGATCCATATTCCGAAACTACCATTGGCTCGCACAAGAAGTCTGTTGGCACGGATGAGATTGATTTGGCTGATGAGAAACGATGAAACGGTGTCGAAGGAGCAATCTAGTTTCTTCCTCTCAAAACTTTAGTGGTATATAGCTAGTAGCCCTAGTGATGAGATAAAGCTCTAAGACCGTGCCTATTGTGGCTCAATTGTGGTTGTCATAATATCGAGTTTTGTGGCTATTTACAGTATTCCTAGATGGACCCAAGCCGCAGCGGAAAAAAAAGGCTAGTCTTCTGGATGGCATAATTTACTGAATATATTACTCAATAGAATCTTCCCTTCTATAGAAGTTTATGGCAATCGCGGGCACCACTATGATTGAGTACCGGCGTCTGATCAATTACCCTCCACCCCATGAGTGAATCATGAGTCGCATCACCGTCTCTAAGGCGTGCGACGCATGCAGGCGACGCAAAGTCAGATGCACCTGGGGTCAGCCCTGTGCAGCTTGCAAGCAGGCAGACCTGCAATGCACCTTTCTATCGGTGCGTCAGAAGAAAGGACGAAAGGGTGATACTGCAAATGTCATCTCAGAGCTTCGCGCTTTTCAGCCAGAGCCTGTCCGGTATACTGCGCCGGCGAGCCCAGAGCCTAGCCACAGTTTGCTCTACGCCTCTCCTTCTTTCTCCCTCGATGTTCACACGAGCCCTCAAGGACTCGACTCGCAACTCACCAAGACTGGCTTTCTGCGCAGTGCCGGCCTCCTGCCAGCAAAAGTTATTGAACTGTGTACCGAGCTTTTCTTCTCACATATGCGTTCCACTGTGCCAATACTGACGCAGGAATTTATCATCCAAGCTGCTTCATCGGCAGCTGGAGGGGGAGGCCTTGGCGAAGAAGCCTACTGTCTGCTGTGCTCATTCTGTGCCTTTGTCATCCTCCAGACAGGCGGGATTTCTACAACACATCTTGCGCAAGCAGAGATCCAGTATGCGCCTCATCCATACGGACAGTTGCTCTTGCGTGAAGCGCTATCGGCTCGAAGCCATTTGGATATACTGGCAACGCCGACACTGCGCACAGTGGTGCTCACCTTCTTCATTTACGGTTGCCATTCGGCCCTCGGAAAACATCGACTGGCATGGTTTTTCTTGAGGGAGGCAACAACGCTCTACACCTCTGCAACGCTGGATTCAAGTGACCAAATGGCGGACGAAGCCCTCAACCGCTTATACTGGCTGCTTCTCATTTCTGAACGGTGAGTTTTCAGGGCTCTGGTGTCCTGGCAGCTACTAAACAGCCTTCTAGATCTCATGCGATCCGTAGACGTCGCCCCATAACACTTCAGATAACGCCCCAAGCTCCGTTGCTTGAGCAGACCGTCAGTAACGACCCGACTTTGACCGGATTTCGTTACCTGGCAGAACTGTTTCGCCCAATCGATGACGACTTTATTGCTCTTTGGAACAGAGCTAGTAGTACAGCATCAAAAGAGATCCTCGTTCGACTTTCCGAGAATATCCACTCCATTGTCCCATCCTCAGTGGATCTGGGGGAGACTCAACTGGCAAACATCCGCGTATCCCAGCAGTGGCTTCGGGTCATTGTCTGGCAACTGTGTACGATGTTAGGATTTCTCTCCAGCGAATCGACGGACGCAAGTCTGACTTTCCGATATCCCTTGAAGATCGCCCAGGATCTGGCGATATCAACATGGAAGCTGCCTCTTCATAGCATGCAGATGCATGGGATCGGGCTGACCGAAAAGGTCTTCGACATCGCATTCACCCTTGTGGACGTGATTGCATACATACCCAGTGGTGAAGCCAAGGCAAGCGGCTTTGAGATTGGACCCGAAGATAATCTAAGGCACTTTCTTTCGCTGATCTCGCAGCTACCAGGTGGCAGCAGAAAGTATTTGCCTCTGTTAATGACCAAGGTGGAGCAAACGCTGCCCGAGATGACTGCGCCGCTTGCAAGGCATCTTCGATTTCCTTTGGAAGAGAATTCTAATGGAGCTATCACTACTTAAAGCAGGCTTGAATTTTGGTTAATTTCGGGCGCCCCTAGGTAACCCTCCCCCCTGGGCACCCCGGAGTTCTGCACCCATCAGTCCCGCTCGACCTCTCGAACCGCCCGTGGAAGTCCCTATGATGTCCGTTTTCGGATAAGCATCCCTCGGCACCGCAGCTTGAAAGGGTTTAGGGCGGGGGCTCCCGAGGCCCAAATCTCAAGCATGGCAGTTGCAAGGTGCATCTTGTCTTTTCTTCCTACATAAATCTTCAAGGATGGCCTATATCGCTTTGGCGCCCACTCTAGGCAGCAGTACCGGTCTCTCTCATACCTGACCAGCATGTCTGTGTCAACACCTCGACAGACAAGGAAGAGACCTCTTCCAAGAGCGAAACAGGCTTGTGCGAGATGTCGCAGACAGAAGGTAACTAACTTCCCCCCCCTGGAAGCCGGCGCAATTGTCATCAGACTGACGGCGGAATAGTTGAGAGTGCGTTTTCCTCCACTGCCGACAGGGACACGACCTAAAACCCTTTCCCCTTAGTGCGACAACGCCAGGCCTTGCGCCCTCTGCGTTCGCGCAGGGGTGGAGTGTGAAGAACGAGACACCATGGCACGGTCCGTTGTAAAGAAGCTACACGCACGCCTGATTCGAAATCAACTGATTCTTTCTAGTACTCGCCATGACGTTGATACAGCCATTCCCCCGAGGCTTCCAGAGATTCTGCGGAATTCTTCTCCAAGTCGGATTGGCATTGAGCCACCACCCTCTCCGTTCCCTTCTAATGGGCCGAATCCCTACCTGGCACCGAGCCATAATGGAGGATCCACCGCAGAATTCGATGTAGAAGAGCAGGGAGGGGCATCACCCGAACTCTATCGCGACAGGACATCCACGTACGAGGTCCTAGACCAGGCAAGTCTACCGCCCTTGGGCGGCCACCTCATGCTGAGCAAGAGCCATAGCTTTTCCGAGAACGCAATTCAACTGCGACGCTTCATCATCCAACAGCCGCAATACCTGGCGGAAGCCCCGAGGCACGAATATCCGACACTGGAGGGCACTATGTTTCAGTCATAGATCTCATCGGAGAAGAACTGCCACCCGTAGATCTTGTGAACTACAGCCTCAGAAAGTATTTAGACGCTGTTCATTGGTTCATGGTCCTGTTTCACGAACCATCTTTTCGGACAGAGTTGCAGCAAATCCTCTCGACGGGTTATGTTCGTAAGGATCGATCGGCGTTTGTTTATCTTGCTGTCCTCGTCATTGGAGTGGGCGCCAGGTATGCTGCTGGTTCACCGGATGCCGAATCAAGTTATCAGGGTCACGACCTCGATAGTCTTGGAAGAAAGTTGATTCGATGCATTGAGCTCAAACTCTTGGAAATCTTTGATGAATCTGGTATCGAGGCTGTACAGATTGCCATAGTCATGTCGTCATATCACCTCTACCATGGGCTGCCAAAACGCAGCTTTGCCACGTTGGGGAGCGCACTGAAGGTGGCACTGTCCATAGGCCTTCATAAGGAATCGAGTTGGAGGATGTCCGATCACGTTGTAAAAGAGGTCTGGCGAAGATTGTGGTGGGCTTTATATACGGCCGAGGTGTAGGTTGATCTTAGAGACACTTTCTTCCTGTACTGATTGTTCGTATAGGTTTGGCGCCATCAGTTATGGAACACCCTGTCTCATGCAGGATAATGAATGGGATGTGGCCATGCCTGCAAATATCGAAGACGTGGCTCTCACTTGCCCGGGATTTGACTCCCAAGAGACGTACGAAGGTGTTACTGTAGGGCCTGTCACTATTTTCTCCTATCAGCGCTTCAAATTTCGGCTCTATCGCATCGCATCTGCGATCACGCGGAATATCTATCTTAGGAGTGGAGTAACACTGAAAGACATTGTTCGAGAAATCAAATGCATCAATCAACGGCTCACCCGCTGGGAAAAGTGTATTCCTCCCGAGCTACGGCCTGAATCCCTCAAATCACTACCTACCAATGAGCGATGCCGAGAGACAACGAAGGTGTTTCAACTCCAGGCCCTGGTTCTGCAGCTGTCCTACGACAACATTCAGTTGGTCTTACACCGACCTTTGTTAACGATGAACCAGGTGCCTAGATGGCCACTGATAGTTGGCATTCCCTCTCGGAATACCGCTGATGAAGGCCTGAATGAATGTGCCGACGAAGTGAATGACATGATAAAGTCAAGTAAGTGTCAGTGCTGGATATCATCACTGAGAACATCGACGATAGGGGACTATCCGGACCATTTAGTGGCTTCAAGAAGTACACACGGTGCCGCATATACTGGGATCCAATCCTTTACCGCTGGCGTTGTCCTTGGAATATTTGCTCTATCTGATCCGCTATCTGATCAAGCACATCAGGCGAAGCGCGCCTTGAGCAAAATCATTAAACTTCCCAAATTGCACCAATATCGAACGACTGTGTCAGATCAATGCGGTCAGATTCTAGAAGAGCTTCTTCGTCTGATCCTGGCCGAGGAAATGAAAGCACTTCTTGTAGACACTGGTGGGCCATTCAACAGTGGTCGAACCTCGGCAAATAATAATATTGCTGGCTCAGCAAACGTATCTGGTACTGACACAACCTACGACAGGAACCAGTGCTCGGGCGCCCTCAGCGACTTGAATCAAAATCGCTCTCAGTCGTTATCACAGGGCTCGGAGCTTGACATGGATACCGATTTCTTTCCGCTTCAGTCTCTTCTTCCATCAGACATTCATGACGGGAATTTCAGTGATGCTCTTTTATCCTTGCAGGATGGTAAGAACTCTTGTATCGAAGTAGTTAGCTTTATCTAACCCTTCCACAGTGTTCCGAGATGGCAAAGGTAATGCAACCCCTGCATACGTTTCAAGGAGTCAGCTATCTACCAGGACAACACCCACGGTCACAAACATGCAATTACCACTCTCGCAAGTACCGGGAAACGCACCTCCTCGAACTACCAAGCCCTTTGACATCACTACGCAAGCCTGGATTTGGGATGACTTGCTCTGGCTCCCGGATGCTTCCTAAGCTCATACCATGAACAACCTTCGCAGAGATCACAGCGGGTGACGGATGTTTCCAGTTTCCATCATATGCCATGTCTTTTAGGCCTTGGCCATAGCGGTTTCTTCGTCCTTGCGTCGTACCACTTCGATCTCAGCACTATTAGGGCCTTTGCGTTCTTCATCGCCCCCACCAGTGTTCGCATGGTGATAGTAAGGAAGTGCTACTGCCTCGCCAAACTGGGCATTGATATCCTCCAACGATCGCTGACAGGTTTCTGGAAAGAGGCTGTGGAAGTCTGGTTAGCTATTCGCAAGCGCCCTAATCGTCCAGCCACTTACAAATAGACCGCCACTGTATAGCAGGCCGTGGGAATTAGGAGGACGAGCAGAAATCTCCAGCCGATCTTGTCCAATGCAATCGGGCCAACAACTAGGATGATAATAGTGGCTACAAAGTAATGAAACATGCCCACTGCTACCCCTTGTCCACGAAGGTGAGTTGGGAAGATCTCCGAGAGGTACAAATACTGGGTAGCATCCATGAAGGTGGACCAGAAGATCGCGTACTGGAGTTGATTTCATGATCAGTCAGTGCTGCAGTATGGTATTGAAAAGCTTGCCAGCAACTTACTAGGAATATAAAGAAGACCGCAGCACGCTGGCCAGCAACGTTGTCACCTTCAAGGTAAAGTGCTTGAAGCAGAGTTTCAAACATCAAACACATCGTGATCCCAACGCAGCCGATCAGCAAGAAAATACGGCGCCCAAATCTGTCGACGAACAAAGCTGTGACGAGATTGCCCGGGAATGTCGCTGTCACCAGGAAGGAAAGACACATCAGAGGGACATAACCCTTCAAACCAAGTTGCGTGAATAGGATAACTCCATAGTTAGCGATGAAGATTGGGCCCATAAACATGTCACCCCACATGAGTATTGTGGCAATTAAGACACGCTTGCGGTTGCCAGGAGTCTTCACCAACTCCCAACGTGAACGTTTGGCTGCCATCTCTTGGTCGAGCGCGGTCTGAGCACGAAGCTGTTCAAACTCAATACGAGCTTGTGCCATATGATCCTCGCCACTTTCTCCAGGGCGTGTGTGAAGTTTGAACAGCACAGCTTCTGCTTCTTGAAATCTATTCTGTTGCATCAACCATCGTGGTGAATAGGGGAGCCAAGGGGAGCCAACTAAGAGAACCAGAGCGGGGAGAATTTGCAAGGCAAGTGGAAACCTCCAGGGAAATGTGGACGAGGATCCAGACGCAGAGATGAACCACACGCCGAAGCCCACCCATGCGCTAAGAGCATAGCCAACTGCGAACATGACGCCTAATGCATGTAAGCACAGCCATGATATCTTGTGTGAATCGGAAAATTACCATGCATAGAGACCATGAAGCCCCTCGTCTCCGGGGTAGAGACTTCAGACTGGTACCTGCCAACTTGTCAGTGATGATACTGAATACGAAGCTATATCATCTCATTCTCATAACCGCGAACACTTACATTGGTATGACACAGATCAGGATGCCAATTCCCCAGCCAGAGATAAATCTTGCGACAAGAAACATTGGGATATTCATACTGCCGGCACATAAAGCGGCACCAACAATCAGGATGATTGCACCGATTTGCATAGTATGTTTTCGAGAAAGCCGGTCTGCGGACCAGGAGTTGTGCACTGCTCCAAGAGCCGCTCCGGCTGAGTTTAGACCTGTAACATCTCTTTAGTCTTCCGTGAGCTTTGGATAGAAGGACCTGGTGACCCTGACCATTAAAAGCACCTAGGTATTGTGCGGTTCGTGAGTATCCTTCCTCACCGAAAGCAGCTAACCCCATGGATTTATAGAAGCTCGGTTGCCCAGCTGTAGAACTATAACATCGTTAGTGGTTGCTTCCGAAGCTACGAAGCATAGTAACCGCCTTGTACATGTGCGCCGGAAGCACAAATAGACATTGCTATTCTGGTGTATGCTTCAATGGCTGCTTCAAGTATTGCTTACCCGATGACAGCCAGCCCGTAACTACATGCTGTAGAGCCCAGAGCGACATAGATAACAACGGCCAAGTTGAAAGCATTTGGAACATATCTCGACATCATATTTGCCAAGTCTGTGAGAGTCTGCGCGATCGATGGTGAAGGGTTAGATGTAAATATTGAAATTGTAGAGCATCAACTCTTCCACAACTAGATTCTAAGCCTTTTTATACATGCATCCCACCTCCCACCTCCTCTCTGATGCGAACAGGGTTCCGGTCTGTGTATTTCTGTCTGTATGGCAGCTAGTTCAGCCCTGCAGAAACGAAACTTAACTTTGGATCTCCAGACGCATATTCAGCTTTCCCCCTGAAGGATGGACCCCATCCACAGCATTAACGTACTAACTAGCATAAAGTGCGGGGAAGAGAGCAAATAAAACCAGCTGTTTGTTGAATCTTGCCGTTCTGCTATTATCCTAGAGTGAAAGCATGGGTGAAAACATGGTACGGAGTTGGAATCTGTTGATACTCGGAAGCAAGGCTGAAATGGCTCCCAAGACCGGAATCCGTCTCGGAAGCAAGGCTATCCAATCCAGGAGACCAAGACACTCTAAGTTGGGCCAGTTGAGGGGTCCTTGGGTTGAAAGTTACCCTGAGCGAGCTCTCAAGCGACGCCTAGAGAAGTTTCCCCGCTGAAGTGAGGTCATGAATGCAGACATTGGACGCCAGTGGAGTAGGAACCACGAGCTTAGGCTAAGCACGGAGAAGCCTGGAGAAACTGCTGAGGCTCCCCACTTTCTCGACTCGGTGTTCAGTTCTTCTTTGTAGTGATGTCAGGTAATTTGATCGTGATGCTTAGGCAGAAAGTCAAAATCATAAGCCATAATCCACCTTTGTCCCAAGCACACAGGAACCAGCCCATAAAAGATTGGTTGAACTCTGAAGTTGCTCTTGGAATATTGCTATTCGTAGATCAACCTTTCGGAAATGCTTCCACCGGAAGTCCTTTCTGGTCGTGTCCCTCAACGAGGGCACATGAGTAGGTCTAGTCATGATCAAGGCCTTACTCACATCCTGGAAATAACTTCTACTCAAACTAAGTTCGCATTTATACAAGTCGTGCTTCCTGAGCTCAAGAACCATGACACTCCGAACATAGCATGCTCGCGTGATTTCCTGCCTTCAATGTTTGCAGTTTGATTCAATTTCTAGTCCGTGTTGGCTTGCTTACGCCCACACTTCAATTCCACGCTTCCGATCATCATCTCCAGATGGGATTCCGGGTCTCGGAAGCAGTGAGGAGAGGGTGTGTCCACAAGCGCGCTCCCAAAGCATGCCAATCATGTCGCACGCGCAAGGTTCGTTGTGATGTAACTAGGACAGGGGAGACATGCACCAACTGTAGGTTGGACAACAAGCTCTGTGTTGTTCCAATCAGTAAACGGCGACATGTAGGAGATCGAGTACTTGGGTCTTCTTTCGTCACCAGCACTCATCATCCACAGAGTCCGATATGTGACGCTATCATCGACTTTGGGGATATACAAAAATCTCCCCAAGAAACTCGAGGGAGTGGTGCGAAGACACTGGCTACCGCAACCCCAGTGAATGATACAGCATTCAATATCTTTGACTTGGGAATCGGCGACTTTCTGGCATCTGGTGGTAGCAATTTTGTCGAGCAGGAGCAGCTGAATAATCTACTCGTCGATGAGAGCGACATGCTCGAACGTATGACCAGATCGTACCCTTCACCGAGCCAGACACTCTGTAGCGAGCAACACCCGCTTCCAAGCCTTCCATCGTATATTGCTGCTTTACCAGACCACATACCTGCAGATGATGTTTGGTATCTCCAAAATCGAGATTGTTTGACTATTCCAGACGCAGAGTCAAGAGATCGACTTCTACGCGCGTACGCGACCTGGGTTCACCCATTCACGCCCATGTTGGACCTCGTCGGTATTATTAAAGCGGTCTCTGGGGATATGACATGTGGTCCTGTAAGTCTGCTTGTCTTCCAATCGATGATGCTTGCAGCAGCTCCATTCTGTGACCTGGATATGGGTACAAAAGATCGCAAGAAGAGTCGTAGAATATTGTATGAGCGCTGCAATATTCTGCACAATTTCGGTATCGAGTCTGACCATCTCTCGATCCTTCAATCTGCAATATTGATGAGCTTCTGGGACGGCGATGACGGCCAGATCCGAGACAGTTACTATTGGATAGGAATAGCAACTTTGCACGCTAATGGCATGGGGCTTTATCTAGATCCCACGATCGGCCCATCTGATGAGCACAGACAGAAGGTGTTGAAGCGGACCTGGTGGTCATTGTTGATACGAGACAGGCTGCTCGCGGTCGCTCTAAGAAGACCTGTGCAAACCAAGGCGTTCAGATTCGACGTACCTATGCTTCAAATAGAAGACTTTGAGCTCGACACTTTACTCGAGGCAGTGGGATACAACCTCCCGATCGACGAGTTCAACCTGGAAAACTTGGAGATCGTGGCCAGTTGTTGTATGGCTGTAGCACAATTGTCTGAATACATCGATAAGATCTTATCGCTGCAGTATTCGATCCAGAAAACCCTGGGCCCTCAGTCACATAGCAACAAAACCGTCTCGCTGGTTCCCAAGACAACCGGGATCAAGTGGGCCAACATCAGCAGCTGTGGACAGGAACTGCAAAACTGGTATGGGTATCTACCCGAAGAGGTCCAGCAGCTTGAGCACGCTCCTGAACAGTCTTCAGGCTCTGAAGGCAATATGGCCAACGTTCACAGAGCCTTGTTAGCCTCTTACTATTCTATGACAATGATGACTTTATACCGGCCTCTACTTTCCCTCTCCGTGCACAAGACTGAGGAAAAGCGAATCCGAAACATGGCCATCAAAATGGTCTTCCAAGCCGCACAAAGCATTACTGGAAGTTTTGGCGGCCTGTACACAAATGATTTATTGCTGTACCTGCCCGAGACCGCTACTGCTGCAATAGAGCCGGCGATCGTCACACATCTCCTGTACAGCACATCAGATGCAGCACGGATTCGTAATCATAGCTTCCAAGGATTCTATCTCTGCTGGAATATGTTGCTGCAGCTGGGACAAATCTACTTTCTCGCTGACACCACGGCAATGATGATCAATGCTGCCGCACAGAAACTCAAGGCCCACTCGACCATAAAAAGGGCGCTTCCTACCCAGTCGACTGACTTGACAGAGCTTGTGGATGCGTTATGCACTCCTAATGCTCTGAGCTTCACATCCAGGATTGCTGTACCATTTGTTGGCGTTGTGGGGGAGCAGAGAAAAGACGAGATTCCCGTGCAATGGGTGCACGATCCTTGTACCCAGATCGAGGTCATACGTCCAGCACATGAATTAGAGTTCGGAATGGCCGTTGGCGATACCCGTATTGGCGGCTCTTCGGATGCTGATTTCTTCGAGCAACTAGTGTGCTGGGACATGGGAGACTAGATGTCTAACGCACTGAGAGTGGCAAGCTCATCTAAGCAGATTCGTTAGTCTTTAGATAAGATGTTGAGTTTAGGAAACAAGAGTAGACCCCACACAACCTCCATTGCTTTCTCAGGCCGCAAAGTTAGCTTCAATTCCGAAGATTTGAAGATTACTGGACACCTTCATATCTCAACCCTTGTCCAAAAGGGAACAAGAGGTCCTCCGTGTCAAACGGGATATCCTCACGACTCTTGCGAACCGCTCCCATAGATCGTGGAAGATCAAATGGCAGCTTGCCCTGCGGGGCGAATCAACCCAAATATGGCATCCAAGAAAGCATCATCATTACAGCCGTAGTTGATCATGAGAGCGACTGCTCGTGCTGCCAGTCTGGTTGGGACACCGGGTCGATCGAGATAGACATCAACTGCGGCAGCTGGGACCGTTCGAAAAATTCTCTCAAGGCGGTGTAGCTCCTCGGGGTTGTGGGGCAAGATCAGGCGGCGCTCTTGCGCTGTCTCGGCCTTGATACCTTCAAGATATACCTTCTGGTTCTGCAAGTTCGCTTTTGAGAGTGGAAGGATACTAGACTTGTTGGTCAAGAAGCGTGATGGGTTTGCGCTGAGCAAGCTGGCCTGAATGTACGAAATCCGCTAAATTCCCCACAGCCTCGATATCGATGAATAGGTTGTCGAAAAGGCCAAGTAAGAACTTTTCACGGTGCAGGCGATCCACAGATTCACCGAGTCTTGTTTCAGAGACGAGTCCGTCGCGCACTGCATGAATCACTAATTCAGGGCGCCCTTCGCCACCAGATTGGTCGCATCCCGCGTCGAGAATCTTCGTTAGCTCTTTTAAATGGCTTGAGGTGATATTCGAAGTTGTTAACAGGGTACACTTGTTCCAGCCATAAATAAAAGGAGGGTCCTTGCCGTTCATTTGAGGACCTCCACCGTTAAAGTGCTTGTATTGTCATGGTAGAAACAGATGTGTGGTCGATTATATTTGCACTGGGACCCTGGAATCCTCTGGTATAGGCTTCCACGTAGTCCCCAGCCAAGTCTGCATCTTCGCCGAACGTGGCATTGACGCGTGCCCACCGGTACTCGGTCGCAAGATCGACTCGCGGGTAGAGTGTAACACGGATACCGAGAGCTAAATACTCCTGTCTGGCACAATCTGCGAATCTCTGTACCAACGCAGGATCTCTCAGTGCAACAAGTTCAAGAGGCTCAGGCCATTGGCTCAGGCACCTGGGATTGAAAACGGTGCCTACATTCTCGACGAATTGATTTGGGGCTTTGTGGAAAGTGAGATTGGGGCGTCTAATCGAGTGTTGTTCAATACGTGCTGCTAGCTTGGGATCATGAATGGAGCCGATCAGGTTGAAATGTGAGAAGAGTTTTCCCTCAAGCAGGACTGTTGATGCAATGATGCAAGCAGGCCGAATTGTGGGAACGCTGGCGCAAGCTCGCCATCCCGCCCCATACCGATCACGTTGTGGAACAGTTGGCCTGCTTTTTCATCGAGTTTCATGCGTGAGATGAGGTCGGCCACTCGATCATCGATACTTCGCGTATCATCTTGGTACGGCAAAACAGGCTTCTTCTTCTCCATAGTCGTAGATTTTCAGTGTAGATTAGGTGTCAGTGGGGAGAACTTTGAAGCAGCTTTTTCAGATCACAGCCAACATCCGTGGGGTATGTCCATGTCTGAATTGACTCCAGCTGCGATGTTAAGAATAAGTCATGTTTCAGATTAGAAAGCTGACTCCAGACAGATTACTCGTACAGAGTTACGTCCCCTAGATTCATTCCTAGCGCTCGCCATTATCATACAAGTCCGTCTGGAAGACAAGCCTAGAAGGAAGCCTTGCTCAGTATGATTCAAAAGTTATGAAATCAGCCAACATTGCTGCATCTGCTAGTTCTTGGGGCCACTATATTGAAGCGTCCAGGCATGTAGTTGCGCGCGCTTTCATTAGCTCTTATCCACTCGTGAAAGAATGCATCTCCTCCGATCTCAAGCTCCGGGGCTGGGGAGATCATCAGCGGGTGGGCGTCTGAATGCCGGAATCCGCGGATCCATCGCCTGCAGGGCAAGTGTCCATTCCGAAGCTACTTGCGAGACTACAATACGTGCATTTAATTCCAAAATACGATTTGTGATTTCAACACTGGCATCTGCAACAAGAAAAGTCCAAATGCCAGGTTCATGACTGTGCAGCGCCTCGTCCTCATGCTCCTTCGTTTGTGTGAAAGAGCAATCTGAGAGGTCAGAGCTGTGGGTTCGACTTCGGATGGAGAGCTGCCTTCTCGAGTCGAACTGCTCTATCCAGTCGGATTTCATGACGTCGATGAGGCCGGCGTCCGAGATCGGCTCATGCTTGATTTGCACCTGAATCACGGCGCTGAAGTTGAAATCGAACCCGAGCTTGACTAGTGTTCTCAACTCGCTGGACTGCGAGTCCTGCAGCTCGATCACAGCGATGGTCCCGGACTTGCCCATTGGAATCTCGACCGTTGAATTCTTGTTCTCTGAAATAGGGTAACGATGGACGATCGGAGCCAAGTCGAGAACGGCGGAGACGGTGAGATGAAACCCATAAAGAAAGTTCGAGTTCAACTGGCCGAGGATTGGGGTTGACCGATCTTGGAAGTCTCTGATGATGATGTCCTTCCACCTTGCTGCTTTGAACGTGCCAAAATCCGCCGAGGAGATGCACCCACTAACTGTATCCACACGCACAAACTGCGTATTCCTCAGACCTCGCTTGCACTTGCGCAGACGTATAGCGCAGACAACATGTTCCGGCTTGGACTTGTTCGTGCTATATAGATAGCAGTTCAAGAAACCGAGGTATGTGTCTAGTGTCCAGGGAACGAGGGGCATTCTGATTGATAGACCGACGTTGGTGAAAGTGTAATCATGGGAGTCGTAAGGCGTGGATCCTTGAATCGTTCGCACAACGCCACCACATCCGGCGAAAAGGAGTGGGGACTTAGCAAGAAGACACCCGGTCGCATCCTCCAGGGCAGTTGCGATTTCCAGGTCGGTGACACCAGAGCAACGACCAGGGGTACAATGACCTGGTGAGCAGATCCCGGGCCAAGCAAAGATAGTTTCATCGTCTGATCTTTTGATCTAGGTGGATTGCAACATGGGCGTTAGAGAGACAAAAATTCTTGGATTCACTGATCCCAAAAGACACTACGCAGGTCCATCGATCAAGACCATGGGCACACTAATCCAGGGACTCCCTCAAGCTCAAGGAGAAAAATAAGGAAAGAGAGACTTACGATCTCCTCTTGGAGTCTTGTGAAGGCCCTCTCACCCTCCCCGTACAACAAAGGCATGTTGACACCGAAAATCCCCAGTAGGCAATATGCGACATCCTCGACTCTTGTCGTTTTCCTTCGGGCTGCCCATGACATCCTCTGCGCAACAGGATATTTGTTTGGCTTGTCCTTACCAGTCAGAATCGGCACCGGGATTCTCGTCGCCTGGGCTATTGCATCCTGCAAATACCCCCTAGTCCCAAGACAGGTCCAATTGGCGTCGTAGAACTCCAGCTCCCTCGGAGCGATGAGCTCTTGAAGCGTCCAGCCACGTGTAAACCATAGGCTTTTCCCGATGGCACTGGGTGGCATGCGTACGGAAGGATCTGCTGCTGCTGGCGCATTGACGTCGCTGAGGTAGGCATAGCAGACAGTGGCGTTCTGGTACCATCGGAACATTGAATTTATGGCTTCCGAGAGTTCAGAACTGCTCCTTTTGTCGATGCAACAGGTGTCGACCCATGCATATTGGAGTCTTGCTTCGTGAGCTTGCTTGCAGCACATCTGGATCTTGCGATAGCCCTTGCACTGGCTTGCACGGCCCCGTCGGAGATCCTTGTAGGAGACTTCTTCGTCTTCCCACCGGTGGGAAAGGATGGCATAAGAGGGTGCATTGATGCCGTCTGCAAACTCTTCCAGCTTCAACGTATTGACATTGATCAAATGCATCTTACACGTTGAGCTTGGTCGCAAACGCACTGCCTTTCGTGATTGAATATGGCCTGGTGAGCGAGCTTGAGCTCTGGTCTAAGGGCGCGTGGCCGGAACTGTACAGTTGTATTTCAATGTTGGGCTGTTGGCTTATATCACACGGTTTCAAAGGAGCAGCTGACAGCTCGAGGGTTAATCGTGGCTTTGACAACGACATTTTGAGACGTGGAGGATGCTGAGGCGAGATCAGACCTCAACAACTGGCAGAAGCCACGCAGCAAGTTTTTATTCGGTGTTGAGACGTTGGAACGAAATTTCTAGCGAATCGGTCAAACCGGCGAGCTGGGTATGGTGGTAGTACATAAGTGCCCGGGTTCTCGCGAGTCTTTTGTTGCGTAGCAGATCATGCTCCATCAGAACCAAATCGTCAATTTGATGACTTCGATCGTAGGCAAGGTATGTGAAACTTGGTCGACTTTGTACGAGTTCCTTCAGATTTTGAGTTGGATGTCTCGAAGATGGACATGGCAGAAATTGAATTGGTTGCCCCACTGATTCGTGCGGTATCGTGCTTCGCGGTATCCCCCACACGGCGACAGAGCCACCTCGGATCCTGATCGGGATTGGGGATGTGCCCCTGCAACTGCCGAGGATTGTGGACTCTATGAAAGAGGATGTGTCGAGTAGCTAGACGAAGCGTTGAGAAAGAGTGGAGTTCTAGGGATGGGTACATACATAGTGAGAACAGACACTCGAATAAGAAAGTATGGCTATGTTTTTGTTACTAGGAAATCCAGCTCGCGTTTGACGCAATGGCGATTCCGTCTACCCACAAGGTTGCGGTGGTTGTGGTATGTGCTTCCGCTTCACATCCATACAATCTATGGTAACACTGACCTACTTGACCAGAGAAAGAACGGATCGTACGATTTCGAAGTCAAAACCAGCAATGTTCCAGAACTACAGCCGACAGATCTGCTGGTGCGACTTTCGGTGTCTGGAGTCTGTGGTTCTGACTTCCACCTTGCAGCGGGGCATTCGGGCCCAACACGAGACATTCTTGGTCATGAGGGCGTTGGTCGCGTTGTGAAGATCGGCTCGGCGGTCCCAGACTCACAGGCGCACATCGGGGACAGAGTAGGGATTGCTTGGGTGAGGGATATCTGTGAGAAGTGCATCTTCTGTAGGACTCCCGGTGGCGAGGGCCATTGCCTTGCGATGCTGTGCTCTGGGCTGAAGCGAGACGGCACCTTCGCAGAATACGCCATTGTGCCCTCTCGCTTCATAGTTCGGATTCCGGAGGGTGTGTCCGACCACCTGGTGGCGCCGATCCTTTGCGGCGGCGTCACTGCTTACAAGGCCCTCAAAGTCAGTGGTGCTTCTCAAGAGCAGTGGGTTGCGATATCTGGGGCCGGCGGTGGCCTCGGGTCGCTGGGTGTTCAATATGCCAAAGCAATGGGATTCCGCGTGGTCGCGATTGACGTGGGAGAAGCGAAACGGGAGTACAGCCTTCAGATGGGTGCAGATGCATTCTTTGACGGAGGTGAGCTCGATGTGTCTGCCGTGAAGGACCTCACTGGCGGCGGAGCAGCAGCAGTGATAGTGACGGCCAACGCAATTCAAGCATACCAAGCAGCTCTAGACCTGGTTGCTCCATATGGATCTTATGTCTGTGTGGGACTCACTCCGCCTGGCAAGCAGGTTGGCTTCGACCCCATCACCCTGGTCAGCAAAAATATCCGACTCATGGGATCTGCAGTCGGCACGCGGGAGGACATCTGGGAGGCGATTGAATTCGTTGCACGAGGCCAGGTCAAGCCCAAGGTGGAAATGGCTGTGTTGGAGGACCTTCCTCAGATTTCAAAGAACTTCGGACAAGTGAGTGACGAGCAGATGAGAGGAATCCCCTTCTCCCTTCTGACAGATACTAACTCGAGAGATCAGACGCTTGGGAAACGTGTCATCCGACATTGTGATGAGGATATCTCAGCCTGATGTGGGCACAGCGAACCAAGCCTTGAGAGTAACACAGGCTGATATGAGTTATATAGATGAGCTATAGAGAGAGTCGCACACACTTCCACAGGCACGTGCTGATCATCATCAGGCGAATCGCTGGCTCGCTTGCATGGACTGGGGGACGCATACTGGCTTTACTCGTAAGACTTGTAACTCGTTTGTAACTCGTAGCCCGTCAAGAGGCTGTCCGGAGTCCGGATATACCGGTCCGCATTTCCACTGAGCTTGGGCTTGACGGCTGCTGCCCCGCAAATGTCTCTGTTGTCTTCGACGAGGGATCCCTGGACCCTGAGAATGCATCCCTGTGCGACTGACCGATGCTCTGCTTGTCATGGGCTCAAAGCTTCTGGCATTACGTCGTGGCAAGGATGGGCTGCAACGCATATCAGGTGACGAGAAGTACCCCTCCTGCTGAAAGGTGGATGGATATCGCGTCATACTCTCTAAAGCTGTAGAATGAACTACTGTCTTGTGTTTCTTGCTCTACCTTGTAAGCCTTGGTTACAGCCACACAAAGCCGTATCATTGTAGAAACTCGATATCAGAGCTCCAACGAAGATGGCAGCACGTCCCCTCCTACTCAGGCTTGCATTTGCACGCTCCACCATCTTGAACTCTGCATTTCGCAGCGTCGACCCTCCCAGACGAGCCTTTCAGCTGTCGGTGGCCAAGTTGACGGCGACAGTAGCGACCTCGCCGCCCTCAGCCGGCAACCCAATCATCACACGTCCACCTGCCTCGCCTCTCCCAGCCGAGGAGGCAGCCAACGAGACCAAGCACGCCGCCTTTCTTGGAGAGGCTGACAGCAATGATGGACATGAAGCCTTCAAAGACGCATACGGGGCCCCAGCACCAGCTTTGGATGCCCAGAACTCGGCGTTTTTGGGTGAGGCGGACTCGGATGACGGGTTTGAAGCACAAAGAGCGGTCGACGGAGACCAGCATGAACCTCTCGATGCTTCCCAGTCCGCGTACCTGGGCGAAGCCGACAGTGACGATGGATTTGAGTCGGATGTTGAAGTGCACCCCGAAGACCACCGTCACAACATTGAGGATACGAGTGGAAGCGGGCTGCATGGTCAGAGTGGTGAGCTGGACCAGAGAGTCGAATGAGATGGAGATCAAAATTGAGCACGCATGTCAAGGCTGAGGGCGGCCGTGTGTTGAGTCAGTAACGCTAAGAGAGACCATGTGTTGACGTTGACGTTGACGTTGACCTTGTCCCTTGAGATCGCTACCTCACAAGGTTTATGTATCTGTATCTGTATCTGTGTCTGTGCTGTGTTATCTTGCAACCGAGACAGGATTCCAGTCCTTTTGGAAAGCTCACTGCTCGAGGAATGTCGAGGCTAGACAACGCCTGAATTTGCAAATCACCCGTCCTCGCTACATGTAGGAAAGCGTCAGAGGTTGAGCTCTCCGCTCGTGTAAACACATTATTCCTTCTCAAAGCTATCATAGTCCTCCTTGGACATCAAGCCATCAAGCTCCTTTGCATCACTGATTTCGATCTTAGCGAGCCATCCATCGGTCTCGGGGCCTTTGTTGATCATGGCCGGCTTCTCCTCCAACACCTTGTTATGTTCTATTATCTTGCCTGATACAGGCGTCAGGATATCCGAGGCCGACTTGACTGACTCGACCGCGCCAATGGTGTCTCCTTTGTTGACTTCGAGCTCGATCTCCGGAAGCTCGACGTAGACCACGTCGCCTAGCGCCTTTGCCGCATATTCTGTAATGCCGAGAGTACCTGGAGTTGCTCTGGTCAGTCTACAGCGATCCCGCGCGGGGGCATGTGGCATGGGGAGCACTACCAGTCACTCCATCCGTGTCCATCTCAATCCATTCGTGGTCTTCTGTGTATTTCTTCACATAGACTGTGGGCCCACCGTCAGCTCCAGGCGCCAGGGTATGCTATTCTTCTACTCACAACTTGACCGGGCAGAGAAGGGTCTACGTGTGCCGCCAATGAACCGGCAGGCTTGGGGTGTGGCAGCGGAGCGTGAAGCTGCAAGTCGCTGCGTTGCCAGTCGAGAGACCGTTGGGGCCAGTCGGTTCAAAGCTGAAGCGCTCATCATGAAGTGCCCGCGAGCAGATACGCCTATGTTGAGGATCGCGGTCGAAGGAAGACCAAAAACGAGAGCTTGTCTTCTTGTCTTGCTTTGTTGAAATGTCCACGACTTCGACCTCTTCTCGAATGCTCACGCAAACGTGCGCGCGGCGACATATCCGCCCGCTGAGTTCGGCGGTGCAGAGGCTGCCTCTGGGGACTGGGTGATTGACCGTAGCTTGTGCGTGCGGCCCGCCGTAGTCTTGGCGCGCTTCCTGAGCTTCGGGTCCTGATCTTTCTGCGACTAGGCATTTCATACTCCGTAGAACATCGCAGGATAGCAGCAGCAAAACCACCAGCAGCACCACTGAAATAGGGCCTCCACACTACCTAGGTATGCTTTACGAGCTAATAGTGATCGCCCGGCCGGGCAACGTGGCCAACATCAAAGAGTAGGCATCTCCCATCCACCCTCTTTCTCCTGATCTCCCCATCCTGACCTTCAATCTCCAGAATCGCACGCATCGCCGGCACCCAAATCCTATCTAACAAAGGCGTGATCCGGGGCCTCAAGAACTGGGGACAATTCGACCTACCGCGACCGACCACGAAGCACCAGGCCCAGCACCGCCAAGGCCACTACTTCATCATGCAATTCGACTCGTCGGTGCGGGTCCAGGACGAGGTGAAGCGCACACTCAGTTTGGATCCGCGGCTGATCCGGTACTCGGTCGTCAAGATTGGAGACAAGCTGGGTGGTGTGAATGGCGCGATGGAGGATGTCACGGGCACGATACCGTGGAACGGGAAAGGGGAATCCGCCAATGCCTATGAGAATATTTTTCCAAACCAGAGGGTTGTGAGCCCACATGCGCCGCTGTCGCCCTCGACTTACACGCCGCAATTCACGCCCGCGCACACAGATGCACCGCTGGACACGCGGAATTGAATCTGACGTATGCAACGCTGGTCGAGCTGGCCCTGGACGAGAGGAGCAAGAATACATCATATTCATGTTTAACCCGGGAAAACGCCCGCTACAGTGATTCGACTAGAGGCATCGGCATCAAAACAAGCTCCACCGCCCCTGGCCCTTTCCCTGCACTGTTGGTGTGGCTGCCTGCGGCTTGGCTCGACCCTCCAGCTGCCGCAGACTCTCAATCTTGGACAATACTAGCTCCAACATCTCTTTGCGCTTGATCACATCCAGGTGCCGGCGGACCCTGGGATCCTCGCGCGCGAACCGCTCAATCTCCGCCGCTTCCAGCTGGCGACCAAGCCGGATGTCAAGCTCGCGAGGGAAATTGTAATAGAACTCCGATAGAAGCTCGACATTGAGGAAGAGCACTGCCGTCGAGGTGAGCTTGTCCGCGACGACGTCGAGGAAGACCTCCGGGCAGTAGTACTTGTTTTTGACGTTGGCACATTGCTTCGATCTTACGGCAAGCAGTCGCATCTTGATGATCTCGGCTCGGTCCCGGAGGAAGACGGCTTCTCGACCTGTACGTAACATATCAGCACTCATGGCAATACACAATTGCATAACAATAACAACGAGCTTACCTTTTTGCAGCAGCGCGGACGAAAACCCGCCTGCCCCTCCACTTCCATCACCTTCGAGGACAACGTCCCCTTTCCTGATCCGATCGATAAAGCACGTGACGTCTCGGAGTTTCCGGGAGCCGACAGCGGCTTCAAGTTGTTTCTGTGCCGCTTCACAAGCCTTGAGTTCGCCTTTGAGTACACCCCCCACGTTCTCGCGGCCCTTGGCCCATTCGTTGTTTTCCACCTCGATCTCAAATTTGAATGGTTTGATGCAATTCTCAACCTGATCACTCGTGCTGTAGAAGCGATCATTCAAGATACTGGATGAAGCATCCACAATCGCTCGCTGGGCGTACGGGTGGGACGCGAATGTAGACGCGGCAATCAGCCTGTCCACCTGACTCTGTAGCTCAGACGCCACCACCGTCGTGGCAAGCCTGCCCACACCCAGCTTCGTCAGCTCTGAGGTCGATGCGTCCAGCTTCCGCTGCCAATAAAGCGAAGCCGGGTCTGCTTTCGGTAGGTCTGAGAGGGGGTCTGCCTCCGACGGTGGCTGCGATAGGTCGTCTATTGGTTTGTTCCAATATCGCTTGGCCAAGAGATCCATCACTCTCTGATCAAGCACCTCTTTCAACAGGGCGCGTACTTGAGGTCGGCCGAAGTTTTCACTAAACTCTTTAAACGAGTGCTTGAAACTGTCCAGGCTTTCCGCCAGGTAGGATTCAGCACTGAGTGGCCGATCGTTATATTGGACTTTGAATTCATATGTCGCTTCTTCCAATTCCTGCATGATAGCATCTCGGGTGCCCGCAAGGCTAGCTGCCATTGTTTGTTCGAGCACATGCATTAATTTGTGCCGAAGTGTCGTAGTTCCAACTGCAAGCTCCGACTGCGGTCCAAATTGTAATGGATGGGCTGAGAAGTATGCGTGTTCGTTCTTAACGATCGCATTGGTGATGTTTTGCCCAGAGCGGGAGAATAACCCTGCCGTTTGGGGGATCTTGCACACGACTCCCACGTAGCCCAATCTCAAGGGGTATTTTTGATCTGACAATATCTCAACTCCCCGGCTGGCGTCCACCAAGTCCATCTTTGTGATGACTCCAATCGTTCTCTCGCCACGTGGATCAACCCGTCGGCTTGATCTCAGAGCAGTCGAGTTCGCCAAGTCGACGTCTGCTGCAGAGATAGCGAGAATGACGTTGGGTGGCTGAATGTATTTATCGCAAAGATCGGCAATTCTCTGCTTAAGCTCAGCGGGCTGATCCTTACCAGACACCTGTATGTATCCAGGAAGGTCAATCATCGATAGGTCTGGGACGTTGGGAGAATATATAGAGAGCTGGATGGGATCATCCGTGACGCACTGCTCCGCCGGAACAGCGAGGTTGAGGTCAGTCAGAGTTCTTTGGATTTGGGAGAAGTCGGTGATTTTGCCGAGGCCGAGAGCTGGGAACTCCCCATACTCTGCTTTTGCATTGGGGGTGTTGACAAGCGTCAACTCTATTGGCCGTCGAGTAACCATGTTGGAACCTTTAGGCAGGAATTCATGGCCGACGATCGCTTCAAGAACAGAGCTTTTTCCTGAAGATTGAGAGCCAATGACCACGATCGACGGCAGCGTCAAGGCGCCGCCCTGGCCCACGGTGTTCAGAATGCTCCGGATCTCAATCATCTTTCTTGTCAGCACCATCATTTGATCATCCCTCGCAATCTCGGCATTCTGTCGTTCTTCCTGATCTTCAGATTCGCCCAGGATCAATGCCGCTCCCGAGGCGGCAGCAGTGCCTCCCACTCTAGCTTTCTGCGGCGGATTGGGTCCCGATCCTCCAGTACCAGACTCTTCCTCTTTTTGAAAAAGTTGTTGTAGCCATTCAGGGAGATGTGCATCATCTTTGGTGCGCTGCCAGCCATGGCCAATCTGGTCCGCGATGCCCATTGCACCGCCAAATAAGCTAGCAGATGTATCGGACACTTGGTCTCCCGCTCTTTTTAAGATATCCATGGCATAGGTTCCGGCTTGGGCGGCTTGATACTGGATATAGGCCAAGCCAGCGATCATACTTGCGCCGAACATTGCAGGGATGCGAGCCATCTTTAGGGCGAGTCTGGGAAGGATCCTCGCGAACGATATCGACCGGACAGCGGGAACATTGTGTATAGAATTGTAGCCGAGTGGCCACCGTCGAGGAGGGACTCGGCTAGCAGGCCTCAGCAGGCCGCCAGCAATCGTCTGAGCATGGTTGTGTAGTAGGCGCGTGCGAACGATGGTCCACTGGCGCAGCAAAGGTGCAACCCTCGTGGAAAGAAGCCTGCCATTCATCACAGGCGCAGGTCCGGGTCCAGCATGAAGAACGAGATGAAGTAGAGGAATGAAAATGGCACGCCCGCGTGGATTGATGGTTCAGGGCGAGATATCAAACATCAGGGTGCAGTTGATCCCGATCCGCCAATGACGTGTCGTCACGTGGCATCAGGTGATGAGGCTTGACATTACAGTCTAATTACATAAGACGATGAGGTCACGTGACTGGCCTAGACGGCACGATCTGTTTGGTTGAGCACGACATCTGCCCCTGGGCCCTAGAGCGGTGAGTCAGTTTTACACGTTAAATCCTAACTGCTTGGCTCAGCCTCGTTGGTATCACCAGGTGGCCTTTATCTCGCTCTGGCTCTGGCTCTGGCTCCCATTTGCACCCTAATCTTGTGACTTCTGACTGTTTTCCATCGTCATCTGGAGTTGTGGAGTCCTGGTTGTCATTTACTCCCTTGTCGCCACAGACTTCTGGTATCACGGGGATCTCAATCTATCAAGTGGGTTTTCACGAGAATGCACGGTTCTGTGCTTGTGACTCACAACTTGCTGGATTAATCTTGATCTGAATACTGAACTTCTTCTCAACAGCTATTCAACAGCAATGTGTCGCTTCCTCGTATGTCACCTAGGCTGTACTCCTCCATTCCGTCCTAGATACTAACTCCACAAGGTCTATAAGGGCTCTTCGCCGATTGTTCTCTCGAAACTAATTACGGAGCCATCACACAGCATTTTGACGCAGTCATATGATAGTCGCCTACGTCTCGACAGCCGTCGTCCCGTCAATGGCGATGGCTTTGGGGTTGGATGGTATACTGAAGCCGAACTTGGGCCAGATCCATGCGTCTTCACATCTACTCTGCCAGCGTGGAACTGTGTGAATCTCGAACGTATTGCTCCAAAGACAGCATCGCATTTGATCTTTGCTCACGTCCGAGCCACAACTGAAGGCTCGCTCGCGGAGAGCAATTGCCACCCCTTCCAACACAACACGCTCATGTGGATGCACAACGGCAACATCGGAGCATGGAGATATGTCAAACGCCCCCTTGCTGACTCATTGGCTGACAAGTGGTTTCTTGAAGTCAAGGGAGGCACTGATTCTGAATGGGCCTTTGCATTGTTTCTCGACACCCTGGAGCGGGAGGGCGTCGACCCAAGTTCTGAACCTGAAGGAGGCTTTGAAACCAAAGTTTTGCGGCGGGTCATGAAGAAGACAATTGCCAAGATCAACGCGTTTGTCCAGGCAGTGCCGACCGAGCATCAACTTCGTGATGTTGAAACGAGGAGCTTGCTAAACTTTGCAGTTACGGATGGCCATTCGGTCATCGTGACCAGGTACGTCAGCAGCAAGACCGATGCAGCGGCTAGTCTGTATTATTCCTCGGGCACGGCGTGGGTAGAAGGCAAGACCAAGGGACAGTTCAAAATGGAGCGAAGAGACAAAGCTTCGGACGTGGTGCTTGTTGCCAGTGAGCCACTGACCTTCGAGCGTCACAATTGGCTGTCTGTCCCGACCAACACGATTGTGACGATCTGTAAACAGACGGTGTTTGTACGGCCGATCAAAGACGAATTCTACGATGCGGATCCTTCAACGGAGCGGTCGACAGGGTTTGCACGATCAAAGGGCCTGGTGGCGAAGGCACCTGGTGGTGGCACATTGACACCCTCGTCTACAGCCGCCACTCCTGCGCATACTCCCTTACCACCGCCTGAGATGGAGAACAATGGAGCCGAGTATACGGGGAAAGGGAACCACCGCCCATTGGACTTGCAGTTGTCGAGTTTACAAGTGCATCAGGGCGCAGCACCAAATGGCGGTCAGCCCCTGGTTGCCTAGGCTCAGTGAGTGAAGTGATGATTGCCTTTTCAGAACGGCCATATACTGCCAGCCAGAAAAGAATGGTTGGAGATTCGAGAATGACAGACAAAACTCAATGGGCTCAAGGGACAGATGGACATGAAGGTTAGAATGATACCCCGAACGACAAGTGGATTTGAGCGAGGCGTTTGTACGGGACTGTAGAATAAGAAAAGGGTGCAATGGATTTCTGCGTTCGATAGTGCTTTCTATCATTTCAATCGTCGCCCTTGAAATCCGCGTGCCTGAAGTATTTCATCCCAACCCAAGCCACCACCACCCATACCCAGGCCATCACGCAGGTCAAAACCAGCAATGCGGGATAATAACCGACGATGGGCAAGGTTGGATCATCCTCCAGTTCCGGTGGAGCGTAGGGTGTCTCTCCCACGTCCCAAGCCCATGACCATACCCCAAAACAGGAGCCCATTCCAACTACGAAGACGATCCAGGTCACTACCAGAATCACATATCCCCAGAACGCAGTCTCCGAGTAGTCCCATGCTTCCTCATTCGGGGGCGTACCGGCTGTAGATTGTGGCTGGGAGGCAAGGGGAGAGCGAGCGCGCGAGCCGAACATGCGGCGTACCGGATCCTGGATGGGAAAGTAGGAATCTCCAAAGGAGGAGGCTGCGGAGGGTATCTTGCGCAGGGAGGGCATTTGTGGGAGAACAAGATCCTCATCGTCGGTTGACGCGTCCGTGGCCATGGTAGGACTGACAATCGAGGCTGCGGAGGATGCGGGATCAATGGAAGCAGTGCTGCTTCGAATCGAAGGAATGGAAACTCTGGAGAGGGTTCTAAAAGGCCACGATGGAGGGGATTCTGGAGAGGCCGGGCCCGACAGACTGAGGTCAGTGCTTGCTCGTGGAGTGGGCGCCTGGTCCTGGTCCTGGTCCTGGTCCTGGTCCGGTGTCTGCGCGGGCGCGGATCTGGCACTTGACAGCGGGGATTTCTTCATGTCAGAGGCCTTTCTATCTCGTCCCTTGCCGAGAACGGTTTTTCGTAAAGAGCCTTTCCTCTTGCGCTTGCTCTGCAACTGGGCTTCTGCCATGGCCATGGCACCGCGACCCCGGGGAAGCAATTGAGCCCCATTTTTGTCGCTGCCATCGCTCTTGTCTTTGTCCTGATCGCTGTTGGTGCGCAAGAAGCTCAACCGAGATAGTATGTTTCCAGAAACCGATCTCTTGTGACCGGGATGGCCTTCGCCGCGTTTCTTGGACTTGGTGGCATCTTTGTCTTTCTCGTGACTGCTTATCTCTTCATCGATCTTTGGGAATGGGATGGGCTTTTCGGAGAAATCAGATGCACCATATCTCGCCCCGTTCATGGCGGCATGATGTGCGCCGAGAGGACTGATGGCTGCGGTATACGTCAGACCGGGATCAATAGAGCAGCCGGGGCCACTTCACCATCCTAGATGTAGAGGAGATGCCAACATGAAAGGAGAGATTTGATCGGTGTCCAAGTTCAAGGCGGCTGCAGAATTAACACGGCGGATCATATAGACTCTACGGTGGAGCGGATCAACGATTATGCGAAACTTCGCGATGCCAAGCATTACACGTGGGTTGGATCGAGACGATGGAGGAGGTCCGACTCATCCTCGGTGCTCACGGTTTTCAAGCAATGGAACTGCGGAGGACTCGATACAGAGAATCGCCGACAAGGCGCCTGAACTGGGTGCCCTACCAAACTAGGTCCTGGTAAGTCGGTACCTCCTAAGCATGGTATGTGGTATCTGCCGAGCTTTCCAGACAAGGCGGGCCACCATCCCCGTATTTGTTGTCCGTTGGCGGAGTTCATATGGCCTTCTAGCTTAGGCACCCTGCCATCGGAAGTCGAAACATCCTCCTCTTCGCAGTTGTACAGTAGTCATCAGGTGGCCAGTGGAGCAAACTCTAGATCCCAAGGACGAGGTACGTCCGTACGGAGTACCACATATCTAATAACCGATCGACACAGCTCGTATTAGTTGACCCGCTAAATAATCCATTTTGCAGGCCTCGGCCGAGTCAGCATGTTCGACTCCCAACCACGCTTCTGACTTGTCTCACTTATGGCTAGGCTTGTCATGCATATGGCCGAGCATGGCGACAACGTCGAGACTATTGTCTATGGCTTATGTATAAGCTCTAATTTTACCTGCTTATAATGGGAGGCCCACAAGGATTCCACGCCGTTATAAGTGCAGTCTCGGTGAATTCTGCTACACCTTTCGACCACTATATTTCAGGATCAAAATTGTCTACCCTCCAGGCTCCATGGACAATTTTAACAAGAAAACTCTGAAGACGAAGAGGTCTTTCACTTACACCTACTATGTCTCGCCTAGTGGGGAATCCAGCAAATCCACGCCAGCCCTGTTCTTCATCCATGGTTTCCCTGACAGTGCTCATCTGTGGAAAGATGTAGTCGCCCAACTATCGGGCTTGCCCAACAAGATCATCATTCCCGACACCTTGGGCTATGCGGGGACTGACAAGCCCACCGACACTGCCGCCTATAGCCACAAGGGGCAAGCTGACGACCTGGTGGAAATTCTTCAGAAGGAACAGATTCAGTCGAGCATCATTATCGGCCACGACTGGGGTTCTGCTATCGCCCAGCGTGTCTACTTACATTACCCAGAGCTATTCTCAGCTGTCATTCTCTTGAACGTGGCCTATCTCCCACCGGGGGACCAGCCTTTCCACTTGGATGCAGTAAACGACTTCACCCAGAAGATTTACGGCTATCCTCAATTTGCGTATTGGGAGCTCTTCTCCGCAGAAGACGGTGCAAAGATCATCGACGGCAACCTGGAGTCTATGTGGGAAGTCCTCCATGGGGAGTCTGAGGATTGGATGAAGAAGATGTTCTGCGTCAAAGGCGGCATGAAGGCGTACTTGACCAACAACGAGCACGTTCCCTTGAAGGCATATGGCGAGGAGCCAAGATGGAAGGACGAATTCCTCAAACAATTTAGGCGCGATGGGTTTGATGGGCCACTTCGAATGTACAAAGCGGCAGTGTCCAATATCCACTTTGAATCAGACAGGTCCATCCCGAAGGAGAGACTCGTAATCAAAGACCCTGTGCTATTCATCGGCTGCACAGGCGATTTCGTCTGCCGTCACGACATGATAGAGATCCCCAAGAAGGCCGGATTGTTGCCAGATCTCGAGGAGCAATCGATCGAATCCGGACATTGGGTCCCGATGGAGCAACCGGGCGAGGTGGCCAAACACATCAAAAACTTTGTCACCAGGCGATTTCCATGAAAGAGGAGACATGGTCACCACTTATACACTGATGCCATTGTCCGTGCAAGGCCAAGTCTCGTGGCTGGACACAAGTTAGTCTATCGAATCTCAAAGCTCTAAGATAATTTCCCCAACCCCTCGAGAAACACAGCTTAGCATGCTAGAGCATTTCTCATCGTCCATCAGCCCCGTCCCTCTATGCTCTATCCTTCCTGCTTTAACACCCACCCGGCACGTGCCACAATGACCAGCTTCACATGACGATGCAATATCCAGCCCGGCTTCGCGAAGTACATCCAAGAGTGTTTGCTCCGCATTGACCTCAATTTTCTTCTTTGACTCTGATAGCTGAGCAACAAAAGGGTCGCCAGACGTTGAGATCTCAAATTTCTCGAAGTGTAGTCGCTCCTGATCGATGCCGATACACCGAGCGGACTCTGCAACGGCGACCATCAGTCGATCGGAGCCGCAACAATATATGTGGGCTCCAGAGCCAGCCCCTTTCAGGACGTCTTCAACATGGAATAGTTTTCCTTGCGACTTATCGTAGACTGTGACATTGCTGCTAAACTCGTCAAGGTATCGTCGGAGGGCAATGTCACTCGATGTTCTGACGAGATGATGCAAATGATAAGGACTTCCATCCCTCTGGCATCGTTGAGCTGAGGCAATGAAAGCCGTCAAGCCAATTCCGCCGGCGATGAAGACATGTTTCTCAGCATCCACCGCAAGGGGGAAACTAGAAGTTATCTTCCCTACGGAAAGTGTATCACCTTGCTGCAAGCGAGTGTGGATAAAGCGAGACCCGCCACGGCTACGCGCGCTGTGAGCAACGGCAAGTTCAAATTGATTCGTATCACCCGCGACCACGGAATAGGCTCTCACAAGTTTCCCTCCCAGGCGGAGCCGGACGTGTGATCCTGGCTGAACCAATTCGGGTGCTCGAATAGGGTCCCTCGCGGCGAACGTGAGTGACACTATCTTCGGAGTTTCGGCCCTCCTTTTGACCAAATTGTAGTCGGACCAAGTGGTCAGCGCCATTGCATCGCCTCCTCCTATACGCGCTGCTTGATTCTCGTATTGCTTCCTGAGCCTGCTGGCGAAGATATTGCGGATTTCTGCACCTAACTCCTTGATCTGGACGAGCGCTTTCATGGCTTCCTCGTTTCGCATGTCGTGATAGAGATGGTGTTGAACCCGGGCGACAGTCCAGTCAGGGTTTGGCCGTTCGCGGAGTGTCATTTCATCACCGGTTTGAATTGTCCCTTCCTCAAGGATGCGATAGAACCAGCCAGTTCGGGACGAGTCTTGTGCTCTACGAGCCATGTCCTTGACTTGGAATCGGTGGTTCAACTTGAAACAAGGTTGCCGCGGTATGGTGACCTGGGCAAGCACGTTCCCAATCTGGATCACATCGCCAATGCAGATATTCCTCTCATTAGCATACCGTGCGACGAGGTTTTCCCCAAATCCTCCTGGTGCGAAAAGATCCTCACTAGCTGGCAATTCCATTTTCCATCTATCGTAGTGCTGCGAGCAGTATTGCAGCAATACTCGATCTGGCCCGCCTCCAAGCTCAAAGGCGTGTTCATCAGCCCCGATGATCAACTTTGTAACGCTAATCGGCTCGTTGTGGGCGCTCTTGTAGATCGCTGTGCGAATGTCCGGCCCAAACACCGTTTTTATTTTGCCCGTTCGAAGTTGAACCAACTTTTCGGATTTCCACGGTTGCTCGAGAAGGTGGCTTCCATCGCTATGAATCTCTTGGGAGGCAACCATGGCGACACCTGAACGAGCCAGGACAAGGAGTGTTGAAGATTGGTGCGCGAAGTTCGAATCCTCAGATCAAATACTGGGAATGATCCGTAAGAGAGCCTTAAAACGTCCCAGGGGTGAATACAGGTATTTGGTCGACATTTAAGTCACTGGGCCGTTAAACCCTGCCCTATTGAAGAGTAAGGCAGAAGGGCGTAAAGAGGAAGATGGAAACGGGCCTCCACCCATTGGTTAAGCTCCCGCTTTTATGGCAATCTCCGCGAACCTCCCTGAACTGCCCAGTCTTCTCCATATTGAATTGGAGTCAAGATAACGGGGTGGTAGTCGGCATATATATATGTCCAACCACTTGATACCTAAGGTTCGGTTTGTGCAATTCGATGCCAAAGGTGATATGGGCCATTTCCAGGTATTCTGCTAGGCGTCTATGCTTGTTTCAACCTACAGATGTTTTCTCCACTAGTTATTGTTCCTCCGGTTGTTTTGGAGCTGCATAAATGTCCCTATGCATGTAGAGTGGCGACTTTTCCATCAAATCTAGCACCTCTGCGTGTTTAATAGCTGATAACCTTCCGACTTAGTCCTTCTTGTCAGTGGAGAGATCCTGCTACCAAATATTCTCAGTCTAAGCAGTTGTTTTGGCGGACTCCCGCCACCTAGCTTACTGAAAAGATGATTTCATGACTATTAATTATCTATTACTCTAGCCGCAACTCCTTTCATCTACCCCACCTTAATTACCGCCTTGGAAGTTCCAGCCCAAGTCAGTCGTCCAACGGCTCTGTCTTACCACGGGTCAGCTTGAGTGATCTTCAACTAAGCCTACGAAACAGGAACAAGCCGCCGTGATCTTTGCTTGTTTTCCGTTCGACCACAGAACATTCACCATGCTCATGCGGTCGACGTGATATTAGCTATCCTGGTGGCAGGACAACCTGCACTACGTATCTATGATTGTTCTACGGAACCTCCGAAGTGCCTAGATGCAGATGTCTTGATCCTCGTCTTGTCCAAAGTCTCAAAAGACCATATGTATCCAGCTCTGCTCCACCTGCCCTAACATTACGCCATTGTGCCTCCGCGTCACTGCTGATCTCCACAACTCTCAAATAACAGCATATACAACAGTAAACTTTTGCAAGGATACTAACCACTCTCTTATGAATCGCCAGACAGATGATCTACCGAAGTGGTACTGGCTGTTCCACTCTCGTCTGCTCCAGCATCTTGTCCGTCCCCGGTGAGGGGAAATGTTCAAGTACTTTCCTAAAGCTAGTGTTCACAATGATTGATGACTCGCACAACTTAAACAACATTGTTTGATGCGACTTGCCGAGCGACACACCCCACTGTACAATCATCAGAATGTAAGTCTGTGCGAGATAAAAGCTAGCCTAGTGCCCTACTCCCCGCTCATCGTGGATTCGATGAGTGTCCTTCTCAAATCCCCTGCAAAGTAACTGTCAGAATGAAACAAACAGGAAGCGTCGCGTGCATTTTCATAGCCCTGGCTGTGGGTGGCCTGGCTCAAGATGAGAGCACATCGCCGCCAGTCTACCCAAGCCCCGCTATGCTTGGATTAGGTTGGGAGGCCGCATTTGAACAAGCAGATACTTTCGTTGCCAACTTGAGTCTGGAAGAAAAAGTTCAGCTTGTGACCGGTGCATCTCCAGGCCCCTGTGTTGGAAACCTCGGGGCAATCCGCAGACCCGGTTTTGACGGCCTCTGCCTTCAAGATGGACCGTTAGCCATCAGACTCGCGACATACGCGTCTGTTTTTCCAGCTAGCCTTACCGCAGCCGCTTCGTGGGATAGAGGTTTGATCTTTACGAGAGGGATGTACATAGGCGCAGAGTTCAAAGGAAAGGGAAGCCATGTTGCTCTCGGTCCCGTCGTTGGCCCTCTGGGACGAATAGGCTATGGGGGACGCAACTGGGAAGGATTCTCTTCAGATCCGTATTTGACAGGCGTTGTGGCGGAGGAGACAATCCTCGGGATGCAGAAAAGTGGTGTGTAGGCCTGCTTAAAGCACTACATCGGGAATGAACACGAGACGCACAGAAACCCGGACGTGTCAGCCAATGGTACCACTATTGAAGCGGCTTCATCCAACATTGACGATCGAACCCTCCATGAGCTCTACCTATGGCCTTTCGCGAATGGTGTCAGAGCTGGAACAGCTTCGATCATGTGTTCATACAACCACCTCAACGGATCTTATGGCTGTCAAAACTCCAAGACTCTGAATGGCCTCTTGAAAACCGAGCTCGGGCTCCAGGGCTACGTTATGTCTGATTGGGGTGGTACGCATGCAGAAGTCGATGCCATTAATGCCGGCCTCGACATGGACATGCCAAGTTTGTGGATGTTTGTCACAGAGCCTGTTCTTTGGTCTTTGCTGAGTCGTGATAATATAGGGAGCGTTGGAGGCAATCCGAATGCACCATTCTTCGGTGGAAATGTGACTCAAGCTGTGAGCAATGATTCCATCTCAGAGTCACGCCTCGATGATATGGTCCGCCGCATCATGACGCCTTACTTCTTTCTTTAGCAGAACAACTATCCTCCCGTTGACGGGCAATCGCCTAACTTGAACAACAACGACCCCCAGCAATATCAATATCAGTTCATTCTTGGAGCGGCAGATGTTGACGTGCGAAACGATCATGCTCAGCTCAGTCATGAGCTCGGAGCCGCGGGAACCGTGCTATTGAAGAACGCGAATCAAACTCTGCCGCTTAAAGCCCCAGGGACAATCGGAGTATTCGGAAATGATGCTGGAGATCTCGTCAACGGACAGTACTTTTGGGGATCCAGATGCCTGGCATTCGAATTTCCCAGAAGGCCTCCTCATCGATTATCGGCACTTCGACAAGATCGCCATTAAAGCTGATGAGAGTGCCAATGTCCAGTTCCCCTTGACACGACGAGACCTGAGTTACTGGGACACGAACCTACAGGACTGGGTGATACCATCCAGCCAGGTGGGGGTGAATATCGGATTTGGTAGTCGGGACTTGAGACTAAAATGATCAGGTTACGATTGTGAATGGTACATATTAGGATAACCGTTCGCCTCGCTCTTGAGCCAGGGAGTGGAAGTTGTCGCTATCGCTGTTGTCAGTAATGAATAGTAATTGATTGTTTTCGAACCTGAATGAGGATTTTACGAGTCGAGTCCACGTTTGCCAGAGCGAGTTGTGAGTTACTGTAAAGATTAGAGCATGAGGCCTTCTTAATTACATAGTCGAATGCATTCCTAGCTCCAAAACAACGCTGGGACAAATGCTCAACCAATGTGCGCCTTTTCGACACCCTTGTCTCGGCCGAGGAAGATCAGTACATCGGATACAGTAGATACCCTCCGCCTCCGCCGCTACCGGTCCCTTCCATAATCGCTGAATAAGCTCTCCTATGGTTTCTACTTGCCGCGCTGATGGGTGGCTTTGGACAGTATCCATGCTACTCTGGGCGTCGAAGTTCGCGGGATGGTGTCTCAAGGGTCAATAAGGTTCCTAAGCGGAGGCGGAGGGCAAACTTGAGAGCCCTTTATAGGATCCGAAACTTGGTGCGATTACTGAGCAAGGCTGGAAGGGGCCACAGAGTGGCGCAAAACCATGAAATACAGGAGTCCCAAGGACGATGCAGCTTGCTAGATAGTATGCACATAAGGTGCGAAAGACGTTGACTGTCAGAATACATATATAACCCTCATCTGCCCACGTACCTCCATCGACCCTTGGACAACGCCTGTCAACTTTTGGATCACTTTGAATCTGCTTTTCATTCATCACATAGGGAACGAGCGTCCCCAGACAGCATACGACACCGTTGGACATTCAATTCCAAAAATGCCGGCTCTCAAACCAATCACTCTCTATAGCCACGGCGAGACCCCCAAGTATGTAGCTATTCAGCATTACATCATATCTCTCACACGTACAAATCTAATATACCCGCTTTATTCTTAGCCCTCGAAAAGTCGAAATAATTCTGAAGGAGCTCTCCGTCCCGTACACGACCTCCCACGTCGAATGGGGCGACTTGCACATAAAGCCATTCACGGACATCACGCCGAACGGACGGGTGCCCGCAATCACAGACCCAAACACAGGAATCACACTCTGGGAAACCGGCGCGATCATTCAGTATCTGGTTGAGACGTACGACAATGACAGGAAGATCTCTTACACCAGTTTTCCGGAGCGGCATCAGCAGACGCAGTGGTTGATGTTCCAGGTGTCGGGCCAGGGTCCATATTACGGGCAGGCGTCGTGGTTCCATATGTTTCATTCGGAGAGGCTTCCTAGTGCGGAGGCCAGGTATGTGAAGGAGGTGGAGAGGGTAATTGGGGTGCTGGACTCATGGCTGCAGGATCATGAGTTCCTCGTTGGGGATAAAGTCACATATGCGGATCTCAGCTTTGTGCCATACGCGGCGGTGGTGATGAATCCGCAGTTTGAATTTTTGACACAGGGGGGGAGGTTGTTTGAGGGAGGGAAATATCCCGCTTATCGGGCGTGGCTGGAGAAGTTGATGGCTAGGGAGAGTGTCAAAAAAGACAAGGCTTAGTCCGATGTGCTAGTTGGTTCTACGCAGGGATCGAGTGGCTCCGTCATCTGTCCCTGTGATGAGAAAGGGGAGGTGTATAGAGGGAAGGCTACATGGGACGACCAGAATAACACTCAGTCGTGATAGTACAAAAGCCTGATGGCCAATTATATAACGGAAGAGAATTGACAGGCTTGCAAGCTAGCATATGAATATTAATTCATTACAGCTACTGGCAACCACTTCCTTGATGTTCTAGTAAGTCGACTCTTATGCCTGATCACGCAATCTAGGGAACTACTGAATGGCGCTAGAGGGTCTGGGGGTCCAGCCCTAGAATACTTTAAATCTATCACAAGGAGTTTCAATTATATTTGTTTTGAGCTGGGATAATTTTAGCTTTATTCATCGTGCCAGAGAGGGACTAGAGGAAGTAATTGCTGTGGCGTTTAACCTTCTTGTGCTTCCATACTCACCAAACTACTGCTAGAACTAGCAAGTCCTAGCTCCGTGGCTTTAAATTAAAAGGGGCTGGCTCATGTATTATGGGTAGGGGGATACTTACTTGTGGCAGGTGTAGAAGACGTGAATGGCTCCATAAAAGCAAGGTACCAACCTATCCCACCCCATTCAATGATCACAACGCGTCTGGAAACCAGTGTTTCTCTCCCGGGTCATATCCTTCCTTTTGTTCTGGGTATTCAAGATCTGGAAGGCCTTGAAATCCCTTCCGCCCGTGGTAACACCTTCGTCGTCGTCGGTCACCTTATATTGGTAAACTTTAACTCTATAGTCTTTGTCAGACTTTAATATCTCGCCTGCTTGTTGAACCTGCCAGATGATCGAGTCTTCATAATCGGCTTGGATCTGGTAGATGTCAGCTAGCGGATTCCCTCACTCCGGGTGAGCCCTGAAGTAGAAATCTGACTCAACGAGTCCTCGGTCTAGAGACTGCATATATGCCTCAGGAGCGGCGGGCACTTGGTGGACTATGCGTCTGGAGTAGCTGGACTCCACTTATGAATCGTCTAGGGATTGCATGGAGAGATCTGTGAGAGCCTCGTATCATTTGAACTGATTGGATAGCTTCTATTCACTGCTGCAGACTAGTTTCTTACCCGCAGACTTTCTTGAACCATGGGTGTTTGTTTTTGTCTGAACACTGGTATCACATCCAGAATCTGAATGCTCGTCACTTAAGGTGATGAATATTTGTGGTATCCCGTTAGATAGGGAAGTTAGCTCTGGTGGGGCCATGGTGTCACTCACTGTTTGTTCTGTACTTGCACCGGGGTGGCGTTTGGTGAATCTGAGATGATCTGGGGTCCGGAGCAGTCCGAGCAGTCAGTAATATGGCAACAACTGTGTTGTAGATAATATTTGGTGAGCGAGAATAGCTAAACCTCGAATCTCTGAGACGGGCTATATACATTAATAGATTGCTGCATATTCATGACAATTCTATGTAAGAATTCATGACTCGGCGAACACTCCTTTGAAATGAATGAAGTTATTTTGCCTTTGTCAGGTCAGGACGGCTGCCAGTTCAATCACGGGCTGATCCGCAGCGTGGATTGTATTAGGTTTTGTGGTCTTTATCTGAATTTAATATGGGGGTGTGTTGATCCATTGCTTAATGCTGATCTATTTGAATAGAAACACCTGCGACACTTTTGTTCCCGTTTTTCTCTTAGTTCATAGAATCCCGTATTTGCTACCCAATTCTGTACACGTATGGTACTCATTCGCTCATATGGCCGGAAGTATGCAATGGTGTGCGAATCACCAGCTTGGCGCATGCAGTATCAAACGTTCGACAACTAGCATTCAGGACATCCTTAATTCCAACATGGTTTACGGATCATAAGGTCCCCTAGCTCTCCTACCACTGAGACAGTCCGCCTGTTGACCCTCTTCCTTGACCAAGAAGATATCTTCATGCCTGACGCCAAATCGTCCCTCGAGATAAACCCCAGGCTCGCTAGTGAATGTCATTCCAGGGAGGAGTTTTGTCTGGGTATTTCCTTTGTTAAGATACGGAGACTCGTGGGCCTTGATTCCAATGCCGTGACCCACCCGATGCGTGAACTCTTTCCCATACCCGGCAGAAGAGATCACGCCTCTCGCCGCGATGTCCACGTCTGCTGCTGTGTGAGAGGGCGTAAATGCAAGAATGCTTGAATCCTGGGCCGCGAGTACCAGGGACCAGATCTTGAGCTTTAGAGTGTGGAGCGAGGTTTGTGATGGGACAAGTGGCGATTCTTTGGGCTGAGCCGACGGGAAGGAATTCCCTGTGAATACGGATAGGAAGCTATGGAATCGATGTGATATGAACGACCGCGCTGATGAGGCGAATTGGTGTGCGTGTTTTGGTGGGTCGATGAAGAAACTTCGACATATGTCGGAGGAGTATCCGAGATAATGCCCACTTACCATCAACAAATTAGCAACGGTTGTATACCACAGCCATGTATGTACACAAAAGCATACTCACCCGACATCGATGAGGACCATGGTATCATAATCGAGAATCTTGTTTCCCGTGATGAAGCCACCATGAGGCAGGGCAGCATTTTCGTCGAAGAGCACGATATTGAAGAAGAGTGAGAAGCCCACGGATTGGAGAACGTTGTTTAGTATATCAGTGACCTCATTTTCAGTCAGACCTGGCATTAGACCTTGTATTTCAAATTTTGATCAGCGATTGAACTAAACATAGGACACCCCGGATGTGAATGCCCAACATTCCGGGCGAGTATATATACTCACAGGGCCTCATCTGCCTAATAGCTTCCACTGTGCCAGTGTTCACCGCTCTGAGTATTTCCACTTCCGCTGGGCTTTTCCTTTGTCTGACGCTGTCGACCTCACGGCTCAGCCCAACGGTCTCAAAGCCAGCCGCGTCGAGACCTCGGACAATGAAATCCCGGATCTCCTCGTCGACCATGACTCTGACACTGGAGGAATTATTGAATGTTGTATGCAGAAGCGTCTCATATGGATTCCAGTGTTCCTCCCAGACTGCGATTTCCAGCTCCTCATGGTCTGGAAACGGCATCCCGAGCATTCGAACGCGACCTTCCTCGAAATGCGGCGAGAGAAAGGTCGTTTTCGCCTTGACTTCATTCGTTCTGGGATCTCTGACTGGTTGCACGACCATTAGAAACGGTCGTTCCTCCGGCTCCCATGGCTCCCAGTCCGTCTGGCTGATATTGCCATAGTATTGGAAGGTGTATCCTGGTTCAAGAGCGAATGCATCTACTCCGGCTTCGACGAGTGCGGCAGCGAGTCGGTCGCGCCGTCCAATGAACTCTTCTGTTTTGATCGGGACTGCGTTGTCTAGAAAGTAAGAATGATGCTTGAGATTGGAGATGGCACATTTCTGAACCTCGAGCACCTGGCTGCTGTGGCTGTTGGACTGGGATGCAAAGCAGAGCAGCTCCACGTGGCACTGCCATGTTAGTCCATCCATAGTACGTTGGAGTGTCTGCAATCAACATTTGAAATTCTGGACCCCTGGAGCAGTGGGCACCTAGACTCACCATTAACTTCTGTACAGCCAACGCAAGCACCATCACAGTCGCGAGCCAGATCGCCTGCATCTTGCGCGAGCGAGCGAGAAGACATTGAACTCGCAGAGATGCCCCATGGTGAGAGACTCGGCTATATGATATCTCGCCTGGCTCTTTCATTGCAGCTAGTTGCTCATTTGATGGATGACTTCAATATAAAATGAGAATTCAAAAATGGTTGGTCGGCGAGCTTAGCGAGATATATGTCTCTGTGATGGCACCGAGACGAGTCCTGGTTGAAACCTAAGAATAGTTGGAGATATACAGCTTATCTTTGATATGGAGAGCCCGTGGACGCTAATGTACAGAGCCGACATGGGTAACACCTCTATCCTGGCTACTGACCCTTGTAGTCACCGTTTTGATAGGAAGGCGCGGTTGATTGTGTTCAATTGACGCTGTCTTGCGTACGGATCGGCAATTAGAAATCCCACGACAGTCGCCTTTCTCCGCACATAGCTTCAATTATGACTGCCGGAAACGTGGTGATCAGCTTTCCCCATTCTTGACTGTCACGCAGTGAAAACGACAATTGGATGCAAGAAACTCAGATGCGATATATAGGAGGTCTGCCGCCGTTCCTTTCGAACATTCCCGGCCTAGACTAGTCAACAGTAAACCTGATTTAACCTGCTGTTGCAGTGGTTGCAGTAATGGACAGTATCAGTGAAACTCGGGCAACAATGCCTAGCCATGCTTCATCAGATAGCAAGACCGATCCATTATCTGGTAAAGGCGAAGCCACTGTATCTACGGCGGACGAGACAATAAGCCAGGCGGAGCCTCAGAAAACCTACTATAGCAAACAGTCTGTTTGGCTGATGGTGTTGTTTTCTGGACTGGCTATCGGATCTGATGGATAGTAGGACATTCCTATTTTGCCCCACTGCGATTGTACTGACAAACGTTCAGTAATGCTGCGGTAATTGGCAATGTCGAACTATTGCTAGCAGTCTTGTATCCTGATGCACTAACAAATTCAATGTACTCCCGTCTGTCTAATGCTTTCCTCATTGGTATGATAGTGGGCATGCTATTATTCGGGACGGTCGTAGATCAGCTGGGACGAAAGACTGGTGCGGTTGCAACAACCTTGCTGTTGGTCCTCGGAATCACTCTCAGCACAGCAGCGAATGGTACGTCTGACACTGGCCTTCTCTGGATGCTTGTGATCGCAAGAGGAATCGCTGGTGTTGGGGCGGGTGGGGAGTATCCCGTCTCAGGAGCGGGGGCCGCTGAAGCAACGGATGAGGGAGAACAGTATAGAAAACACCGGGGATTCATGTTCGCCATGCTGGCAGACCTATCGGCTTCCTTGGGCTACGTATGGGGCGGGCTCGTGCCATTGTTATTACTCCTGTGCTTCAGCCAGAAGGAAGAGCACTACAAGATTGTCTGGCGCCTGAGTTTCGCATTTGGCATGATCCCACCACTGTCAATATTTTGGTTTCGTATCCGCATGGCCACTTCGACTGCGTATCGGAAATCAGCAATGAGGAAGCAGAAAGTACCATACTTGCTTGCAGTCAAGAAGTACTGGCGTTCTCTGCTGGGATGTTCCGCCACTTGGTTTCTTTACAATTATATCAGTGTCCCATTTGGAATCTTCTCTGGTACGATTGTAAACCAAGTAAATGCGTCAGAATCCCTCGTCAAAAGCCTAGGATGGGGTGTCGTCATCAACTGCTTCTATATCCCTGGTCCATTCTTGGGAGGATATCTGAGCGACAAAATCGGAAGAAGGAAGACCATGGCGCTTGGATTTGGTCTTCAAGCTATTCTTGGGTTCATTCTCGGTGGTGCCAACAACAAAATTCAAGATATATTCCCTTTATTTGTTGTTCTTTATGGGCTGTTCCTGACCCTTGGTGAAGTTGGTCCTGGCAGGCAAGTACTTTAGTGGCAACGATGGTTGGGACGGGACTGACGATCATCCAGCACGGTTGTTCTCACAGCATCTGAGTGCTTTCCAACAGCTATTAGAGGACAGATGATGGGGTTCGTCTCTGCTTGGTCCAAGGCTGGGGCAGCAATTGGAACCCAGGTACGTGCTTGCCTGAGACTTCCATTGGGTTGCTGACAGCATCAGGTCTTTACTGCGATACTCAAGTCGTACGATGACTCGACAAAAGGCAATCAGACAGCCTTTTTGATAGGCTCTGGCTTTGCTGTTGTTGGCATGCTAGTAGCTTTCTTTATCATCCCAGACATGAGCAGAAGATTAAATGACGAAGACGAGGAATGGAAGATGTGTCTGGCCGAGCATGGATGGCAGGCTGAATGGGGTGATGAGGTCTCCAGGGACCCCAAGGGCGTCATGATGCACAAGGTGGTTCCAATTTCATAAGCTGAGGAAGCCCCATGATAGCAGGGAGCCTCGGCTCAAATCAGACAGTCGTGGACCTAAGACACAGGGATATCAGAGCGGCGGTAGTGCTTCTCTGCAGACTGGACAAACGAGCCTCAAGTTCATCCATCCCTCTAGACAGTCAGTGTGGAAAATGTGTCTGCAAGGTGTGACCATGTAATTCCTCTGTTCAAGCCATGTTGCTCCAGCTCCTCTTCCGACGACACCTCCAGCACTCTCTGATTTGGCCAAGACTGGGACGTCAATTTCATTCATACATATAGCACAATCGAAAACTTTTCTTGTTTTATCGTCTTTGTCTTTGGCTTCTGAAGCTGAAGCAAGTAGGCCGATAGACATGCCGCTGGCTTCGACGTCATCTTCTCGAAGGACTGGATGGTAATCGTAAGCGGGTGGGCACCAGGAATCGTGAACAAGGAGACGAGGGCCGAGAAACTGTTGGCTGGTAAGAACCGCAACCTGTAGCCAAAGCCAGCCCAGTAGAATGAAGGCAGTACGGGGGCTAGTGTCTATCGAGAGTATATTGTGATCCACAAAATACCAGTACAGGACGGGTACGGCTCGAAGCAGGCTCGATCCAATAACATACTCCCATGTCAATGCTTTGCGACAATTTCGCATGGTGTTGCGATATATCTGTGGCCACCAGAAAGAAAAGTAGGCGAAGATGAGTAGGTTGGTGTAGGCAGATCTCAGAGGTCTTGGCCATGACAATGCCCACAGTGAAAAGAACATGAGCACGACGAGGGAAAAGTAGAATCTGCTGTAGATGGCAGCGAATGACGCACGCGTGCTGGGGATGTCGGCTTGAAGTGGACTCCCTTGGTCAGAAGGGAGGATAGTTGGAGTCGCACTATCTGTTCTCGGTGTGGTAACCGGTAAAGGCAGACCTCCTGGAAGCTCCGTAGCAGCGACTGTGGTTGCTGAAGGGGAGATGGTGGTGGCGGCAGCAGCAAGACCGGTAGTGGGAGCTGGTGTTAGTGTCAGCGCCGGTGCTGGGGCTGCCCTTCTCTGCCTTTCCTGCTCGGCACGAGCAGGATCGCCAACTTGAACTGTCCATATGTCGAAAACGAACTTGACCTCGAGGAAGGCCACATGTATGCAGGCAAGAAACGCAGCCGATGAAATAGTAAGAAACGCAGCTTCATCGATCATAAGAAGTGCGATGAGCGCAAACAGTAGAAGCCCATCACCAAGAGCAGCAATAACAATGCTTTGGTATGCTATTCGACTCTTTGTGGAGGGAGTAGCCGCCTTTTCCATTTGTCGTTTGATAAGTGCGATCTGGAGGCCAAGAACTAGGACGAAGGAGAAGACAAGGTGCTGTGCTAAGGTCCAGTATGCTTCGATTTTAGGCCCGAACAGGGCGTTAGATTCCAAGACATAGCCACAATCAGGAGAGAAAACGACGGCGGAGAAGGATAATAAGGGTGGCTGGCCGATGGGGGCACCCTCGGGAGACTTCAGCTCTTGTTCGACCTGGCGGAGAAAAGCAGCCATCTGAGAAGAGTCAAGTCCGTCATATTTGTGAGGCTTAGGCTGCAGCCAGATGATCAATTCACACTGGGGGGCGAAGGCTAATCCATCCGACATGTCATCAAGGGTGGTGTCCCAAAGTCGACGGATTGTGTGGTTCATGACTGAAATGGACGAATTGAAGCTGTGGGCATCCAAGGCGAAATGAGGGAGGGCAAAGAGAGAGTTGAACTTTGAGCTGATGGTTGTCATGATAACCTGGCCTGAAGGAAAGTGGACACCTTGAAGCCTCGCCTGCCAGCCGTTTCCAGGGGCCGAGTCCGTCCATATGGAGAAGTCTGCTTTTATGGACGAGGCCTCCTGGCCAGCGAGTGCATGGAGATCCAGGAGGGACAATGTCATTTCGCCGTTGGCCTCGGTGATGTTCCGCTCATAAATATTCGTCATGTAATCCTTCTTGGGATCCAGGGCTGTCAAGTTGAGCTGTGGTGCCGTGGTTGGAGGTTGAATTTGGACAAAGTCTCCACGGATCTCGCCGGCAAACTGGTCATAGACGGGCAAGCCTTTGGTAAGATCGATACCGTTCCAGGCCGTCTCGAACTGTTTGCGGCTCCATTGCTGCACCTTAGCCAGCGCGTCCCACTGGTAGCCATCGTCCTTCCGGAAGCCCGTTAGATTCAGCCATCTGTCCGTCGATGGACTAAGCTGGCCAAAGGAAGTGTTAGCCAAAACATTGAGTTCGGCATCGCGCCGGCTTTGGATGGTCTCGACATCGATGAAGGTTCGGCGATTGGCGGGTTGATCGGGGGTGAGAAAGATAAAGAGCAGTAGGACCACCAGAACAACAACGCGTGGACCTTCCATCCACAGGTTGATGGCCGGCTGCGACTCATCCCAGACGGGAATAGAATATACCTAGGTATGGTTGATGATGGTCAAAGATGGTGAATGCTACAGGTCCTTGTACGTATCTAGACCAGAGAGCGGCTGGGAGCCAGAAGTCAGAGCCGGGCTCAAGGCGTTGGCGCCATCACGTGGCGGATCACATGATACACCGCGTGTAATCATCACATCTCAGTTTTAGGGGCTCCTGTGTGGAATTCTTCTTCTTCTGCACGTCGCGTCCGCCGTATCCAATCCCACGTGCTCAAGCGGTATCCTTGGATTTGGGACAATTGAACCATGGGCAGAGCGACCTTCGCCGTGGGCCTCCAATACTGATATCCTCTCCAGATGCACAGACACGTTGATAATAATATCGAGTCCACATCCGCATTCCACAAGCACCCTCATGGGCATCCCGAGACCATAGCCATGGCAAACACGATGCCTATGCCCATCCCACTTCCACCTCGAACACCCACTCCACCCCCTGACGAGCCGTCGTCGCCGCAGAAACAGCCCACCTTCGACCCTACAGCTCCCTTTGATCCTAACGCACTATCGCCGCATCCCCTTGAACCCGACTATACCGCTTCATCATTGACGTGCTTTTCTCAGATGACGCCTGAGAAACAGAGTGCGACGGCGTCCGCGTCCGCGTCCGCGATCTGCAGCGTCAATGAAGCAGGAGGACCCTTCAACTTTCAAACAGCTACGTTGGCAAAATCGCCTGTTATAAAATCTGTGCGTCATCTACTTGACTGGAAACCCCATCTTGGTCGTATCGCCACTACATGTACAGAGGTGCTAACTCGAGTGATTCCCGTTCCAGAACATTGGCCAGCGACGTGGTCACAAGTATAAGCACTCCAGTGTATCCCATCAGATCTTCCTCGAACCTCCTCCTCGCGCGCCGCAAGCTCTCCCAACCTCTCTTCCTATCCCGACCTTTGCCGAATGCCGGGCCAGTATGACCACGGATCAAAACATCCGGTTTTACTGGAGTATATGCCATATGTTAGTTGCCGGCTACACAGCATGGAATGCACATAGCTCGGCTGCAATGGAGGCATTATCACATCTAATCTTTTATGATTCCCTGGGAGCACTGCTGTGTGTCTTTGTCGAGGTCTTGTCCAACTTTGAGGTGTGGGGACGGTCAAGCGTGAGACATCCCTTTGGGCTGCAACGCATGGAGGTCATTGCGGGCTTTGCGTTGTCAGTGTTGCTGATCTTCTTCGGCTTTGACCTGATCTCACACAACGCCAAGCATGCGTTGGAAGGCATTGGACACGAACCACATCACCCGCACTCTCATGAGCGCGTCACGACCGGCACCGTGGATGTGGCAGCAGTCCTGGCTATCGGGTCGACATTGGTGTCCGCAGTGGGACTTCAGAACCATGCCCGCATTGGCAAGGCTATGCGATTCGCAGCCATGGACAATCTACCTTCGATCCTCAGCAACCCATCGCATCTGCTGACCTTGTCCTGTTCCGTCACCATTCTCATGCTCCCCCTTCTGTCACTGCATACATATGATTGGGTGGATAAGGTCCTCTCGTTGAGTATCGCGTTGAGTATGCTCATCCTTGGGGTGCAATTGGGACGGAATGTGGGTGCGATGCTTCTGATGTCGCTGCCCTCCAAAGCTGCGAATGTGGATCAAGTGTTGAACGCGATAGAGGCAGAACCATTGGTGCGAAGCATCGAACAGGCCAAGTTCTGGCAGGCCCATTATGGGATGGGGATGGCCAATCTGAGGCTGAGAGTGGGGGGCAGCGAAGAGAACCTTGCCAAGTTGAGAGAGAGAATCACGAGCATGATTCGGAATCGGCTGAGCGGAGGGTATGGTCTGGGAAGCAGTGGGCAGCGGTGGGAAGTTAGTGTCCAGTTCCAGGTGGACCAGGAAAGCGCCGTGTCTGCGAGCCATAGCCATTTTATATCTGCACCGGGGTGGGTGACTTAGGGTGTAGTTGTATGAATCCAGCACCCGCATAGTTCATTTCTCGATGGCCATGAGTACCTGGCCAAGCAGTCTTCCCTCCATGGGCTTGGACTCTTTGGCACCAGCGGCTTCAATGCGGTCGCGGACAGCTTTCATAACAGCATTGGCCTCGTCCACAGTGGCTTTGCGCTGGTGTCTTTTGGCGGCCAGCATGATCTCGACTTTCTTGCCTTGCTGTAGAAAGCTTTCCATCTGATTTAACTTCATCTGCAAGTCGTTGGGGGCAATAGCCCAGTTGAGCTCGAGCTGTTTGGGTTTCTTGGACTTGGCCGTGGCGGCGGCTTTCCTCGTGGCCTCTTCTCTATTTGCTATGCTTTTGATCATATCTCGACGGTCCATGATTTTGACGACTGCAATTTCACGCTCGCCCGGTTTGGTAATCTGCACAACGTGGGTAGTAGAGCGATTGATGGACCGCATAACCTGCCAGAGGCTGCGGGGTTCGGAAAGGCCCTGCTCGGTCTTGATTTGGACCTCTAGGGTGTCGATGGCCTCGTCCATGGTAAATTCTTTCAGCTTATCTTCCTTGGTGAAGATCGGGGGTAGCGGTCGTCCAACGCGAAGAAAGGGCGTGGTGCAAAACCGCCTGGGTAGTAGGAGAGCTTGGAAGGGACATGGCTGGACAAGGAGTGCTCGGCCTGCCGGGGCAGCAGCCCGCATGGCATGGTGAAGAGCTCGAGAAGGGGAAGCTTGCATCGAGAATAAAGCTCGCATGCAGTATTTGGATACCAGTGTCGAAGGATGAGCAATTATTCTAGTGGTGCTGACCCAGGTGTAAGTGTGGTTGAATTCATTTGCTGCTGGGCTACACCGAAGTCACAGAAAACGGCTGACGACTCACGAGGTAATTAAGGAAGTCGCGACTCTCCGCCTCTCCGCAGGGACAATTCGAATAATAATTATTTTCCCGAAATCTGCGTCCCCAAGTTGGGACTCATCCTCAACCACTTACCACAACACCCTCCGTGATCTCCCTCTTCTACGTTCTAGATACTCATCGATGCCTCATGCCCTCATCTCACGATTCTAAAGACCGGGCTGGAATTTGGTCCTACGTTCCTTTCGGCTCCTCTCCTCGTCGTCGCTCCGTCTCCAGCGGCCTCCCCTTAAGGAACAACGGTCACGGTGCTGTCTCTTCCTCCGACAGCACTCCCTGGGATCCCTTTGAGAAAGCCGAGAGACAAACGGCGGGCTCTGGGGCCCATCAATCTTCCATCCTGGAGTCCATAAACAACGCCTGGATGACGCAGACTCGACAGGCACGCTACCTGAAGACTGGAGGTGTCTTGTCCTGTATCATCCTCTTATACTGGTTTCTGTCCGGCGGAAGGGGCAGTACTGGAGCCGAGAACAATGTCTACACTCTTACGGACTCTCCTACGACAAAATGCACGAGACCGCACGACCTTTCCAAGCCCCTGGTTCAGTATGCCATCATGATAGACGCAGGGAGCACGGGCAGCAGGATTCATGTGTACAAATTCAACAATTGCGGTCCCACACCAGAGTTGGAGAGCGAGGAGTTCAAGATGACAGAGAAGAGGCCTGAGGGCTCTGGCTTGAGTTCCTACAAGAGTGATGCTGAGGGTGCAGCCAAGAGCTTGGATCCCCTACTTGACGTTGCAATGAAGAATGTCCCCGACGCTTACAAGGCCTGCACGCCTATCGCAGTGAAAGCCACAGCCGGCCTTCGACTGTTGGGCGATGCCATGAGCCAGACCATCCTCGAAGCCGTCCGTACTCGCCTCGAGACACAGTACCCCTTTCCGGTCGTATCTCGTGAGAAAGGAGGCGTCGAGATTATGAAAGGCGAGGACGAAGGTGTCTTCGCCTGGATCACCACCAACTACCTCCTCGGCAAGATTGGAGGTCCAGACGACACCCCCACTGCCGCCGTCTTTGACCTCGGAGGCGGCTCCACCCAGATTGTCTTTCAGCCGACTTTTAAGGGAAGTCCATCAGGAGGCATGCCGGCCAAAATGGCCGAGGGTGACCACAAATACAGCCTCAAGTTTGGTGGGCGCGAGTTTGAATTGTACCAGCACTCTCACCTTGGCTACGGACTCATGTCAGCCCGCAAAGCCTTGCACAACTCTGTCCTGGACCACATGCACAAGCAGAATCCCGACTCCAGGACCTGGCTCTCTAAACCCATTCCCAACCATTGCATCACACCAGGGATCCAGAAAAAGGTCGATGTGACCATGCCCGCTGGACATCCATTGGAGGGCGAACACAGCGTCCTCATGGAAGGCCCCATCGACGCCATTCCGGCGCAGTGTCGAGCACTTGCCGAGGGAATCCTCTACAAGGACAAGACATGTACCCTGGCGCCTTGTTCTTTCAACGGAGTGCACCAGCCGTCTCTCGACAAGACATTCTCCCGCGAAGATGTCTATATCTTCTCATACTTCTACGACCGAACGCATGATCTCGGCATGCCGGAATCTTTCACGTTGCGCGAATTGCAGGACCTGACCAACAAGGTCTGCGGCGGCGAGGAGAAGTGGACCGCTTTCACGGGCATCGAAGGAGCATTGGAGGAGCTGCGTGACCGACCAGAGTGGTGCCTTGATTTGAATTTCATGAATGCTCTCCTCCATACCGGCTATGAGATGCCTATCGATCGCGAGGTCAAGATTGCTAAGACCATCAAGGGTAATGAATTGGGTTGGTGTTTGGGTGCGAGTCTACCACTTCTGGAGAAGGAGAGCGGCTGGGAGTGTCGAATCAAGCAAGTTTCATGATAATATGCCGGGACTTGGCACATTTTTTGTCTATACATACATGGTTTGAGAGGGTGTGGCGACTCGGCGGGCTATGTCTTTCATGATGGGATACACGGTGGGGGTAGACATCCGTAGAAACTGTTCGCAGCCGATGCTCAGGAGCCCATGGGGGTCTAAACAAGAGGTCACTGAGCGCCGGCAATGAGAGATTGGGATGATAAAACTTGTCATACAGAATTGATTGCTTGATTGTTGATTGATCGCTATTTCGCACCTCTCTCGGATCCACTGTCTCTTCTGGCCTTAGATTGCCTACGGCCACGGCGTAGATCATCCTCACTTCCAAGGGATGTGATTCTTTCAACACCTGTGCATCAACTCTCAACTTCTCCAGTGACCAAGTGACGGTCTGCCGGACGTCCTACTCTCTCACACACGTGACACGACACTGAGGTGGGCCAATTTATCGTCGCCCACGCTGCCCCTCTCTTCGACCCGGATTCATTTCATCTTGAAACCCTTACCACCTCTCCCCTGCCATTCATGAATGTGACCGGGTTCCCGTCCTCATCCCTTGGCTGATATTCCAATAACATCGTGGAAAAATGGAGGAGGTCGGTACCATACGTCTGTTGGACCCAACTCGCCATCATATCCATGCCTGCGACAGCACCCGCGGCGGTCCAGAACTTGCCATCAACGACCCAGTTCTTTTGGCCGTTCCATTTCACCCTCGGCGCGACTTCACGCCCATGGTCAAGTACTGTGTGATTGGCTGTTGCCGAGACTCCGTCCAGCACGCCCGTTGCGGCAACCACCAGCCCGCCGGTACAGGTGGTGAAGAGGCTCTTGACCGTTTTGGACTGCTCGGCGATGAAATTTCTCATATCCTTCGGCAGATTCTCTGCGTATTCTAGAGATGGGCCGCCAACCAGGAGATAGTCGAGTTCTGGGCAGTCTGCAAGCGTCGTCGTTGGCTGCGCTTTAAAGCCCCCAGTCAACTGCACCGGCTCCATGCTGGGTCCGATATGAAAGAAATTGATCTTTGGTGCTGTCTTGGCCAACTCTGCCGGCCCGTACAGCGAGATAACTTCGTGAGAGATATTTCCCACTATGTCCATGGGACCCGCCATGTCAAGGAGCTGCAGCGGGATCAGGAGGAAGCCGAAGTTGATTTCGGCCATTGCGAATAAATGATGGCTTGAGCAACGTCGATATGAAATCGATGGAGCACTTGAGAAGTTTCCAGCGATGTTCTTTCTTGTGAACCTGCCCACCAGCAGTCTTGCCCAGTATTAGTACCAGAATCAGATCAGGGCTAGCCGATGACCTGCATATTGACCCTGGTAGGTGGACTCCTGCTTGAATGAGCTGATGCATTCTGGATAGGTAGCTGCACCATTCTCAAAATGCCCGAAGCTGGGATGGTCATACGGTATACAAGCATAAATACGTGCCGACACGACTTGGATTAATATTATCTTGAAGGGGAAATCTTGCCTTGTTGGGAAACCCCATCTCACCAGACCCGCTAGGCACCCCTAGGTCAGTGAGGTGTGTGATTTGTCGCCCTTCTATCTTCGAGAGACCTCATATGTTTGGATCGACCTTGCAGCACTCCTCCCGGAAAGACTTTGATCCGCGGCTTTGGTTTGGAATTGAGATACATAATAGCATCTCTGGAGGTGATTCCGAGCCTTGTGCAATGACTACCTACTACCTACCTTACTGAGGAAGGTCTCTAGGATCTACCTGCACGAACTGTGGTTAACTACTCTTCTCGGTCCTTGGTCACACTTCTGAAGCTCCCGCTCAGTTCTGCAGGCTCTCGCTTAGTTCTGCACCACTGGCAGTTGGCAGTTTAAGTTGAGGTTAGTGTGACCAACATCAATTCCCTTGCTCCTACCGTTTCAGACCCGCAAAGATAGATTGTCTTTCCCCGCTGCACAACAGTGTAAGTGCCGACTCAGCTACAGTTATCAAATTGTTGTGCGAATCCTTGTAGCCGACCCTCGCAATGATGACGATGTACAAGGGAGGTCGAGCTATGACGTGGCGGTGAAGAAAGCCATTGGGACGTCGTCGACGCAATTCGACTCTACCGACGATGCCCTGTCCGATTACAATCAGCTACTACTAGGAGGGGTGACTGTACATTGATGGGCGCGTAGGTGTTACCGCTACCTCTCTCGCTGTTGCTACCGGGGACTCTTTCTCGAAGACAGAGGTACGGGTCCCCGTTATGGACAGCGCTTCCTCTCCCATCAACACCGACATTGCTCGCGGCGGCACCTACAGTTTTAAGGGGGAAAGCCTCAGACTCCGGACCAGAAGCGATGGCAGAACGATATACCACAGTGGTAAGGGTCAGTGTGGCTTTTGCTTTTGCCTTTGCTCTACACTGCTGGCATCCGGCGCCACTAACTAATCAAGTCAAGGTGGGCGGTGGGACGCTTCATAAATAAAGGAGAGAACTAGGAATGGCTTAGTCTACGGTGTTTCGACTCCGCTCCAATATAAGAGTCATGGTGAAGGGAGGCTATAGGAAGGACGGAGGGGTTCACTGCGTGCGTGCTCAAAAGCCACCCTTCCCCAACAGCTCGTCGGCAATTTCCCTCAGCAATAGCTCTGCTTTCCACTGCGGAGCCTTTGACATTGACGCTAGGGTCTCCCGGACCTCCATCGCACGGCACAGGTCCCACAGCATATCGTCGGCGGGAGCTCCATACAGAAGCATGCCCAGTGCAAGGAGAAGGGCATGGAGCGTTTCCTTGATGTTAGAGGATGATGGCGAGGTTGGCTGTGAGGCAAGCGTGGGAAGAGAAATGATGCTCTCGAGCAGAGCGGCGGTCAGGTCGTCGCTAACAGGGCTGCTAGCACCTTCGTGAGGGCCGGTCCCGTTAGGGGATTGTGCATTGGGAGTGGAAGTTGAAGCGTGGTGGATTCGTTCGTTGTGCGTGTATGCACTTAGATTGTAAACCAGGGCCGCGGCCATGGATCGAGAGTTTGCATGCGGTGACAGCAGAGCCTGGGCGGCAAGGCTTTCGATGGTTTCTCGGAGTTTCGAAATTGACTGCTCGTCACTGGGATGTATGAGCTGCTCCTGGAATACGTTTGAGCTAAAGAGATTGCATGCGAGTTGTAAAGTGACGGATTGGATATTGTATTTCGCGTCCGTGAAATTCGTCGCAGTTTGAAAGTTGGGGAATAACGTGGACAGAGTCCGATGGGCAGGCTCGGTGGTGAAGAAGCCGGACACTCGCGAATCGGCGGCTGCGGTGCGGACGAGATCGATCACTGCAAAACGGGAGTCGGGGGCCAGGGAAGAGAATTCCGAGTCGAGATGGGCGCTGAAAGCAGGTAGATTCGGTATGGGTGCATCCTGCATCCCTTTGGCGTCGCGGAATTTGATGTATGATACCAGGTCCTGGACAGAAGGGGCAGACGAGAAGGAGTTCCCAATCTTGGTGAGCAATTTGTCAAGCGGTGGACTGCGGCCGTATAGGGTCGGCCTTTCAATATATCTTTGAAAAGATGGCAGCTTCAGATTTGCGTGAGTGTGCTGAGGCGGACGTGCCATTTGGAGGAGTAACTGGACATTGCCTCTGAGCTGGGCCGGGTTTGCACCAGCCCACTCGTCCTGTTTCTGGCCTTTGAGGAATGTGACGAAGGTTGGCGTTGCCCGGATCTGATAGCGCTGTGCAACAGACTGGGCGGAATGAGAGGCTGAGATGTCGATCTTTATCAAACGTGCGGTCGGGAGTCCACCAGCCTCGGAGGCCAACTCATCATAGGTCGGATAGGCGATCTTGCATGGAGGACAGGAGGCGGAAGTGAAGAATAGAACGGCGCAGGAGTCACTTGAGATGGACAGGAGTGTGTCAAGCTCGGAGGGCGTGGTTATATTATAGACGCGACCGGGGGAAGCAGCAGCAGGGGGTTGGCAATTGATGATCTTTGGGACGGTCGTCTTATGAAAGAAAGTGTTGGTTGTTGGTCCGGAAGAAGTGCCGTTCGAGATGGGCTGGGAGACGGCTGCAGTTGATGGTTGTCTCTTCTGTGCATCCCTTCCAGAGACGGCATCGGGTGCTTGAGTCATGGTTCTCATGGATTGGTCGAGCTGCGTACGCAACATCCGGCCGATGGGTGTGCTCAGGAATGTCTCAGGGAGGCTGGTGATCTCCTCAGGGATGCTCTTGCCGACCAGAAACATTGCGAGATCTTGGGTGAAGTTGTTGCAATTATGCAGGAAGAGATCATAGGACTCGGGAGTATAGATCTGTTCCAAAGATTCGACATATTCCTCCACGACATCCACTGGCAGTTCTGTCTTGCCCATGTCAACGACTGATATGGGCTGGCCATGGTGAGTTGACCCCGGGACTTTGCGGTGGACTCCCTGGCCGAAGAAATATTCCACGCGGTTGAAGACAATTGCAGTATGGTAGATGGCATCGATTTGAATTCCAGTCAAAGCCTGGGAAAACTGTCTCGCCATGCCCTAGCAGAGACATACTCGTAAGAGTTGATGGTCGGTGGCGGGAGAGACTCGACATACCTGTGACAGGTCGTAGACATACAGTTGAACATCCATCTTCAAGTTCGAAGATTCACGCCGAATGGTACCAACAATGCCAGAAATTCATTCTACTGTAGTACCCAGGTAAATTTCTTCTCGAGCGCGGCGAATGAAAAGGCGATGAATAAAGAAGGGCGTCGAACGTGAGGCGCGCCTGGCAGGCGGCAAACAAATGTACGTCAGCCACTGCCACCATGGCCGGTCACCCACCGGTCATATCAGGGGTTACGGGTGCACGTGCCCCTGGGAATGAGTGCGCTTATCGCCAAAATACTCGACCGGATTATTAAGGTGGGCTGGAGGGTCTCCAGGTGACGGCCACTCAAGTCGTCAATGCCTTGCATTGGGGCAATCAACAGCAACATCCAGCCTCTTCAGCAACGTTGGTCAAGCTTTGTCCGCCCGGAAACATCGCAGAAATGGCTTAAATTGATCAATATAGCAATAAATCAACCAATGGTAAGCCACTAAGCCTTGACTTCCATCACCCCAACTAATGACTCAGCCGCCGCGCAAAACGCCGTCAAAAGGCAAAGCTGCCATATCCAAACCAACGGCTTCAGCCTCCAAAGCACGGCGGTCAAAGCTCGCCAAGGAGAACGACATCACAGCCGAAGAGGAAACGGAGGTCAAAGAGGCATGGGCTTTGTTCCGACGAGAGGACGTCGAAGGGTACGAGGACGAGAAGGAAGGGGTCATCATGGCCTATGATGTGAAAAATGTCTTGAAGTGAGCAGCCATTCCTCGCTCCCTCGAGGGTACATCAGTCCCGATATAAGGTCGAGTCCCCGATGCAGTCTAACAAGGAATTTCCCTATATAGAGCCCAAGGCCTTCACCCAAGAACCAAATCTGAGATGGACGAATTCATCGAGACGCTGGATCCAGATTCCTCGGGATACGTCACATATCCTCATTTTCTCGCCCTCTGCGCCCTCCGACTGAACTCCAAGACTGACGAGACCAAAGCGGAAGAAGTCGAGACGGCATTCAATCTGTTCACTCATGGCCAAGTTAACACAGCTGGCGATGAAGTGATTAGCCTCAACGACCTACGTACAGTAGCGAGAACGCTAAAGGAGGATGTCAGTGATGATGTCTTGAAGGCCATGATCTTAGAAGCCAATGGAGGAACCGGCATCAGCAGCGGCGTGAGCATCGAGGATTTCAGGGGCATCATGACTAGAGCGGGTGTTTTTCAATGACCAGGGCAGTTTCCCGTGGGGGAACACGGGAGGACATCAGAAAGGAAACATATTGTGAAAAGGCATCAAGTTTTGACAGTAGTGTCTCCCCGCAAATCAAACCAAGGTCTATGTGAGATCCTGGCAGTAGAGACTTCGTGGAAGGTCTTGCAATCAGTTCAATTTTAGCTGACTGACTGTGGTCAAGACCCGGTTCTATTCTGGCTTCCCTGTCCACACTGACTCGCTCTGGTGTAAATGAAGCGGCCAGCTCTAGCATTGATAGAAGCAGTAGTTGCATGTGATGGTGGGGGAGGAGACAACGCTGGAATAGAGGTGCACAAGGGATCACGTCGCAACTAAAAGCGGAATGAACTTGACCAAGCTGATGTCGAGGTCGAGGGGCGGCCTGAAATTAGAGACGGCCGTTTGTGTGCAATGGAACATTGAGGGCTTTGGACAGTATCGCGCCTATACATAGTCCATACATTATAGCCCCTAGGTAGGCAGGTGAGCAGATGTGCTCCGTATCTAAGGGTCCCAAACCGTAAGAGGGAGAAAAGGAATGGTGTTGAGAATTGAAATTTCAGATCGAGTGCTCTGCCAAGCTTGAACGACGCCATCCCAAACCGGATAGCAGCCACATCACGTGCCACTTCCCACATCAACGTCTCCAGCGGGCAGCTGCCCTGTTGGGTGCCTGTCTAGGTGGCTAACTACCACCCGACCAAGCAGAAAGTGATGTGTAGTACTCGTATATTTGATCTCGTTGTCTACTACCTAGGGGTTGGTATCGATGAGCATCCTATACCTGACGTTCACCTCTTGCCCTATCTCTCCCCCGTCGAATAACGGCCAATGACCAAATGGCGACTATTTAGGTCTCGTTCTTACAACTCAACAGTGCTACAACGACACCACCTATTCCCCCATAGAAAAAAAAAAGACTCTCTGCCTTGTCGAGTTTTAAATATTTATACTTAGTAATTATCAAGGTGGCCCCGAGGATCCCATCACATAATCAAGGACAACGCTTCCTAGATGGCCACTGGCTCCATCCATCTCTATTTGGTTGAAGGGTACTCCAAACTCTACAGAATGTGTACTAGGGTGCTGTCGTACGCCCAGTCAAACAGAACTGATTGCTTATATGACGTCCAGGGAATCCATCTTCCAGATCTCCACATGCTTGACGTCTTCCTCTTCGATCCGGGTAACGCGTCTTTTGTATTTAACTTCTTCCCTCCAGGCACCACCCTCGCTCTTTGCATTCCAAGGATCACCTCTAGGACTGGTCTCATCGGCCATAGGGATTCTGACGAGTTCCTCTACCATTCCACCTATTTCCCACACCTTGTGCCCTATTCCCACATACCGGAGGTAGGGAAAATCACTCTTGCCGCCATCGCAGCTCGTCTCAGCGAGTTCTCGAGACAACTTTTCCGCTTGGTCACCGTCATCGGTCTCGACGAATTTCTCGAACATACATTGCATCTGCCGGCCTTCCGGGCCTTCCTGTGTCGGGCTGAGTAGTCGGATTGCATACAACTTGGTAAGAAAGGGAAACAGCATCCGACTGACCTGTAGGTCGGTACACATCAGCGCTGCACTGAGTTGGTCCAGATTTGGGGCTGATCGAATGAGTCTGGCGACCGTCGCCTGCGGTAGTGGCCAGCGTGAGGGAAGAACCAAGTGTTTGAGAGTTGGGCCACAAACATTACAGATATTATCCATATATAAATCACGCAAGCTTGTGCTCGGGGCGGGTGTGCTTCGTGATGATTTGCTGCTGCTGCCACTTCCAACCACTGAAGGGGCGCGCGGAGAGGCGTCTCTCGAAGTCGGAGTGGAAAGCGCACAGCCGTTGATGCTCTCCGGCTTGTGTCGCGCATTGACGAGGTACAGGTATTCCAGGCCCGTCGCTCTTTGAAGCTCAAGAGCATGGCGCTTGTGCAATTGGTCCACTCTCAAAAGCTTGGGTTTGGGCTTGTCTAGCTGGTCGATGGGGACTAGCCAGGTCCTGTCGATAAAGTAGGTGGCATTACTTGCAGCGCTGAATTTGTCCTCGTCAAAGCCGAAAGAGTTTATCGCAGTGAACTCCCGACAGGCAGTTGTGTCGAGGGCGCTGATACAATCCGTGGCATCCATCGGTGCCAGCAAGTTGTAAACCCCCATTCGGGTGATCTTTAACTGCTTCTTGGCCATGATGAGCTTCCGAAAGAACTGGTAAAGACCGACGGAGGGTTCGCCCTGGTCCCGCATGCGTGGGGAAAAGTGCAGCTGTACGTTTTCCAACTTGTCTCCATGTAGCAGCATGGTTGATATGTCGTCGGGGTAGCATAGTGGGTCGTAATTCGTCATTGTGAAGGATCGCAGGTTCGGAAAGGGTGGGATTTCGCTTATCGGGTGTGGAGTTCGTGTTTGTGGAAACTGTAGCCACAGAGACTGTAGGTTCGACAGCCGCACCAGGCTGGAGTAGACATTTGGTTGCACGCGAGCATCAAGGTCCCATCTATTCACCATTAGCTTGATACTCCTATGATCCATTTGGACATGTGGCGCATATACCTGAACTTCTCGATCTGAGTACATTTCTCCAGGGCAGCACTGACGGCGATGTTCAGGATCATACCATATTCCGAAATCCTGCCGGCTCTTGAATTTTCATGCTGGTCAGGCCCTCCAAAGTCTCCCATCAGATCCAGCGAACGAACCAGATTGGAGACATTGCGTGTGACCAGCGCATTTAGACCCATGCTGAAGGGACTTGCGCTGCCAAAGCCTTCGGGGACATCATCTTTGTAGCGGATGGAAGTATAGGACGTCAGGACAACGGATCGCCAGAGGTGAGGGACGGTCATGTAATAAAGGGAGCGGGAGGTCCGACATAGTCGCGAGAGGGATGCGACGTCGCCGTCGAGCTTTTGGGCAGAGTCAATGTCGAGCACTGGCAGCGCGGAGGCAGAGAGACGCGGAACGTCTTACATATGAGATGATATGAGCGACTGTCGTGAGAGGAAGGCTTATTACGCCAAAAACGCCTTGGATCTCAGGTCCATTGGCATACAGATGGCTGCCTCGAAAGGTCATAGTGCTGCAACATTGACTGGAGCACCAAGAGATCGGCGAATTGTGTCATCGGGGTTGAAGCATGTGAAGTGTTCTGTAGATCCAACTGAAGGGCCAGCGCCTGGAGAATGCTGGGGTCCTAGATAAGATGATGCAAGGGGGGGACTTAATGCCAAACCAGGGACAAACTGCTAGACCTTTCTCTGCCTCAACGAATAGTGAATCAATGCAAGTAAGTGGCACTTGAGCGGGTGGTGAGAACCTACAAATACAACATCAGGCAGAAAGATGCGTGCAAATATGTCGGGCAGCCTCCCCACACCCGGATGTAAGCGAAGCCGAAACTGCCCCCGCCAGTGGCCCATTTACTCCGCCGTATCACATTGCCAGAAGTCTACTCCTACTCCTCCGTATGTCTTAGCATCGGACCGCGAAATGCCACTCCAATTCTACCTCAAGTACGTTGGTACCTCAGTATTGTTGTTCGGTCCATGGGGTACGCTGATATATCTCACGACCAGGTTTGAACATGACAGCCCCGAAGGACAGCCGGGATGTACGAGTATGGGGCAGTCTGCCCTCCTACTCGGGCTAGTGATTCCTGTCTTGCATTAGCGAGTCTTAGCTTCGTTCCGCAGAAATCGAGCCTCGATCGCCTCCTCGTCAGTCAGGCTGAGCTCTCTTCCTTAGCTGTTGTCAACAAGCCCAGCTTGGTGGCTATGACCAGAGCAGCTCGTTTCACGCTCATCGACTTTCGTTGGTGAAACCCGCCTTCAAGCATAAGTAATCTTGAGGGAGTGGAATCGATGGAGCCTGCCTGAGATCCAGAAATGGTGCGGGCTCTCATTCAGACCGCCCCTCATCGATACAAATCATGGACGCCGCAACAGCTGCAGCGGTGGCTGCTTTGGTGGTCTCAGTCCTGGCCATGACGATTGCTACTGCACAGGTTCTTCAGCAATATCTCAACACTGGCCAGCTGATTCGAATGTGCGATAGCGTCGTCTATGGTAAAATGCCCGGTAGAGGACGCAGAATTTGGGAATACTCACAATTTCGTTTTCGGGTCGTTTATTCGGTACCACAGATCAGCCTCCGCCCAAGCTTGTGGGAGGACAGCCTTGCACATTATGTCAGTTACGAGCGAGGGCTCTTGCCGCTTCCTGATCTCCATCGTGATGCCCTAGACACCCATCCTTCGCTCTTCCAACGTAGTGCGAAGGGAAGAGGCTCTGCACAATCTGCAGAAACTGGCGAGGCCTGTTGGGTGTCCTTTTGTCGAGTCGCACAGAACTCATGTACAGACGACCTCTTCTATGAGCTACTCCACCGCGATGCCGACAGATGCCCTTCAGATCTTCCAGTTGTACCCATGCAAGTGTCCATGCGTGACATCGTCATTATCGCATTGATGGCTGGTATGAGATGCACTGATGCCTCGTTCGAAGGGAAATCCATCGCTATGGATGGCGAAGCTGGTGCAATTACTAGTTCATGGCATCCGATGCTGGGATCTATTATTCACTTCAGCCCGAGGAACTCACATCGACCTCTTGGTATTCGTCTTAGAGGTGGGAAAATCGATCCTGCTTGGATGGCAAGGACATGGGATGTCGTCACTGTTGCCGGCCGCAAATATGATGCACGCGATCGAAAGACCTTTGAAGCTTATGAGGGCAACAGCTGGGTGGCCTCATCCCGTGGCCGCTCCATGGCCAAGGCATCTGATGCAAATTACTTCTATTCTCTATCTCCAGTGCGAAGCTTTCGACTGAGGTCAACTTCACCAACCCAGACGCTTCGGAGGCGCAGAACTCGTTCGGTGGTGGGAGGCCCACTGTTAGTAAGACCACGCTCAAATCCAACTACTGTACATGCTCCCAGTATACTAGATCTCTCAAACTCGGACGATCGCGCAAATGGTCGTCATGCTACCCCAGATGACCGCAAACTTCATGTGCGAACGCCTGAAAGCAAAAGGGGGACCTCGCCCCCTCTCACTCTAGGTAATAGAGCATTGGATGTGTCTGCAAATCAAGCCCTTCAACAGCAGAAATCTATTGCGCCATCTCGGGGATGGAGACAGCCATTGAGGTATTTCCTCGACAAGTGGCGTGGGGTCTCTAGCCAAAACAGCGTCAAAGAGCAATCTGACGCGTACATCACAGATGTCGAGGGTCATGGTACAATTGAAGTTTCTAGCGCTGACCGAGACTTACGTGACATGAATCAAAGTAGTGTTCAAACTCCAGATATCGCAGGAGCAGAGCGGCGATCTCCACGCCCGTTGCATACCAATCGAGGCTGGAATTTGCCAGCCTCTGGACCTCGTAAAGCGCTGGATGGCCGGTCATTACAGCAATACATCATAGAGAAGCAGCAAGCGGCACAACCCAGATCACGAGGTCACAACAACTTGTTGACCTGGAAACCCTTTCCAGAAGAACGGGAGGAGGATAATGTGAGTGTGAATGAAGACTGGCACACTTCCATACAGCAACTGAGGCGTGAAAGATCATATTCTATGATTGACAAGTGGCGAACAACCCTCAGCAGTAGACAGCATATGCGGCACGAGAGAGACGCCCAAACGGAATGGGAAATTGAAACTTATTACTCAACTTCTCGTCAATCGAGCGCAACCGCAAGTGAGCAACGACGAAGAGTCTCTCCTTCAGAAGCTCGTTCAATCTCCCGTGAGAGCCGCGCATCAAGGCGAAGCAGGCGAGGTCCAACGACTGATTCCGTCATCAAACGACTTCGCTCTGCCGAACGAGAGATTGTAGACTCTGGAAAATCCGTGGATGAAAATGCCCTTCCGGATGAGCATGAAGTTGCATACGGCCGCGACCCTATTCTGGTAGGCTCGAGCACAGAAGCTACCCGCGAACCCCAGCAGTCAACAAAAACTCCTCAGGAGGAAGGTAGATTGTCTGCTGGAGAACTGGACAATCTTCAACTCCTCCTGGACAGTAGCCAGCGGAAGAAGGTTCATTACAGCTCACCTACGGAAGCTCTCCCAACTAATAGTGAGGCTGAACGATCGCCAAGTATACCAGCAACTGCTAAGCCCAGCCGTTTTGAGGTCGATCAGCCGCTCTCGAGTGACGCTGGCTTGGCTAACTCTGGAATGCCATCTGAGAAGCTGTTACACAATGTTATCCCTGTCGTTGAGCCTCGGAGAGGCATTCTGAGACGGCCTCGGGAACAATTTCCAGAAGACCCGAATCCCCTCAGAGAAGGTGTTGCTCCTCTTAGAGAAGCTAGAGCGTTAGGCATTCCACCAGGCGCTCGCTGGACAAAGATCAGCCGCCGGCTAGTAAATCTCGAGGCACTTGAGCAAGCACGCGAACGCTTCGAAGACCGCGGGGACTATGTGATTGTGTTGAGAGTTTTGACTAAGGAAGAGATCCAAATACTCGCCGATAAAACCCAAGCTATTAGAGGTTAGTATCTCAACCACCAATGTCCGTGTTTGGTCGTGGTTGCCTGCGACCGTCCGTGTGGGCTTTTCTTTCAGATGGCTAACACTTCTCATAGAAGCTCGCGAGTTTGAGAGCCTTTATCCAGAACAAGTGGCAAACCCTGGGGCCAGACAAGCGTCTTCGCGCGGCTTGCCAAGGAACCGGGCCTCGAGGGCCAGAAATAGTTCGTACCTTCCCTTCTTCTTTTGAAGGAGAAGAAATGCTAAGCGAAGCAGGATTTTCTGGTAGCCTTGATGGCACTCGTCCCGTGGAGTCAGGGAGCGACGCGACGGATCTGGTAGACCCTGGCGCTGGAAGTGCAGAATCGAACACCAGCTGGTCAGGTCAATCTGTCTACGGATCGGGCGAGAGCTCAAAGATCTCCCACTCCCCTGATACAATGTCCGAATCTGAGGAGCTAGACCTTGGTCGACCTGAGTTGCCCGTAAGACCCGAACTCGACAACATGGTGAACTCCATCCTCTCAGATAAATCAAAGGCAGCGACATATAGTGACAGATCACCGTCACCCAGACAAGTCCTGGTCGAACACTTAAGGGGGCGTCTCAAAACAAACCAAGGATCGGTCCGTCGCCGGGCTTCCACCCGCTCGAATTCATCTTCATTTTCATCCAGGAGCTCTGGCTCCGACAGCGAGCGCTTGAAACCGCTGGACACGAGAGACATCCTGTCCGCCTCTTACAGCGATCCGGTTCCCGACATTCCAAAACACGATAGATCAGCGGTAGACGATGTGACAACTGGGAAGGGCACTCTGAAAGACGGTTCAATCAAGTGGCTGTGGATATGTCAGGCTGATGTTCTACCGGGCTACTTTGCAAACCCTTGGCATGACCTTTTTTCAAGTGACACATGCTTGGGTGCGATTGTGACTATGCTGGAAGTCCTTGAATATTACACCGACAACTCAACGCTTACTTATGTCGACGCGCTACCGTGGTGTGAGCAGTGGCTCTATGAAGGCAAATCCACTCACCCAAGCTATGCCATTAATGCGATGGGGGGGACCATTGTGCCCACGGATTACCATTTCCTCAATTTTGAGAATTACAACACTCCAATGCCTGCGATCCAGCTACTGCACTCATACCATCATCAGATCAACCCGTCAGGCTACCAAGGGACGAATACTAGCGTGATTGAGCGACTCACGGAACTTATGGCCTTGGATTCATGGCTGTCCTTCTGCGGGCGCCAGCCGGAGATATACGACGGCCGAAACAATCTCTTACAGAGCTTGCCGATGTTGATCCAGAAGATGATGTCTGACTTCGATTACGAGTTCAGCAGCCTGGACCGGACTTCCACGGACGGCGGGCATCAGATAGTGAAAGAGCTGGCTGCACTGATAGCACACACGCTCGAGAAGGAAATGCTGTCGGAGGAGGAGCAGCTTTTCACGACCGTCGCCATGCTGAGGGCGGCGAAGATGGCGCTGTGCTTGTTGAATGGTCCGGCTACCCTTAAGTTACGAGATATCTTCATGAAAGATGTCCACGTTTACCTCGTTTGATGTCCATGGCACCCCCTCCGACTCCAAAGATGCTGCTCTACCTGTGCGAACTGTGTGTAAACACAGTTTCCATGAATCCATCAATACTCAAGGGTCTGATCTATCAACGGCTTCCATCAACGCCTGGCTCACCCCACATGGCTCCCGAACTTGGTAGGTGGAGACCGATCTTGATACGAATCAATACTCACAACTGAGCAAGGCACAGAGTCCTTCGGTCTTCCGTGCCACCGTAGTGAGCTATACAAGATATCGAGACAGACGGTCGAGAGGCAACACGCTTGAAATGCTCCCGCAGACTCTTGTGAAATCCCGAAATACTGGTCAGCGTACACCACTACGCCAACTTTCCCTTCCCTTTGAGCACCTTCCGCCTCTGCGCCATCATGTGCGTATACAGTATATAGCTTCCTGGGACATAGATGAACAAGACAACCTTGAGCAATACATCAACACTTGAACCCTCCTTAGCTGCAGGCTTCAAGGCCAAGTACATGAGCAGACACTCGCTCGAGATGCCGATCGGATACAAGACGAAGAATGTATTATACCGCAGCCAGGTCAAGAGCGACGGGATCTTGTCGCTGATCATGGTCTTCCAGACGAAGAACCCGTACCTGATGACCTCGGTGATGCCCCACGCGAGCAGAATGCCTGCGAAAGCGATCGGACCTGTCGTGGATCCTGCCGTCTCTTTCCCCCAGGAAGTTGTGGTGGCGACGATCTGCGGGTAGCGCTGGAGGACGGTCCAGACGAGGAGAATCCGCGAGGAGACCTGCATGGCGGTCGTGACGGGGCTGGCGCGTACGAGGCCAAGGGCTGCGTGTACGATCTCGAGGAGGGCGATTGTTTGTGTCCATTTCAGAAGTGGGAAGAGCGCGTCCAGGAGGCCGTGCAGTTTCGAGTGGAGTGATAGTGTAGGGATTAGGGCCAGGGCGCGGAGGGTCACGATCGACCAGAGGAGGAAGCAGATTCCATTGTATGCGAGAAGGTATTTGTGGGCGGATGTTGAGGTGGCGGGAGGCGGAGGTTTTCGACGGGTCTGGGTTTCCATTGTGGCCAGCGCGGCTCTTTTCGAGGTTATATGCGAAGATAGGTCGGTGCGCCGCTGAATATTTCAAGCTGGTCTACACTTTGCGGTCGGTTCACTAATAGTGCTGGAGGAGAGGAATTGTTGAAGAGAAGATGATCTTGCAACCAAGGGCCCGATTCAGACTAGTGCACGAAAGCTTGGCACTCACCGAGCCACCACAGGGTACCGAAGTACATGGAGTCCTATGTATATATGTACCCAGCAACCTACCGACATGGTACCTAGGTAGTTCTATACTAGGTGCACTGATCTTAAAAACACCACTTACCTACCGCTTGCCAGGCTTCATACGTGCACATGCCCGATGAATTGGTTTCAATCACCCCCAGCTTGCCTCGTAATCGGGGCGAGGGGACCGCAAGAGGGCTCAAGGCAAGAGTGATAAGTTGATAACTGAGTCTCGGCTATCCCCCCTCCGAATAGTCAGCTCTAGATGACGAAGAGAACAATGATGTTACACAGTATTCCTGCACCAGTGACTGAGCTATATGTAGTATGACTTCTAGAAAATAGGGGACGTACAATGTAGTGCTGTCGGTGCGTTCGAAGTGACTACTCGGGCTCTGAAAATAATAATAATAATAGGGCGTCCTGAGGCCGTTTGCGATAGAACGGAACGCCTTGTCCCCCACCACGAAAGGCCAGAGCGCTAGGTAAGGCCTTCCCGGATGAGTATTATTACTAAGTGCCTATATCTATTTCTGGAGAGGAATGGCTGGGGGCCATTCCTTACACCCACCGGCTTACTCATCTAGCTAGTCTAGGCTAGTCGCAGACCAGATAACATCGTGGCTTATATCTTACTATGTTAAGTACTGTTGTACTGAGGGCGTTCCATTCCTCCAAGCCTTGAGATGTTGTGAAGTATTCCTCATGGCAAAGGTGGTCAGGTTTATATATAATCGCTCTTCCAATGGGAAGGCTACTATGTATTTGAATACACTCCATAGCGCTATCTTACCCCATAGCCCCTAGCCCCTTGGAACACAATTGCTCCAGCTTGTGTCTTGCCAACTACCCGTGGCTGACTTCCATTTCGATTCTACAAAACTGTATTCTCGTCCCATATCGTTCATCTACCGCATTCACACATTGCTAGAGCCTCCTCTCCTCCCGTGCTTTTCATCCAGTGCCGGGACCAACGCTAGACAAAATGGCGGGCTTGGTTTTGACGTTCGTCGATGCCGCAATTTCAATAGGATCGATCATTTCGGGCTTAATCCAAAACAATAAGGCCGAACAAGATTTCCGCAACCAATGGACACCGGCAGCGGCAGGACAGCTTGCTACAGATAACCCTGGGAAGAATATAATGGTCGTATACACGGATCATGACGCTAGCGGTCTCGTGGGGGTCGAAAAGAAGGCTCTACAGTGTGATTGTCCCACAGGAACCTCGCTGGCGTATGTGGTGTACATCTTTGACGAAGGGCCATTTCATCTCAAAGGAGATGGGTATGTCACAAATGCAGTCTGGTTTTGCCCTACAGCTAACGGTATCAAGTGGCTTTTTGAACTGGGCCTTCAATGGAAACTTTGACAGAGATGGTAGCAATGCAAGGTTATCCCACATACTGGTGATACTGCCCCAACTAACAGTCTGAAGGTCACCTTTAAGAAGACGCAACAAGCTATACAGATGGAAGAGCAGAAGAAGGCAGATGAAGCTCGTGCTGCAGATGAAGCAAAGAAGGCCGAGGAGGCCCGCGTTGCAGAAGAACAAAGGAAGGCTGAGGAGCAAAAGAAAGCAGACGAAGAGAAGAAAAAGGCAGAGGAGGAGAAGAAAGCGGAAGAGCAGAAGAAAGCGGAAGAGCAGAAGAAGGCTGAAGAGCAGAAGAAGGCTGAAGAGGAGGAGATGGCTCGTCAAAACCAACAGCCACAATATAGCCAAGGACGCCCAGATCAGCAGGGATATGAATATCCATATGGCCAGGAGCAATATGGCCAGGAGCAATATGATCAGGAGCAGTATGGCCAAGAGCACGTTGGCCAGGAGCACGATGGCCAGGAGCACGATGGCCAGGAGCACGATGGCCAGGAGCACGATGGCCAGGACCACTATGGTCAGGAAGAAGAAGGTTTGTACGGGCAGGGAGACCCACAGCAATACGGTGAACATAACCAAGGATATCAACCCACGCACGAAGAAGGCTACGAAGACCCTTTCAATCCACAAGATGGTGCAGGCCATCACGAGGACGGTCATTTATATGGACAGGAAGGATCCCAGCAATATGGGCACGAAGAAGAAGACCAATATGCACCGGAAGATTCGCACCAGTATCCACAAGAACATCCTGCATACGCCCAGTATGGCAGCCAACCGTATGAACAAGAAGAAGGCCAGCAATATGGAGACGACCCAGAAGGGGCATATCCCGAAGGAGATCATCAGTATGGGCAGGAATCCGATGCGGCATATCCACAGGGCGGCTACGGAGACCTTCCATATCCGGAAGAACAGGGAGGATACCACGAGACGCAAGGAGATGGTGAAGCCTACCCACACGAGATGGATGCGTATCCGCCCCAGGAAGGCGGCGGTGCGTATGGACAACAGGGTGCATATGGGCAACAGCCCGTTGCCTCCTATGCTCACTAGTGAGGGAAAATCGAGAGTGGAAGGTCATTTGAGTATATTAGCGCTGTTTTTGAAGCCATTTTCCTCTAGCAGAGAGTATTATTCACAGCACCGGGATCTCTATACGGGCTGTGTACGATTAGCATGAATCCTTGGGTCAGGGCAAAGGACTAAATACGAGCTGAGTATTTTAAGCTTTCATATTGGAGCTTCTTTTGGTTCTGCCGCGGATCGTTCTCAGTTCAGTAGTTTTAATGAGTTAGGGCATGGATCTCTCAGGCTACCAACTTAACTACACTGGGCATCACGTCTGGGCTGATTTGCGAAAAAGCACGATCCCACAAGATTGTCGACTTTGCCACCTCTACTGCAACGCCCACGCGTCGAGCTTTTCGGGGGTGCTCTAGAGCTCAGACCATCACAAATGTCAATGGGACGGTCAATGGAACGGTCCAGTAGTGAAATATAGTCTTTTTCTGAGTCTTTTTCAAGATTCGATAGGTCCGCTTTCGTCTGATGCTGGGAGAATGTCTCGTGTTCGTTGATAGCCTGAGATGGGCAGCGAGCAGTACGGCCGAATTATATATATATTTGGATAACCAGTACTATATCCACGACATTGCCTTCGTCTCCACTGAATCTCATTGCACAAAGCCATCCAGTTAAGTCTCCTGTGCCACGCGATGTCACTAACTTGTAAAGCTTTCCTCTTAGCTGTTTGCATCGCATTCGCCTCTGCCCATCCGTCTGGTTCAAACCACTCTCCATACAACGGACAGATTGCGGGCTCCAATGTTGCCCAGCAGATCTTTTTGGGTAGATTCATCTCAACACCAACTCCTGATCAGCTTTCAATCGAGAAAGGCGCAGTTCTTGTTTCTAGTGCAGATGGCAAAGGTTTCATTGAGGCCGTCGCATGGAACGTCACCGACCCAGCGGCAGCAATCACCGCCCTAGGAGCCACCAGCGGAACGACGGTGGTCACTGCAGACGACGATAGCTTCTTTTTCCCAGGATTCATCGGTATCGGCCCAAAGGACCTTGATGGTGATCCCGGCTGATAATTGTTGCAGATGGGCATATTCATGCTCCTCAATATCCAAATCTTGGGCTGTTCGCAGGAACATTGCTTGACTGGCTGCAGGCCTACACCTTTCCCATGGAGTCTAGCCTGGGTAACACTATTTCACCAGCATACGCAAACTCAACGACTCCTCCAGATCCATTTGCGAGAGCACAAGCTGTCTACTCCCACGTGATTGAAAAAACACTTTCATATGGAACGACCAGTGCTGCATACTATGCGACCGTCGATGTGCCAGCAACAAACCTTCTTGCCGACTTGGCTTTCGCAAAAGGCCAACGTGCTTATATTGGCCGGACATGTATGGACAATCAACAGTATAATCCGGAGTATTTTCGAGATGAGTCACCCGAGGATGCCATCAACAAGACCCTCGCAACAATTCAACATATTCAGGGCATTGACCCTTCTGGAGAACTCGTCGCCCCGATAATAACCCCTCGATTTGCGCCAGCAGTGACGAATGAGTCTATGACTCTGTTGGGTAACTTGGCCAGACAGATGAACCTTCGCATCCAGACTCATATAGATGAAAATGTCGGTGAAGTCAAATTGGTAGCAGAGATGTACCCCGAACAGTCTACCTACGCTGGTGTCTATGACGCTCATGGACTTCTCACAAATCGAACGATTTTGGGACATGGTATCCACATGACGGACACAGAGATTGCCTTGGTTGCAGCACGAGGTGCCGGGGTGGCTCACTGTCCAACAAGCAATTCAGCACTTGGTTCGGGAATCTGTCATGTTCGCAAGCTTATCGATGCTGGCGTGAAGGTTGGACTAGGAACTGATGCGGCAGGTGGATATTCTGCAAATATACTTGAAGTGGTGAGGCAGGCGTTCCTAGTGAGCCGACTTCTCAGTTTCCAAGAAGGGCAGAATTCAAGCCTCAGCGTACCGGTGGCTGAATCTCTATATCTTGGAACCATGGGTGGTGCAAGGCTCACCGGTATGGAAGGAAGACTTGGTGGATTTGCACCTGGAATGCTGTGGGATGTTCAAGAAATAAAGCTAGGGGACTGGGAATATGAAGCAGTAGATATCTTTGGCTGGGAGAATTGGCACGACAGGGTCAACAAGTGGGTGTGGAATGGGGACGATCGGAACGTTAATCGTGTCTGGGTGGGAGGAAGACTAGTCCACCAAAAATAAAAACTGTATCAGGCAGAATACAACGGCGAGGGCTCATTTTCTATATCGGGCAACCTCTTTAATTCAAAAACACAATCAGAGCAACCCCAGAACTCAGGAATTGCTTTGAGCAAGGAGGTCACTGGATTCAGGAAGAGAGCATTCAGTTCGGTAGCGTCCAGCAAAGGCTGAAAAATTCCCCATTCACACATCACGAGCGGCACAGCCTCTCTATCCGCATTAGGCATGCAAATTGGCTGATTGAGGATTGCAGGATGAGGACCAAGGCTATGGAATTTATGCTTCAATAACTCCGATGGCTCATACGCTGCGGGAAAGTGAGAAAGCTTGGACCAGCACGCGTGGTTTCTCGACCCAACCGTTGGCACCTCGATCCTTCTGGCTGGAATGGCACGAGGACAATGCATATTGTCTTTTGGAGCAGCTGAGGCCTATGTTGGTTCTTCAGCTACGTCAAAATGGCTGACAATCCGACGAACAAGTAAGATTCTTGTGAACTGTTACCTGTACATCAGGCCTACTTACAATATCTCTAGCCATCATCACGACGGTGCGCTCCCAGATTAGATCAAGTCTCGCGAAGCTTCATCGTGCACTCTCATCACGCCACGCATTTCATGAAGCCATTCTCCTCAAGAGCTCTGTGTCTAGTTTGATCAACGAAGATTTAGTTCCTTCACCTCCGAGCAGACAGACCTGGACGACTTGGAATTATTTTGCCTATTGGTGGAGTGAGTCGTGGTGCGTCTCGACGAGGTCTGTTGGGGCGTCTTTTATATCTCTTGGGGCAACATTCGAGATGCATTACTGGTGGTCTTCTTCGCGAACTTGCTTTCGGCGTTGGTTATAGTGGCAAATGGGAGAGCGGCGGCGCGATACCATGTCGGCTCCCCTGTGTTGGCCCGAGCGACTTTCGGGATATATGGGCATTACTTTGTCGTTATCTTGCGTTCCATGCTGGGCATCATCTGGGCAGGCATTAATATGTATTTTACTGGTCAGTTCATCTCCATCTGCCTTCGTTGTATCTTTACGGGCTGGGAGCATCTACCCAACACGATCCCTTCCGGTCAACACATTACTTCGCAAGGACTATTGGGGTTTTTCTTCGCATTTGTCGCCACGTTGCCCTTTGTGTTTATACATACCTCGAAGATCATGGGCTTGTTTCACAACAAAGTCGATAATCATGCCCCTTGCGGGACTAGGAATGGTGCTCTGGTCGACTTTGAGCAATGGGGAAATTGACAGCACGCAGTTGGAGGATTCTGATGGCCCAAGAATACCTCCCACGGCGATATTAGCTTGGGGCATCACATCACAATTCAACGCGGTGATCGGGATCAATTCTGCTCTACTAGTGACCGTGCCTGATCTTGCGAGGTACTCAAAGACAAGTCAAGCACAAGCATGGGGTCAACTCATTGGTCTACCACTCGGTCAAACCCTTTGTGGAGTATTTGGAGTCATTACTACAGTATGTGCAGCAATCTCCCAGTTGTAAAGTCTCTAACATGTTCAGTCTGCGGTCAGATCAATGTATGGAGAGGCCTATTGGAACCCAGACAGCCTCCTTGACGCTATACTGGATCACTCTCATGGCTCCAAGGCCCGAGCAGGAGTATTTTTTGCATCAGCGTGCTTTGCCTTTGCCACACTGGGCACCTCAATAGCATGCAACTTCATTCCATTTGCAGCTGACGTGACGAGCTTATTACCTCAGTACATCAATATCGTTCGTGGTCAACTGCTCTGCCTTTTCATCGCTTTCGCAATTGTGCCATGGTACGTAAGCCCTCGTTTGAGGCTTCTGGCAAATCTAATGACCTTTCAGGCAAATTGTCGCGACAGCAAACGGTTTTCTCAATTTTATTGATGGTTATTCCATTTTTCAGTTCCCGATCACTGCCATCATGATTGTGGATTATTTTGCGCTACGCCATGGCAATCTGACGGTAGCGGATTTATACAACGCAGAATCCAGCGGCACATACTTCTGCTACTATGGCTTCAACCTCAGAGCATTTTGCGCATTCGTTATAGGGTTTACTCTTCCGCTTCCTGGACTCATAGGAAGCTTTGGGCACTCCTTCAGCATCGTTTCAGACAGATTGTACTCGTTAGGTTGGTTTTTGAGCCTAACAATGGGATCGCTGTCGTACTACGTTGCTTGTCGGGTTTGGCCGGTACCAGGACATGATAGGGATCATCCATTCGAAGCCAAGGTAACGGAACACACAACGTGGAACATATCTGACAGAGACGAGATGGATTGCGAGATGCCAGCTCGCGAAGACCAGGTCTCGAAGGAGGCTACAGCCCAGCACAAGCACCAATCAGCCTTAAATTGACTAAACCCGCTGGCAGTGTAAGTGTTAGTCGGGCCCCGCCGGACAAGTCTGGTCCTTGGCTTCAGGTGCCTTTGTCGGCAGCCCGAGGTCTATCTCGCGCAGGACAAGTGAGAATCCCCAACAATTTACTGCGAAATGATAGATAGTATTTGTGAATCCAATCGTTGCGTGTTGATCGTTCGGATGCTGGGGACGTCAATACCGGCGCCATTGGGTTCCTCCACGTGAGTAGCTGGGTTCCGTGAATCCAAGCGCAATACCCATCAATCTGTGGATGTCATGTTAAATTGAAAGCTACGAAAATTTGATGCCATTTTTCCCTTGAGATCATTATCGTTGTCAGCTCACGCCTTCGGCTTCTCTTATTGCCCAATCACGTGAGCGGCAAAACCCCCCTCTTTCGGACAATTATTCCGGCGTTCCGAGGTTTGCCATTATCTTGATTAACACGACTTCATCACCTCCATAACCATCTCAGGCTGGTGGTGAACGTTTGGAAATGCGTCAAACCCCTGCATCGCATTTTCCATTCGGCTAGAGATTAAGGTAAACATAACAAGTTGTGACTCAGCGCGTTACGTGGGGCCTACCATTGACTAAGGTGTTGCTACCTGGCTGACCGAGGCTGAAGTCTTACGCTTGACTCGTTGGAATCCGGGCAGGTGTGGTTTTCTATACTCATCGAGCGCACAGATCAGACTGATGGAGTCCGATCTGCAGCAATTGGCTAAAGACAGCGAACAGCACACACAGTCAAAGCGTGCATCCTACGCGACTCGTGCATGGTGCGAAGCCAGAATTGCCCAAAGGTTCAAAGCCCCTTACTAATAGTGATAGCGTCGAATGTAAACGACGGAAGATTAAGTGCGATGGCCAGAGACCCTGTCGTAGGTGCATCACTCAAGAAGCGCCATGTATCTATCAACAAGCAAATAGGCGCGGACGAAAAGAGTCTTCCAGACCGAAGTGGTTGAACAAGACTTCTGGGAGTACGTTTGACAAGTTCCACGGCCTTTACAACCAGGTCATTCCAATCAGTGGGGTTGGTGATGACTCTCACTCCTCTGCTGTCCCCGTGGAGCAGAGTAGCCAGACAGAATCACCCACTCAGACATATGCTGGAGATGAGCCTACACCATATCGTGCGCCGGAGCACCAGTCTCCCAGCTTTTATGGCCCATCTAGCTCCGAATTCACCTTGAGTGTTGTCAGTGGTAATTTAAAAGCAATGGGCCTCAATGCTGTCATCAACGACGCATCGACTCCTGACGACGCTGTATCACGGCAATTTTCTTTCGAGCCCGCTCAGTATGGCCGTAAGTTGTTCCTGTTCCAGGCTCTTATTCATTGTTCATGTGCTGAACACCCGGCGTGCCGACCGACCGATGGCTGTTGCACATAATACAAACAATGGCAAAAGCTAATATACCCTTGTTTCTTAGCTTTCATGAAAATGCTCACCATGGATCCCCTTTGGGATATCAAGAGAGCAGACGCACTTCGCCTGATTTGCGACTTCTGTCGTGGCCCAGGTTCGACATATCCAATATTTGAGCATCACACGATGATGAACATAGCCAATCGAGTATTTGGGTCTTTGGAGTCGGCCCAAGGTGGGAAATTGAAGGAGAGAGGGCTGGCTGCGGCAGAAGCCATATTCAATGCACATACCAACAAACTGAAGGTTGTGATTGCTATAGGACGCACTCTTGAGAGCGGTGGACGAAGTGATCAAGCACAACGATTATTTCAGAGCGTGACAGAAGCTGTGGAGGGCCTTCTTTGGAACTCCGATGGAATCTGTGGTATTCAGCTACTAGTACTGGTGGTATGATTTGTCTGTTGCCGAATCCGGGACTTGCTGACAGTACCAGGCGTTGTATTACTATCATCTTGACGATCAAGTTCGGACGTTCAGAATCATCGGGTTCGCAGCAAGACATTGCCTTGAGATGGGGCTGCATCGAAGGGAGACCATCCTCAAAACATTTCAAGATGAAAACGATCGGATGATTGCACTGAGAGTACTGTGGTCGGTGTATACATTGGAAAGGAGGACGAGTCTTAGTCAAGGGGTGCCGTACTCCATCCAAGACTCTCACATCGACCCATCACTATTCACAATGGTAAGTTCAGGCTCCGTTTGTAGACGCTTCGGCCCATGTAAAATTGAACAATGCTCATATCCACCGAATAGGACATATCGAATCCTTTCCTTTCCAGCATGGTGGAATGGACGCAACTTGCAGGGAAGGCATGGCAAATATTGAACAATCAGTGCGAGAAAGCGTCCGTGATATCGAAAGAAGAAATTGACTTTCTGGATTACCAAATCCTTCGATGGTACAACCAGGTTCCCGACCAGCTCCAGCTATCCTATGCAAGAACGAATATCCAACTTGCCGATGATGACGCGTACCAAGATCCCTTATATCTACCGACAATTTTGTATATCCGCCAAAACTACCTACGAAATCTCATATATCGGCCAATCTTGCAGTCGGCAAGGAGAATTAGGGAGAATGAACGCTATGCGCATGTAGCGGCCGAGGTAGCCAAAACGTCAATAGCCACCATGTGGCAGTTGAACCAAACGTCCAACCTGATTGGAACACACCCGATCGTCTTCAAACATTTCGTTCTCAGTTCATTTGGAAATCTGTCACTGCTTGTGGTGAATGCGACCAATCAGTTCTGGGCGAGTGTTCGAGACGAATTTCATCTCGCGTTGAAGTTGATCAGACTCTTGAGCACACGCTCTGGACCTCTTATGCGCCTGTGGAAAAGGTTACAAGGGCTTGAAGAATTGCAGTCTAAGATCAATGCGGCGGCGCCTTTGATATCGACCGAGCAAACTAGGATGCCCCGGCCGGTGACTAAACCGAAGTGTAGCCAACAAACAGAAGAATTTAGGATGGAATTTCCAGCGTTCGGAGATCCGACGCCAGGTAGTGATTCTATGACGTCTGCTTTTGAGGGATCCTACATCAGGGATGAATTCGCTGGTCTCTTTGACCAAGCCGCTGATTCAGATTCCTTTTTCGATTTTCCTTTCACAGAGTTTGGGAATTGATGAGCTTATCGGAGTTGGTAAACACCAGTACCAGTGGCCTTGTCAGGGGCAAGTTTGGAAATACTTCGCTCCGTATATCCACTGCTTTGATTAGCATGCGGATCTCAGGCAATTGGCATTGCACTGCTGATCGAGATACTTTTACTCTGCATCATTTCCAGATTTGGCGGTCTATCAAGATTTCGGGTGCTTATGTAAACTCCCGTGGGTATCAAAATAACGCCGAACAAAGACCACAACCCGAACCATAGCGCATCATTCAGTCCTACCAATTTTTGGGACCACCATCATGATCTTGCTTACGCAGCTGATTGACTCGATGCACCAGAGCGTAGGAGGAGATAGGCAGCAAAATGTTACACGCAATGCGAATCCGAGACATGTCATGCGAAGGAATGATGCAAGGCCAGGGAACATGGCCACCAGGTGGAAGACGCACCGCGCCAGAATTAACTGCGTGTGCTTGAATACTTGGACATAGTATGATAGACCACAACACCTCAGGTTCGTCTTGAAGTGAAGGGGCCGCAGAGCCCGGACAGAGATGATAAAAGCTAGATTGGAATTTGGTTACGGCACATGTTTTGTACGTGATCTATAGGCAAATTCTTCGAAATTTCTGTTAACTGTAGCATGGGTATGGCATGAAAATCTTAGGTATTGGTTGAGAATCCGCGGGCGGATATTGTATATCAACGGGTTGATAGTCCGCTCATCTTAGAACTGGACATATCTAAAACAGGTTCAAGAACGCGAGAAACACAGTAAACAGGCCACGAGTGCTGGCTTGCAGAACTACCGCACTGTTTGAGCCAGAAGCCGAAGCAGCGGAGCCAGTAGCGGATGCAGTTCCGGAGCCAGAAGCCGTGCCCTCAGACCCTGTAGTAGAAGCCGATACAGTCGTGGGAAGAGTGCTTGCGGTCACACTTGGACCAGGACCTTGTGTAATCATCTCACCATTTCCACCTGGGTACGTACCACCTGCGGCGGCAGAAAAGTCCTGCGGGACCCCTGTCTCGTTGCTGGCGAAGAAGTACTGAGCTGCAGCGGGGACCTGCCCCAGGTTTGACTCGTCAAGGAAGGCTGTGAGATTGAAGCTCGCCCGATTGGTGGCATTGAAAGATTCGAACGCGGACGGGAAAGTGAAATTGTCGTGCTGGAAAAAGGCGTAGAATATGTATCGATGAGCTGAAGAGTTGGTCGGTGGACCCGGGCCGCGGTAGGGGACTCGTGGGGCAGTGGTGTTGATAAGTTGACTTGTACCGTCTGGACCTACAGGGGCGGTTGTGACATTGGTTTGAAGCCAGTGGAGGATGAACCTGAGTGTGGGATTCTCGGGGAATCTCGCGTCGGGGTCGACCATTAGAAGGACATAAGATCCATTATAGCTTGCAATTGACTCGTAATTTGCGGTTTCGACAGCAACAACGGGCTCTTCATCGGCGACTAGAGAGAGTGAGTGGCTGACTTAGAGACAGGCTTTGGGCTCATACCGCCAACGCCAAAAAGGTCCGCCTCCTGGACGACAATGGTGTTTCCATTGTCCTGATACGTAACCGAGAGTTCGGTGTGATTTGGAGCTTCAGGGAAACCAAAGTCGGGAGGAGGAATGGCCAGAACAGGAGCGAGGCCCCAAAGACCGAATAGTAAGGCGTATCTTTTCATCTTTTCACTCGACTCCGACGATACTTGAGAGAGAGAAAGAAAACAGCGTCAGGGACCAGAGAGAGAATGTGGTTGATTCGATTCAAAACAAACAACATGGCTATTATTTGTAATTCAGTTCGAGGACGTCATCAGGGCACAGCCAAGAAGGTTGAGATGGTCCAGGATGAAACTATGATGCATCCGATTCGTGCGCCTGGATAGCCCTCTGATCAGCCCCTATTGGAGCTTTTACCGGTAGTATCGGTCTGCGACAGTATGAACCCTCCCAGCAACCCTTTCTCTATAAGCGTGTCCACCTTAAAGTCTTGGGCGATGAGAGTGCGTACTCTTCGAACTTGACCTGGCGCATCAAACGTACGAGTCCAATTCGGGATCCACGTGGGTCTTGATCAACCGTTCGTTCGAACCATTGCTCCTTACGCGACGAGCGTCTCCAGGTAGCACCGTACGAGTAGATTGGAGATAGCCAAGACGAGCACAGCTCAACAAAGCAATGTGAAGCTTACCCCGCTGTATCCTTGGATCCAGGGATGATCTTCTGGTTTCCCCGCTTGGTGCTTTACATGGTCAAGGAGAGGGCCAGCAATCGCAGGTTTCTTTGAGCTAGGAATGGCGCTGTGGGCCATACACGTCCTCTTGAGTTCGCCTTTGAATAATTCCGAATCATGAAATATATCTGGGTTGATAGTCCATCACAAATTTGGTGTGGCGATTTGCGCTGACAGCTATTAAAAATAGCCATGTTGATCGACCTTCAGGTTTGCATGACCCGAGGCGGAACTTGTCCGGACCAGAGATCGTCTCTTGGTGGCTGAAAATGATGACAGGAGTCCTCGGTAGTTCTCTGGACTTTTGCTGCGAATACGCCTTTCCTCGGGCGGGTTCTGGTTGATGGGACATTGATGAGCAGTCAACCACCAGATTCGAGGCTCCTCGAGCATCTTTGCTCCTCACTTAGGTACCTGTTTCTGAAATCCATCATTGCCCTGCTCATTTCCTGGCAGGGAATGGCTGTCTAGAACACAGTTCCAACACGGAGCTACGTACAAAGCCTTGCCAAGACAGTTGCTATCCAAGGTGGTAGAGGGAGACTGGGTATAAAGCAAGACGTCGAAACCGTCCACTCTCTTACATCTCCGCTGTTTCCACTTAGGCATCTATCACCAACCGGGCCAGTCTTGCTTAGTCACGACTGGACAATCTCTAATATATGGTCAATCAAAGTCTGGCGTGGATGACGAAAGCAGGGGAGATTATCCAGACTTCAAAAGTGAAGACGCGGCTATGCTGTCAACGAAGTTGGAAATACCCCGTTCGTTGATCCCACAGTGCACCTACTGCCAGGGTTCTGCGTCCCCAGCTCGCCACTACTTTCACGGCCACCAATTTCAGAGAAACCGCACAATTGCTTCATATACACCCTCGGCGTTGTCTTCGTGCATGAGGTGGCCCGCATCAGGAATCCTGGCCTCCATCTTCTTCCCCGCTCCGCATATTCTGATCAACTCAGCATCGATACACTGCTGGAAGTACGGACCATCGGCGCCAGTGAGTACCAGTGTCGGAATCGTGATGCTCTTTGCATCCTCCAACGTATATTTGGGCAACTCATTGTAGCGGAAAAAGTGACAGAGCCAGCGTGAGTTGTCCTCGGTCATTTCGCTCCGTTCAGGATCTGCTTGCGACCGCGACCAGGATTTCGGGCCCAGGCAGCCGCTTCCGAAAGTCAACAATGCCTTTTCGTAGTTCCCCTGTTTTGCGAGTTCCACAACGGGCCCAATTGTGGTAGCTCCGTAGATCATGACAGGCAAGAATGATATAGGGTGCCACAAGAGGAAGCTCAGCACAGATAGTGGAGATGGCGGCAGGCTTGGAAGAAACAACGTGATTATGGGTGGCTCCTCGAGGAGCAAACTGCGAAACAAATGCGGCTTCGTTTTTGCGAGCCACAATATGTTGGTGGCTCCGGATGAATTCCCCAGCGCATGGACTGGGCCGATGTCCAAAGTTTCAATCAAGCCGGCTAGGTCGAGCGAGTCCTGTTCCCATGGCTGTCCCTCGCCATCTTTGATGGGTTCGTTTGGCCATGCAAATCGCTTGCTGTAGCTGTACACATGGTACTTCGAAGACAATCTGGCTTCTAACTTTGTCCAAGTGCGATAATCGGAGATGTGGCCATGAACCAGAACTAGTGGTTCACCTTGGCCAGACTCGCGATAGGCAAGTTTCACACCATTGACTTTGATGTATTTCAGGGAAGATAGTGGAGCTGCCATGCTGATGGGATGTGCGCTGTGGTTCTAGAGAGAATGGGAGATCTTGCTGTGCCTGTTTGGAACGAGCAAAGAGTAGCAGTGACACAAGTTGATCATCTCCAACTCCCGGGGGTCCGTCCGTCTCATCGGCAGAGCGGCTCGACCTCTCCAGCTGAAAGTCTAAATTGGTATATGAGGCCGTGTATTTTCCATATCTGGCCCCGGGTTCAATCCATCAGCTAGAAATAGAAGCTACGGGCGGCGGGCGGCAAGTATAGGGCAGCGTGACACTAGCCCCAATATAGAATAAGACGACTGCTAAGCAATCGTGCCTTGGCGAAACTCTAAAATTTATTTTTTAATCGCAGGTTCTATGAACTGGCAAAAGGCTCGAAGACCCAGACACCACTTGACCTTCAAACCCATATTCTCCGTTAGGCAAATCCACCAAAATGCCCTCTTCGAAGCGTAACCGTGTCATTCCGACCTCCAAAACACGCAAGAACCGCAAAGACCTTGTGCGCCGACTCGCCGCAAATGTCCAAGAGGCCGCTGAAAAATACTCCTACATTTGGGTTTTTGATGTTCAGAACACCCGCAACAACTTCCTGAAACAGGTCAGAGCGGAATTCGATGACTCAAGGATCATGATGGGAAAGACAAAGGTCATGGCAGTAGGACTAGGGACCACTCCGGAAACCGAGTGTGTTCCTGGCGTTGGTGCATTGGCCCCATATGTGAAAGGAGACATTGGGTTACTATTCACAGATCGCGAGCCCGCAGAGATTGAGGAGTACTTTGAGAACTTCTCAAACCTTGATTTTGCAAGAAGCGGCTTTACAGCATCTCAAGAGATCAGAATTCCCCCTGGTGAGCTTTATACCCAATACGGCGTCGATGGTGGTGAGGACGACCCTCTTCCTATTCAGATCGAACCAACGTTGAGGAAACTCGGCATTCCCACGCGGCTGGTCAAGGGTAAGGTGGTTCTGGAAGAGCGCCCAGATGGCTCAATGGATGATGAGGACGGCTACTTGGTCTGCAAAGAAGGCGACATACTGGACTCCAGGAAGACCTCCATCCTCAAAATCCTAGGTGTTCGTATGTCTGAATTCAAGATTGAGTTGCGGGCTGTTTTCAACAAGAACGAAGCAAGTGTGCGCGAAATCGGAGGCATGGAGTTGGATGCGATTGCGGAATGATCTCAACTACTGGTCAAGCGCAGCTCAATCTTGTGCCTATCTCACTCTCTTCAAATTATTAAGTCGTTCTGCCAACGACTCTGTCAGAAGGCGGCACGATGGAGAAGTTGGGAGTCACGAAGTCACGAATTCTGACGACCTGCTGTCAATTTCTCTTCGCCATTTCGCCTAGCATAAATAGGCTACGGGGATTCCGTCTACCTAGATCAAAACACGCCTTGGAAGAAGCCATCGTCAGTCATCGAAGGGTACACCGCTATTGCTTCAGCCCTGATCAGGTGTTCTGATCGAGACTGATGCCCTCATGCCACCCAACTCTAGTACATCGCTAGATTCTCTAAGGACGATGATACTCGCATCGTGACGTTGAGATGTTCCAGTCCAAAGCATACCGCGATCTTGGAATGGCTGTGACTCCACGCTTCGCCTAGATTTTCGCAGATTTGGAGGCCAGGAGCTTAAGTAGCCAAGGCCTGTGGAGGAGTGACAGACCAGGAGGCGGTCTGGAAGATCCGAGCATTTACAGGGTCATGAGCCGATCAGAATTGTGTTGCAATGAAAAAGATCAGCTACTTCGTACCACGGAAACAATATTTGTTTCCCCGGAACACCGACTGAGGAGGAACAAATTGGGGCGGGCACCAATCATATTCGGTTGTTAGCCTGGAACTATACATCTCCGGTCCTGTTTATACCCGTCCTAACCCGTGATATGATACCCTGCAAGCCCAATTTCTCGCACTCGTTGCATTCTGGAAGTGTGTTCTGCGCATGTTTTTCATATCAAAAATACTTGGGGATAACCACTGTACAAAATGGTCGATCTCAAACAGGTAAGCCACTGAAACCACACACTGAACGATTGTCCTCTCTGTAATCTGAACCACGAGAGAGAAGCCAACTATCTCTCAGATACAACGTCAGCTCGTCACCGCCAACCATATACTACACTACAATGGCGTGGTCGACGCATATGGACACATTTCAGTGCGCCACCCTCTCGACAACTCCACCTACTTGATGTCTGCAAACATGGCTCCGGCACTGGTCAGCAACGCCGCTGATCTAGTTCAATATCGCATTGAGGACAGCCAGCCTGTCGACCCAAATGCACCAAAGGGCTTCATTGAGCGCTATATTCATGGTGAGATGTACAAAGCATACCCAGAGGTATACTCTGTGATTCACTCTCACAGCCCCGAGGTTCTTCCATACGCGGTCGCTGGGGTCCCTTTGCGGGCAGTCTATCATATGGCGGGCTTTCTTGGATCTGAGCCAGTGCCTCTATATGACTTGGAGGACTCGTACAACCAAACCGAATCGCGCGACCTCCTGATCCGGTCGCCGAAGCTGGGGGCAGACCTCGCAAAGACCTTTGTTACGTCGGAGAATAGAACTGCAGATCCACCTGCGACAAGTCCTGACTACAACGCTGTGCTGATGCGCAAGCATGGCTTCACCACTTTCGGTGCGAACATCCAGGAGGCAGTGGTGAGAGCAGTGTATACGCAGGCCAATGCCAAAGTTCAGACTACGGCCGCCATGATCAGAGGTGCATTTGAGGCTTTGACGGAACCCGAAGCACAGGCTTGGTCTGGCGGGGTGAATACGACCGCCTTTGAGCCTTTGACTGCTCAAGAGGCGATTGATACTGAACCTGCAATTGGCGCGACTTCCGACAGGCCGTGGGGGTTATGGCTAAGGGAGGTCGAGGTGCAGCCTTTGTATAGGAACAACATCTAGTTAGGTCTCACATCGCGGTACATGTTGAGTTGAGAACAGTTTCTGGTCTCGATGTGACCCACATACTTGCACGAAGGAGAATAATCGATGCACGACACAAAGGATGGCCAATCGGCGCATTGAACCTTAGTTCTATGGGGCAGGGGTGAATCAGCCTCGCCACCTTCGTCGTCCTGGTGGGGGTTGACCGGATAACAGAAATCAAACAGTACCTGATCTTCCACAATCCCCAAAGGTCGATGACCTGCAGACAATCCTACTCGCATGGGACTTCGTCATGCTTGGCCAGAAGTAGAGAGGACGGTGGGCGACCCCACCGAAGCTGCTTTTGATATGGCCCCGCGAGCAAGGATAGATGAATACGCAATACGCATTTCAGCTTTTTTGAGCTGAGACACACCTCTTGAAGCCCGACCGCTCATTAAACTCTTTCACCTAGGCACCATCTTATCGATCTACGTTTCCAAGATGCTAGGGAAAGCGTTAGTTCCAGTGTGGGGCTCATTGCACCGTACATGCGCGGTACCAGATGAACCGGACTAGTGTCTGGCTGGTAGAGCAACGCTTCACCCTGTCCACTCGACGGGAAACGCTGCCATGCGCAACGTTTGAATACGCGAATACTTGGTTTAGTAAGATGTCCCCTGATACGCAAGGTTAAGATGGACTGGATGAGGTTTCCTGAATGTATATATGGACCCTTCATGCCTTTTCCCCAGCCAAACTCCCTGGACTCTCCAGAGCGCCACCCTTTCCACCTCTTAGCCATGTATAATGATGCAAACATGCTGTCATATTCAGTGGCGCTCCTCTTCCTCTTCCTCCTCTTGTTGGAAGTGACGACCTCTGGCGTCGCAGCTCAGGACCTCAGTTCTACAACATGCATGGGCGTATGTCAGTCACTCGTGGTAAATTCATCTGCATGGGAAGCCACTCAGCATGGAAGCAACGACTACGCGTTCTACGACGTGCCATCGAACTTTTCGAAAGACCTTGCGCCAGGAAAGCTGCTACGGGTGGAATATTTCACAAACCTCACTACCTATACCGTACCCAGTGGCCTTTCCATGTCACGCATCATGTATACTACAAGCGACTTGAACGGCACGACCTTGCCTGCTTCCGCATACGTCCTCTGGCCGTATGCACCACTTTCAGCCCCTAAGCTCAAGGGCAACCAGTTCCCAATGGTGGCCTGGGCTCACGGTACATCTGGATTCGTCAAAGCATGTGCACCTAGCAGCTACCGATACTTGCAGGATCATTTCATGGTGCCCTTTCGCCTCGCTCTTGAGGGTGTGGCCGTGGTGGCACCAGACTATGCTGGGCTTGGAGTCAGTTCCTTGCCATCTGGGGAGCACATCGGACACCCATATCTCCTTGGACCAGCAGTTGCTGCGGACCTCGCCAACGCAGTCATTGCTGCTCGAGCGGCCTTTCCCTCCCAGCTACTGCCAGATGGTCCCTTCGTTGGCATGGGCCATTCCCAAGGAGGAGCGGCCATTTGGGCATTCGCAGAGCGACTAGTCGACAAGCCTCTGGCTGGATATAAAGGGACAGTTATTATGGCGCCCGCCGTCGGCTACTTCCGCCTTCTGGCTAAGCAGCTAACAGACCTGACAAACATCTTCAATCCTAACCTCCTGGGTCTGCAAGCAGCTGTCATTGCAGGAGTCACTGCGGCATTCCCGGCATACAACGACTCTGGTCTCACAGCCCTGGGGTACGACCGATTCCGCAATGTTGTCGAGGCTTTGAACGGCTGTATTCCTACTTACACTCTCGCCACGAGCACAGAAGATGTGCTATTCAACACAACAAAGCCTGATTGGCTATCTCATCCGACTGTGCAAAGATACGCCAATCTTTCAGAGACCGGGCGCAAGAAACTCAAAGGCCCAGTGCTTCTGCTGGCTGGAGGGCTGGATTCCCCCATCGACCTTCCGAATTTTCAGTCTACGTTCAACGATACCTGCGCCATGAACAAGCAAGAAAAGTGGGGTGAATCACTAGAGATGATAACTTACCAAGGCATGAACCACTTTCCTATGATCCAAGCAAGTTCATCGAAGTGGTTGTCGTGGATCAAGGAGCGCTTATCCGGGAAGACGGTCGCTGGAGCAGGCTGTGTGCACAGTGTTGTCGAGGGTTATAGGATCGAATTTACCGTTCAAGGCATTGCTCCTAACTTCCTGGTGGGAAATGTACCTATCGCAGAAGCATGGAAGGCGTCTTTCTAGACAGCGAGCAGTGCAAGGGAAAGTTTGAAAATAGAGAGATTCGATTCCTATTATGCATAATTAGCACAGCCGCAGCCCCTTTACAATGATCAGGCATTTGAACTTAGGGGACAATTCACCGTCCCCTCACCCGCAGTATTTTTTATGCAGTGGGAGCATGTAACGGAGTATTCACCCTCGGAAAGTTTGCATCTGCCATCACTCAGGGTGTACTCCGTCCTCCTCATTCGGCTCTTGGCTCCTTCGACGCTCCTCCAGTATGGGCTCCATCACTCTCATAGCCAGCACCTCTCCGTTCAAGCTTTTCTCACCAACAACCGCCACTCTCTTCTCGCGATCACTCTTCAAAGCATCTAAATACTTCGCCGCCTCTGCGGAATACCTGCATCTCCTCCTTATCCTCTCTCCATACTTCCAGAAGAAGATGGGAAATGGGAAGCAGGCGAGTGCGATAAAAGCCGGCACAGCAGAGGCCCAGTGTACCCCTAAATTATCGTACATCTTAGGCGTGAACAACGGAAAGGCGGCGGCAAGCGTAGCACGCAGAACGATATTGGCAGCGGTCACGCTGGCGGTGTAGATCACATACGAGTCGACACTGTCACGAAGGATCTGAGCGTTAGAGGCATGAGACCTATCAAGGTTGCTGGAAAAAGAAGGCGGGTCTTGAAGAACGTACAGATAATTGAAGCAAGCCTGGAATATCAGGATGAAGCCCACTCCGAATGGAACACCCGAGGAGATCGGGATGAGGAAGTGGAAAGTCGGATCTGCTGTTGCAGCGAACCAGGCCAGGCCGATGATGGCAATGACACCGCCGACAATAGCAGTTGGAAGTCTTGTTTCCGGAGGCACGAAGCCACCAGTAGCATTGTACGCGCAGATATACCGTCTGTTGTCGAAATACATCAAGCCGATGCCAATCAAAATACCTACCAGTATTCCATAGAAGGCCAGGCCACCCTGTCCTGCATTCCATCCATACCCCTCTTGGTAGACTATAGGAAAGGCCGCAAAGTTGAGGTTGAGAAATGCGTAGACGACGGCCATGTATGTCTGCAGCCATAAGTATCAGTGGCTGAGTCGACAGGCAAAGGGTTGGAGGCTGCTCACCGAGAGAAGCAGCACTATTGGCTCTCGAAATAAAAGGGCCCACGGGCGGATCAGAGAGCGCTTTAGCATGTCTTTGAATGTGTATGGATGGTCCTCATCCAAGGCTGTAATGTATGTCTTCCCTGTAACTTTGGATAAGAGCTGTGCTCTTTTTCTAAGCAGGATTGGGGCATATGTTTCGGGGACGAAGACGGCGCCGAGAATGCACAGTACGCCCGCGAAGATAGCAAGAAAGCCCATAACCCAGCGCCATCCAGCTGCTAGCCCTAGATATCCTCCTATACTTGGGCCCCTGCGGATCACCGTTAGCAAGCATCAAGATTGGAGGGAGCATGGCAACCCGAGCTCGAGGGGCATTCTTCTCCCAAAGCCGAGGGCAACTAACACTGTTGGGCCAAGCCACGGGGCCGCAGCAAATACTGCCATTGCCAGTCCTCGCTCCTTGGGCCCAAAGATGTCGGCAAGCTGACCTGCAGGAATGACCAGCGCTGGAGATCCAAAGATTCCACAAAACAAACGAAACACAAGTAACGTCTGGATGTTCCGGGCCATACAACACAATCCTGCCCACAGAGTATGGATGGCCAACGTAGCCAACACTACATTCCTCCGGCCAAAAGCTTCACTCAAAGGTGCGAAAACAAGAGGGCCAAGCGCGAATCCAACGAGCATGAGGCTTAGACCCACTAAGAAGACTTCTTGACTGCAATCGAATTCGTCCATGACCTGCTCAGCTACCGCGGTGTATGCGGAGGAGGCGAGGGTGATGCAGAAACACATCAGACCGCAGATGATGAGGTTCGTGACTTTGAACCAGGTGCTGTAGGTTTGAGGGTCCTCGGGATCGGTGTCCAGCCATTTCACGATAAAGGGGTCTCTGGGGTTGCCGCCTCCTTGGTAGTTGGCTTCGACTATTTCGGTGAAACCGGTGATTCTCTGTCGCCATGGTCTCCAGCGATAGCTATACTGTGACCAGTCTCGTGTTTGAGATGGCATGCGAGTGTCGAATCTGACGTCCACGTCGGCCACGGCGAGTCGACTGTCCTTCTCCATACTCGGGGATTGGATGTTGCAGGCCGGGCAGTCGGAAATGGCACTGACAGGAAGAAGGCAAACGATGGGAGGCTCTGGTCGCCGTGCAAGCTCAGCATCAGGCTGATGGAGCTGTTTGACAACAACCCCCTTCAAGACGGGCTGAACCTCCACAGTACTGCCAATGTCCCACCAGTCCTTGCCATCTCGATCTGCAACATTATGCGCAGGGCGGTGGAGGAAACCTCGGCACTGCAACCATTTCTGAGCCTGTGCTGACTAACTCATAGGTCCGGAGACGTTCCCCCAACCCTCACATCAGCTATAGAGTAAACGAGACCGCGGCAATGCGGCGTGAATGAGGCAAGGCTTGGGGTACCAATGCCTGGGAGCCGGTGTTGGCCCTCTGCACTTCACCAGTTTGGTGGGAGAAAAGGTACTGGCGCGCACTTTTGCGCCGTGATCGCACGCATGCTTCGTACCAACCGCAAGATTCATGAAGTCCCGCTTCAAGATGGAGTGTACGAGTACTGTAACCGGTTAGGAGTACTTGGTAGAACCCACCGTGGCCGAAGTCTCATATCTCCAGGCCCATTGCACCGACGGGATGGCATTGTTCCGCTACTGCAGGTGCCTTATTCCCAGTCACGAAGAACCCCTCAATACTCACGTCTTGGTTGGCCAAATCGGCCTCGGGCGAATATTTGGGGTGTCAGGATGGCGCTGTCAGGATATGTGCGTCTAGGTCTCGGATTTAATTAAGTGGTGAGGGCGAGGGCGAGGGCGAAGATAGTAGGGCTGGGCGCTGATTAATTACCTGGATCCCACGGAGTTTCACGGGATCGTCTTCTAGAGAATTGAGATGGAGCACTGTTTCATCGTAGATTTCAACGTGTATCGAATCGTAAAGCACAACGATCCATGGCCAAATCAATCAGCTTCGAACCAGTCCATGTTCCAAACGGCGACCATCTCAATAGTATTCCGTCGTCTTGCCTTGTAGTTTCTGCCCTAAAAAGAATATGCCATTCGAAATCTTGCCGTCGTTTTGAAGCCATTACTTTGGAAAGACGAGACAGGGGTTGAAGTAGCCATCCTAAGGGGTTTGTTCTCTTCGCTTGAGGCGAACAGCCTGCTCTGAGTGCTTCAGATGTGTATGAATAGCCCTCGATATCCGGATGAATCCGAAACACTTGAATCTAGTCAGCGGTATGGAGTATCTCGTATCCAGTCTGAGAACCGCTTCCGCAATCATTATTTCTGGGGTCCCCGTCCTTGGCCTCAACGCCACTTCGCGTATGGACCTCTCCCGCAGGGCCACGCGGTGTGGGCTGATTCCACTTGAGCACCGATCCATTGTGACCTTTCTTACGAGTACTTCAATCACGAAATCTTTGGGGAAAACAAGCTATCTAGCCAGCAGGTATGTATGGGAGCGCCACCATCCTATTCACATCGCAAATCAACGCAGACAGCAAGCTGGTCGTACGTTGGTTAAATACTGAGCGGTCGATTTGCTCAACGCCGCCATTTCCCGTATCACAGTGTCCTGCTTGCATAAACTGAAGTCGATGACACCAAACAAGTACAAACCCAGCAGCAAGACAGCTGAATGCCCAGGTTCACTTTCCCGCCAAATGGACGGAGCTTCAGATCGCCGCTTGAAGAAGAGGGAATCTGACCGCAGATGCCAGCGAGTCTCTCGTCAGCGGAAAAATACCCGCATTGCCTACCTCGAAGGCCTTGTGGACCAACTTAGAGAAGCTGACACATCCGGCCAATTGGATAGTCTCGTTCAGAGGATCTCGCAATTGCAAAAGGAGAGAGATTCCTTCCAGGGCAAGCTGGCCGCCATCGAAGCCATCTTGATGCCTGGCCAAACTGGTGCTCAAAGAGAACCAGAGGAGGTTGCAGCGAGGACGCCCGATATTGTTACTACAGAGGCCCGAATGGAAGAAGCTGCGCCTTCATTCAACCCTTCACCCGGCCAGGAAGCAATGCACTTTCCAACCGACCCTAAACTCTTCATGATCCCGGGGTTGGAGAAGGAGCCTCCGCTGCCATCGACAGATCCATTGCGGCTGGAGGAATTTGACTATCAGAAATATCAGAACGACATACCGAGCACATGGCCAGAGAATCCCACTATGAATATCGCCAGGACAACGTTCGAGCGGCCTTATCTGGGCATGCCTTATCCCACCGAGTCGACCCGAAGCACGTCCTTGAATAGCAGCCGCAGCTGTGGATGTGGTCGTGCTAAGGCCTTGAGGATGCTGAATCTGAATCACTGGCACTACGGCAATGTTACGCTCGGCTCCTGGATGGAGTGGCCTTCTTCTGTTGCTGCATCGGGTCATGCCGATCCGTACTATGAGGACACCGTAGTGCGAGCTATCATTGAGGGCTGGGACGCCGTTGATTTGCACGGCAACGTGCATCCCATGTGGCCTATCTTGCGAGTCATGGATGAGTCGCTGTTCAAATATGCAGACGGCACCATGAATCGCCTCGCCATTCTCATCGGCGTGTCTCGTCTGCTCTTGGCCCATATCGAGCACTCCCAGGCAATCTACAGCACAATTCCCTCGTTCGCCCTTGAGAGCCATGGCCAAGATTACTACGCATATGCCGCAAACTTCATCTCCTGGCCAGGAATCAGAAGGGCGCTAGTGACCCACGAACATAAGTATTGCTCGAACCGCTTCTGGCGCATGTTAATAAACAGTATTCGGGTTCAATGGCCATTCGAAGTTCGAGATTGCTATCTTTATAACGCTGCCGAGGCATCGTATTCAATATCTCCAACGTTCCTGGCGACGCTGAACAACTTCCACGCTCTGGGCATTAAACGCGATTTTTTTGACTACTACCCGGAGCTTCGAGGGATGGCCCTGGCCGTAGACGGGATTCCGCCATCAATTACGACAACAATGGGACTTCCCAGCAATCATAATATAGGATTGAAGAATGAAGGGGTCCATCCACCAGGCCAGGATCAGCAACCCGTTCTGTCTCCATTTCACGTGCCCCGACAACTGGGTTCACAAGGAGTGAAACAAAGCGGTATTCCTGAACAACAACGCGAGACTGGGGATATGCCAGGAGTACTGCATCCTTCTGCCTCACGAGCTGCGACCACGGACGCACCAGCCAGCTCCCTGAGTGACATGCTTCTGTGCTTGTTTGAGACTTCTTCCAGTGCCGCGGAAGAAGACCAAGGAAGCCAAGAAGACGGCAAAGGAAAGGGCGGGCCAGTTCTTCAGACCCCGGCTTGGGGCGGTGCACCAGGCCTGCTCCCTCGTCAGGTGTTGCTGCCCGAGGTCTCTCACATTTTTGCCGGGAGAGATTTTATATGAGAGAAGGCTGGAGGCTGGAGGCTGGAGGCTGGAGGCTGGAGGCTGGAGATACCCTGTTTCTGTTTCCTCCCAAACATTTACTGAACAAAACCGCCAAGTAAGATAGGGACCAGCACCATGTCGGAGGCCAGGATTCAAAGAAGCTTGACCACTAACGAAGCTTGACCACTAACGAAGCTTGACCACTTGCAATCCATCTGCTACTCAGCAGCTCAGCGCAGACCAATGGAGGAAGTGACATCCCAAGAATTGAGCCGGATGCGCTCAAATAACTCGCCTCCTATGTTGGGCCCAGCCTCTATGGTTCGCTTGCTTTAATCTCTGGCCCTTTGCGTTATCCAAATCATCATGAGGATAGATTAAGACTATGCGTTTCTCAACCTACAATGTATGGATTACATGAAACGGTGAATGCGGTCCAAGGCGCACAATCTGCTGCAATTCCATCAACGTCGCGTCCCGGTTGACAGAGTTTCCTTCTCTGCGGCAGCGCCTTGCGGCAAGAGAGCTACCTAGAGCCATTGCTTGTTTCCGAATTGCGAGAGGAACGCGCCACCGTCTCCGTTAGCCACGCTAGTTTTCTCCCACACGGCTCTCATCAATTTAACAGATTCTTCCGTTGTGATTGGACCGCTGAAGTCAGGCGAATACTTCTTGAACTTCTCAAAGAGGGCCATCGCTTTCGCTCCTTGTTCTGGGGTCACTTTTGTAGGCACAGTTTCAGTTTATCTGCGCTTCTTACACGAATGCGTAGGATCATATCCACATCACTTACTTGATTCAAATTGCCCGGTCTCAACCAATCCAGGCGCGAGGGCCAAAAACAGAACGCCATCTTCAGCGTACTGCGCGCTGAATTTGGCTACGACCATATTTACGGCTGCTTTGCTAATGGAGTAAGGTCCAGCCGCAGGCATGTTGTATTGAGTCGTTATCTCTGTGTCAGCAAAACCTGTCGACAGGGTGATGACTTTTTTTCCATCACCTTCCAAGACCAGGGGCATGAAAAGGTTAATCAGGTGAATCGTCGCGACCACGTTGGTCTTGAAGTTCTGAAGAAGGTCCTTTTCCAGGCCTTGCGGGTCTTTGCCCCTTTTGATGGACACGAGCACGCGTCAGCATGGTCCTTGTTGTTCGAAGCCTCGCGTCAGACATGTCACTTACAATTCTCCCAAGGAGTCAAAAGCAGACCATTGCGATATAAACGCAGCGTTCGCGATCAGGTAGTCTAGGCGACCTCCAGTGATCTTGGAGGTTTCTTCGGCAGCTCTCTTTTGTCGAAGCAAACGTGGTTATCAGCTTTGCGCGAGGCGAGAATAGACAACTGGACCGATCGAGCAATTTTACCTTCAGCCCATCGTAGCTGTTGAGATCGGACTCGACGATGTGGATGTTTGATCTGCCACCAAACACCTTCGCGATTTTGGCTTCAGTTGCGGCCTTGTCCCGGACGAGGCCAATGACGGTATCTTCCGGACTGCTTGAGAGCTGTCGCAGGAATTCGAACTGAGCGAAGACTTTAGACTTGGCAACGACACTGCGGAAACGGGAAGGACTCACTCCTATGCCTCGAGAAACACCTGTGATGAAGTAGGACGGCATGGTTCTGGGCTTGGTATTTCGAGGAGATCAAACCTGGTGTGTGTCTACGTGAACTCGCTTGCGAGTTGAAGGAAGAAACAACTCAGTAGCTCTGAGCTGGGAGAGATTCACTGTCGAAGAGTCCAAGTAGAGAAAAGCGATGCGAGAGGTCTTTTATGCTTGACCCGCCCGAGGGCTGCACAACGCTTTGATCGTGAATTCATGATGCAGATACCATTGATTTTCAATCACGTTGGATCAGGCCAGCTGGGTGCTGGCGCCAGAGAGATCCACCTCTACGTCTTGGACATAACAGACTGAGAGAATACTTGTCACCGTCGATAATTGGTCGTGCAGGGTGCTTTGGCTGCTCGGCCATGACGCCAAGGCATATGATGTCTATACTGTACGATTACAATTACGAGCAGGCTGTAGATAGTGTAGGCTGGCTTCAAGGCTGCGTGTACAGACCCGCTGTTGAAGGGGTGGATGTCCCGCTGCTACTATCCGTGCTTCTTATCTAACCACTTCTCCACCCTCCAGAAACTCAATGTACCAATTCAACGCGTCCGATGTCTCTTGTGCGAATCATCTGCGCTGATTATCATCCTGGAAGAGGCAGGATAGAATTGCTCGGAGGATAGCCAAGCCGTTGGGCCCACTCAAAGTCCGCGGCGTTGGTAACATTAATATATCAGCAAAGCCGGAGTCCTAGTCGTACGAGTACACAGATGGCATCTGAGGGCCCAGATCTTGGGGGCCTCGCTATCTAGAAACGATTTCGTGAAGCTAAGCGGCATTGCGGATTGGATCGTTCAGTTAGAACAGTAAATCCTTCTTTCATCGAGCCACGCGGTTCAATGTCGCCGTTGCAATGCAACAGGGCCAACGTCTACACATGGAAACAGCCTAGGTTAGACATGTACTTTAGATAGCTCCACTTGCTGCACGGTTACTTTCTCATTGATCCGTATTCTGGAATATTGACGACATGGCACCGAAGTCACCCGCCAATGTTCTACTCGAGGCTGCCTGCCACAGTAACTCTAACCCATGATCGACGGCTGAGCTTGGTGGATGCTTTCTTACTTTCTTACACTATCAATGTCAGAGCACCTGAATCAGGCCAGCTCCACTCTCCCAGGTGAACAGCAAATAGTGCGTCGACTGGAGTACGAGTGAGAATTTATATTCCTGGTACTTCCGGCTTGGAATTGCGTCGACTGCTTCCCAAGTCCATTCCCTGGTATTCTGGTGGTAAGCTTGGTGGTTGTCCGTGCTTCTCTCACAACTTTTCAGGCAGCAGGCATACCAGAGACTTATGTGCAAGATAGGAGTCGACACCTTGCGACAAAAACTGAAGGCCGCACACATATCATGCGTCGTGCACCTAGCGCCCGCTGTCGACCTCCTTCAGTCTGACGACCGATTCTGCCATCGAGTTATTATTAGGATGGATTGTGAGTGGACCCAAAACCGGCTACGCTGGCAAAAAAATGTTCGAGCCAGCCAAAAAATTAGCTAGGTTGACGGTGTTAACTTCGAGCTCACCTCGATGAACCTTTGAGACTATGACGATGAACCCCGGTCAGCGAAGTTGTTTGAAAAGCGTGTCCTAGATTTGATTGTTGGAGGGATTTCCGAAATTGAGCCAACCAAACCGGCTTGCAGGCTACTATGGCAACGTGGTCTTGGGGCCGGCTTGATCCTCCTTAAACCCATTTCCACAGAAAAGCCAAGAGGGTGGAAAGTTCGATATTCCCGAAAGAACTCGTTCAGGGCTCGCGGAATCCTGGCGGGCTGAGAAGCCAACTTCTCAAACTCCTTATTCCTATTGATATCCCATAAGCGAGATGCTTCAGCATGATATACCGGGTTCTAACAACAGTCCACCCACAACGAAAGAAACCCCCTTCCCTAAAGCTCCGGGTTCCCACGGAAATTCCCGTTCACACGATGAAAAGTAATACGAGGCGAACGCTTCGAGGGGATATATCGGGCGCGGAGGTCATTGAAATTAAGGCTGGGGAATTGGTCGGACGGGCACTAGGTTGGAGGTTCATATTCATCGAAGGAAGTCGCTGGATATGGCTTGGCTCGGTGGGCATTTTGCTGGGACTGGATTTCGCTATGTCATGGTGCATGCGCCCCGGGAATTCGACAAGAATGAGAACCATGAGGCGGATCCCGTCATGTGACAGCAGGGCAGTGTCATGTTGGTGCTTGCGCAAGTGCCGCTTCGCCCGCAAGAAGGAATTGCATCCTGGGATATGACTCACAGAGCCAGAGGAGAATCATCTTCTCGTGCCCGCAAGCATCTTGAGACCTTTGCTTGACCCGTCCATCGCGTCTTTTCTACAGGCAACAGTGCACAGTGAAGCGAGTCTAGGACAAGTCGAGAAGAGAGTGCTCTGATAAGACATCAAACGTTGGATCCTCAACCGGCTTGCGACCATCTCGTGTCTAATTTTGTCCAAGGCGCGTGGGCTCCTTCAACTAATGAGCACCAAGGTATGCCACTCACTGAAGAAATATGATCCTCAGCATTTTTCATAGTAGGCGGGTCTTGGTGGCGGTGTTTTCGCACCCACAAACTGCGCGAGGGTTGTTACGAAGTAGCGAAGGGACACCGAGAGGGTAATTTCCCGTACCTGGCCGTTAACATTTCTCCCAATGGCTGCATGGTTTCTCATGGGTGCTTCTTGACTTTCGCTCCACTGGACCAAAGGAGATGTACTCGTACCCGTCGCAACGAGTTACGAATGCAGAGAGACGAGCGAACCAGGGCGGTCAGCTTACTTGGCAATAATCCCTCTAGCGGGTCAGCCCTTTAAGCGCAGAGGCGCCAAAGATACGCGGCTGACGTGTCTGGAGGCGTTGAAAAGGGAGAATTGGCGCTCCGTCCATCAGCGACGGGGCTTAGCGGTAACCCTGAGAGCCAAATGACTAATCCTTGAGGTTGAGAAGATCGAGAGAGGCGCTGACTCATGTTGGCAGGGAAAGGCGGGTCAGTTGGCGAGACACGGGTTCCTTGGGCGTCCCTGCAGTGTTGGTTGCGGGCTGCTATGCTGAGAACGAACGGTGCGAGCTCCGAGGACATCCAGGCTTGCAACGCGAAAATTCAAAACATCGTACTAGTGATTGAAGGGGGCGAACCGGAACTTTAGCAGGAAATGGGACTAAAATGCTCTGCAGTAGTTCTTAGAGTAGTATTAGTTAGTTAGTTGTACTCGGAGGGTGAGGAACGAGTAAGATGGCGAGGCCAGACAGGAGGCATATACGAGGAAGTGGGTATCCAGGAGTCCATGAAAATCAATCAGGCTACGGAGGACAGGGATGGGTGGTCTTGGAAGGGGTTGTCCGCTGACTGCTCCGTCCCCGACGACCTGATAGACACCTCAGCTTCGCACAAGTCCGATCAAGACTAACAAGAAAGGGCCGGGTGTTGACCGCCCCATGGACCATGATTATTGATTGATTCATCGAATGTGGACTCTGCAGGGGACATCAAACAAGCAGTATGTAAGAAGTTGCTGAATGTAACACCTTCACTTACACTGGCACTTATGGAGCACTTGCTCGTAACGTAATTAGACCACCCGCCATCCCTCGAGTTGGAAATTATGGGGACACACTTTTCGGGATGCAAGGCTTCCTTGCCGATTTGCCCTTTTCTCGCTGTCGATTGAACCAAATGACTCGGCTGAGGTTGTGACCAGCGACCGCCAAAAGGGACAGATGCAGCTGGAGATAGGGCTTCAAAGGATCTGCCAATTTGGCTGGTGGTGTTCTTGGTGTCGGGGACTCCTGTGTTGGGTTAGGCAACCTTCATGTTCGCTTGGGCCTTGACGTGAGACTCCTCGTAGTCAATCGTACTCGTCGGTACTTTCACAGTTGTGTCAACAGCGTCAGTAAGATTGTCACATCTGGAGAAGTACGTCGTATGTCTGACGTCGACGATCGTCACATCGAGGTCCTCCTATAGAAAGGAGTCATGCTCAAGCGAGAGGGAGACACATGCCAGGAGCAATCCATAATGCATGAAGATGGGTTGCAGGTGGGATCATGGTGCAACCGTGCGATGCTCTTGAAATCTTGGAACGCTTGAGGTGGCATCGAGCAAGGCGTGTCCTCTTTCAGTTGCACATGGCGAGACAAGATTGTGTGTCGGAGCACAGAAGGATCTTCAGAGCCAGGCTATCGAGAACGGAGTCCTTCATCTAAATCAGGAGCCATTCCGCATGTACTGTACGGAGTGTCGTTGTTGAAATTGGTCGTCTCGGGGATTCAGGGAACACGAGCGATGAGTCAACGTGAACTTCGCCAACGGTGACCATTCGAGGATCCATATACTGTACGAGTAAGATCCCGTACTAGATCAGGATCGATCTTTTTCGGGCTGCATAACCAGCAGCTCTTCAGGGATAAAGATCGGCAACAATTGAATGGATGGGATCCATGAAAATCGTGATCTCATCCAAGGTGGAATGCCATCCCGCTTGGGTGTAAGAGGTCCCCTGCTCAAGGCAGGCTTCAAAGTGTAGTTGAAAGCTTGTAAACCTGCTCGGACACCTTGGCCCTTCCGGGCCTACCAAAATAGGCTTGTCCTGCGTTCAAATCATAACCCACCGAATACTCGTACTTAGCCTTGTACCCTCTGGAAGCGGGCGACGAGTCACAGTCCGCAATCCTCTCCCCCCACGACTTAGGGATGAAAACAATGGAGAGCATGGCCAACTCATCGGTACGGAATACAGGGCTTACGGGGCACGATTAAAGCTCGTTGACTTTTTGTGCTCTACGAATCTCGGCAAGGATTTGGAAGCACTCATTGCATTCGGAAACGGGTCTGGCCGCCGGCAAGGGGCTGAAGTGAAATGTTGTCGGCGTCGCGCCCCCGATCTGCTTCTGACGGTAAAGTCTTTTTCTGTTGTGGTAGGACCGGCGGTTGTCTGCCGTTTTCATGCTGTGTCTATCGACGTTGGCTTATGGAAACCATGTACATGGCTGGCACCAGCTGG